CAAGCACGAATCAAAACCTTATCGGTGGACGCCAGGAAGTCGGTGAACTGTACCTGACGATATCGACGTAGCCAAAAGGAGACAGGGTGACCACGAGAGCCAAGAGAGTCAGGCATATCACGAGCCAGGGGACGACCACAAAGAGAAGAGAGGGTAGGTGAGGACAAAGAGGAGGAGAGGAGAGAAAGAAGACAGTCAGGGGGTAGGCCTCGGGCACGAAGACAGAACTTTGCCACAAGAGTATCTGCTCGGAAACGCATTGACGGCAAATTGGTCAAATGACAAAAGACAGTTGTTGAGGAGGTGCCATGGCCACCGAAGATCATTCGCAAGCAACGATTTTGGACCTTCTCCAATGCTGTGTAGTCAACACCACGAAGTTGGGAAATGGCGAGGCCATATTCAAGTTTGGGTCTGACGGAGGAGGCGTACAGGCGAGAGGAGAACAAGAGGGAGAAGCCAGAACGATTTGCACCAAGTGCGTTCAACTGAGACATCTGGAGCATAGTGCCAGGTTTGCGTTTAGTAACGATGGTAGGGGAGGAGATGCCTGCACGACGGAAGGGGACACCAAGGTATATAAACTCTTCGACGACAGGGAGAGGCACACTATAGAGTGACAAGGTCACAGAGGTAGAGGAAGTGGCGGAAGGAGGATTGAGAACAGCACACTTTGGAGGTGACCACCTGTACCCAAGGGAAGCAGAATGAGACTCCGAGAGTTGTAGCATTGTCTGGACTTCACGAGCAGAGCCAATGAGTGCCACATCATCGGCGTACAGCAGGCAGTTGACAGGAGTGGGAGAAGGAACCGCTGGCATTGTGACGGGATACCAGGGAGGGACAATGGGGTCGGAAGGAGAGGAGGATAGGACAGAAGCAGTCCGAGGGGAAGCTGCAGAACGCAGAAGAGGAGCAAGAGAGTTAATGTAAACCGAGTACAGGTGAGGACTGAGAACAGAACCTTGGAGAACACCTGTACAAGGGGAGAAAGGAAGAGACACATTGTTGGACAACAAGACAGAGACTTCAACGTTATCGAACAAATTGACAAAAGAGAGACGAGAGAAAGTGGGCAGAAGACGCCAACAGAGAGTTCCACACTACACGACGATCTACTGTGTCATAAGCAGCTTTTATGTCAAGAAAGCAACAACAGGTGATGGTGATGTTTGCGATAGTACTCCTTCATGAGTCATGTAAACAGAGGCCTGGTCAGAGCACTACGTTTGGACGGAATCCACCTTGGGCGACATCAAGGGAGGAGAGACAGAGACAACAAAAGAAGAGAGACACATCTCGAAGAGCTTTCTCATGATGAAGTGAGGGAGATTGGCCTGAAGTTAGCAGGATCGGTAACATACCCTTTTTGTGAATGGGGACAACATGGGCTTGTCGCCAAAGAGAAGGAGTGAGGCCCAACGAAAGCAAAGAGTGAACAGCTTCGAAAGAAGGCAAGACAAGGGACGACGAAGAGGGAGAAGCATCTCAGTACGCAGATGGTCTGGACCAGGAGCTTTTCGCCGTGGCAACAACTTCAAGAGGATGCAACCGCTTGAGAGGAGATGGCGAGAGACAACCTTCAGGGACCACAAAGGGCAAAGAAGAGGTAGAAGAAGGAAGAGGAGGAGGGCGAGTGATGGGTAGACCAGACCCAGAGTACACAGAAGCTAAATGGTCACGCATGACTTGAGCACCAGCAGAAGGACCGTCTGGATGAACGAAGCCAGCAGAACGAGAACGGCGAGACTTCAACTGTTTCACCTTCTTCAGAGCAGTTGACATGTCAGAAGCTTCTAACGCATTACAAAAGGCGCGCCAAGAGAGTTGCTTTGCTGTTCGAAGATCCTGCTTGAACTTTGCATGTGCTGCTATGTGTTGATTCCACCAAAAGACCTTGTCAAGACCAGAGGAATGACGCCACTTACGATAACATCGTTCACGAAGGTCTGCTGCTTTCTGTAGTGAAGGAGTCCAAAAGTGCTTCCAATGAGACGGACGAGGAGTACGGGTGCCAACCGAAGAATCCAACGCCGAGTATATAGCTGCATTGAGGGAGCCATTAAGGCTATCAATGTTTGGACAGGACAGAGAAGGACTAGAGAGAAGAGAATCCAGTTCATCTGACAGAGGAGAAGACAGAGAGGAGAAACGGTCAATGTACAGATCCTTAACATCAGGTTCGGCCAGCCGAGACAAGTGCCAAAGACGACGAGGACAGGAAGAAGAAGCAGATGGAGGAGAGGAAGGAGTAGCCACAGGGACTGAGAGGTCAAAGGAGAGGGACATCAGTTTATGGTCAGAGCCAAGAGAGAGATCAGACCTGATAAGGAGGGAAGAAGAAGGACTGGTGGTGATGGAAGGGATATTGGTCAAGAAGTAGTCGACAATGCTGCTTACTTGACGACCATGACGGAAGGAAAGGAAGGTAGGGACTCCATGGGAGAGAGAGGCATTCAGGATGGACAGAGAATGCTCTTCACACCATTGTTGCAAGAGGTTGCCGCGAGTGTTGGAAGTACCATCACCAGTGATGTCACCAAGACGAGCATTCAAGTCACCGCAAATGATAGTGTCAGTTGACAAAGGAAGGGAGTCAAAGACAGAGACAACTTCTTCAGAGGAGAGAGAAGGAGAGAGGTACAGCAAATGAGTTTAAGTGATGAACCCAATTGAAGGCCGAGAGCATAGAACTTTGCACTGGTATTTGGAACACAGGCAGAGGACAAGAAGGAGAGACAAGGCAAGACACACCCATGGACCCACGAAAGTTGCCAGCAACAGGAGTACCATAAGGTGGTGTTGTTCCCAAGAGGTAGGTAGACGAGATGGAGGAAGCAGCCAGGTTTCAGTGATGAGGATGAGTGAGAAATCTGGCAGTGACGGAGGAGATCATCGACCGAGGAAGCTTGGAGACCATTGGCATTCCAGAGGCCGATGTTGAGAGGAAGCAGAGGAGGAGAAGGAGAGACAGTAGAAGGAAAGGAAGGACGAGAAGGAGTGGATGAATCACTAGAGTGATTATTAAGAGGAGTGTGACCAGCACTCATTAATATTCATCTAACATTTCGGTGTCAGTGGGTGAAGAAGCAGGAGCAGCAGAAGATCTATCTACGTCATCCCAAGAGGCCAAAGGATTGCGAGGACCCAATGAGTGGAGGTCTTCCTCCGAGACCCAGCCAAGTTGAATGTACTCTCGGGCAACAGGACCAAAAAGGGGAGCACGATGCTTTGACAAGTACGCCAAAGAGAGAAGGAACGTTGATTCTGTAGGCGCAAGGCAACAGTGAAACGAGAGTCAGTGTCCATATCTTTGTATTTGGGGTCAGCAACATTGATGGGATCCAAAGGATCAAAGTCCTTTATAGTAGCAATCTTGGCTTTTGCAAGAAGACCTTCAAATGCTTCTTCGAAACCACGGTGGATCAAGAGACCGATTATATTACGGGCCGGGAAAGAGACATCAACGATGCGGCGAGGCTCGGCACCAAGAAGGCGAAGATTACGTCGGACTTCAGTCTTAGTAAAGCGACGGGAACGGTTGATATACACTGTTGTATATCCAGAGGGGCCAGAGACTTCATTGAACCCACGGACGATGGCTTCACGGCGCTTTACTGTCACCTTCTTACCTGCAGGTGGCTTAGCGGGACCCTTGGTAGCCTTGGGGCGACGTGCAACAACAGTGCTCCACATGGATGCTTCAGTACCTTGTTCAATAGAGGCAGCAGGTGTGGCGGCAGGGACGGCTGGGGTGGCGGCAGGAGCTCTAGCGGGAGTGGCAGCGGGTCTGGCGGGGGCTTCGGCCAGACGGGCACGGAGGGCAGCATTTTCTTGCTCAAGGGCCTTATTTTTGGTATTTAGGGCGGCAATAGTCTCCTCTAAGGCGGCAAATCGTTCCCAAAGCACTTCCTGCTGACTTACCTTTGCCGTGAGACTGGCAATTTGTTTCAAGATTGATGTTATGTCGACATTGTTGTAATTGCTCATTTCGCTAATGGGGGATTACGCAATTTCAAGCAATTAAAGATGATGGATGGCAAAATGTGGTCGGATTGAGCTGAAAAAAATACAGAAGATGCAGAAAAATTAAAGCGTTCAGAAAAAATAAAGATGAGAGTGATCCGATTACTAGATTTGGAAATATTACGTAAAAACTGGCAAAAAGAAAAAAAAAGTTCAGAAATGAATCGTCCAGATGGAAGGGAAGATGTTGTCCGATCGGAATAAAAAAAAATTCAGTAGCTGTATCTATTGAAGGCCTTTTTAATGATACCAAAAATAGGAATGGATGACTTGTTGTTGTTGAGTTATTAGCTGTCAAAGTTCGACTTTTTATTAAACTGAGTTTGAAACCAAGTAGAAAAATAAATAGCGGAAAGAAAGGGGGGGATGTAGCTCAGGTTAAAGATTATATTTTATTTATAAGTAATTATATGGGCACTCTATAGAGCATTAGCCAAATTACATGAACAAATTATATATAAAAACAAACAATATATACAAAGGAAAAAGTATAAAAAACCCCTGAGAAAACGAACAAGGGGAAAAAAGAAGAAGGGAAAAGGGAAAAGAGAATCAACAGACTAATTTGTATACTTGATGATCTAAAGGTACAACCAACGGATGGGAACTTTGATACGCACTTACCATCGTGGAGACGCAATTAGAAAACAAAAAGAAACATTTCATCAGCGACGAGAACAAGAAACAGACAACCATGAATCACCAGGATCGGGATCAGGAGCAATATGGGCTGACGGGTGACTTAGGGTATCAACCACGTACAGCAGAGAAAGTAAGGCCGACCAGAAAGGAGGAGGGCCAGAAGAAGCAGTAAGAGGGAGACAGTTAAGAGCATGATCAATCCGGTTGACACCAGGAGGAGAGACAGGCAACTGAGAGACCAAGGAGGAATCAACAGCACGACAGACCAAGATGTGATCACGGGTGAGCCTAGCACCAGAAGAACAAGGACACTCTTCATCCATGTTCGTAAAGCGACCGAGACGCCAGCGAACCAGTCGACTACGGGCAGTACGAGACATGGGGAGGTAGAGGATGGGATCCGGTTGCGACACAGAAGGACGACAAGCACGGAGGAGGACGAACTTACCAGAGGTGGAAGCAGCTGACATTTGACGATCAAACTGTTCTTGCCAATGGGAGTCAAAGAGAGCCTTGAGAGCGGAGGAGGATACAGGCAGAGGATCTGGGAGCGAACGGTATAGCGAGTTCTCAGAGAGATACTTCACCAAGCGAGAGTAACGCAGGCTGTCTCGTAAGAGAACAACCAAGCAGTCATCCGCAAGAGACCGAGACCGAAGAACGTAGCGAGTCATCAGGACCTTATACCGGTGATGGAACGGAAGGATACAGGTAATGTGCTTAGCAACATTAACCCAGGAGCTACCCAAGAACATACCAACCAACCTATTTTGCAACTTGTCAAAGGCTTTTACATCCGAAGATGTCAAACGAGAGATGGCCAGACCGTACTCAAGTTTGGGCCTAATGAAGCAAGTATACAGCCGCGAGGAAAGGAGAAGAGAGAAACCATTACGGTTGACACCGACCGAGTTAAGCAGAGCCATAGTTTTGACAGCACCAGAGGACCGCAAAGCCAGGATACCAGGACCATAAAGACCTTTACTACGGAACGGGACACCAAGATAGATAAACTCGTCAACAGTCGGAAGAGGCTCGCCATAAAGACGCAACCGAAAGTTGAACGAAGTAGAGGAGGTAACAGAAGGAGCATTAAGCACAGCACACTTGGAAGGATTCCAACGGTAGCCAAGAGAGAAAGAGTGAGAAGCAGCTAGATCCAACATCCTTTGCACTTCGTGCGACGAACCAAAGATAGCAACATCATCAGCAAACAGAAGGCAGTTGACCGGGAGTGGACTAGAGCGGGGCATACCAGGAGGACAAACCGAAGTAGTACTGGCAGAAGCAACAGACCGAAGGAGAGAAGGAAGGGAATTGATGTACAAAGAGTACAGATGGGGACTCAGCACGGAACCTTGGAGGACACCAGTGACTGGCCGAAAGAAGGGAGAGGAATGGTTAGAGATCAGCACCGAGACTTGGACATCATCAAAGAGGTGAATCAGTAAACCTAGAATCGGGCGAGAGAGAGAAGAACGAGAGAGAGCATGCCATATAACACGTCTGTCGACAGTATCATAGGCAGCTTTGATATCCAGAAAGGCCACAACAGGGTAATGATGGTGAGAGAGAAAGTAGTCATGCATTAGGTCATGCAAGCAGAGGGCCTGGTCGAGAGGACTACGTTGAGGACGGAAACCACCCTGTGCGACGTCCAGAGGAGGAGACTGGGACAGGAGAACGGGAGCAAGACAGAACTCAAAGAGTTTGCGCATCACCGAGGTCAGAGAGATAGGACGGTAGTTGGACGGATCCAAGGGATCACCTTTCTTATGGATAGGGAACACCTGGGCTTGACGCCACACGGCAGGAGTGTAGCACCACTGATAACAGATCTGGAACAAAGAAGACAACACCGGAGCCAGGTCCTTAGCCACGGCCTTCAGCATTTCTGCTTTCAGGTGATCGCGACCAGGTGCCTTACGGTTAGGTAGTTGCTTGATCAGCCTAAGTAGAGTAGGGACAGAAAAGATACCAAGATCAGAATCAGGGACCAAAGGAGAAGAGCCAGAAACGAACGGAGCCATACCCGAGAAGTCAGGAGGAGCAGCCGGACGATCCGCAGAAGAGAGAAGAGAACCATCATACACCTTCGCCAGATGGGCAGCCATAGTGTTAACTGCTGACTGTGGACCATCAGGGTGGGTATATGAGGCAGAGACTAGTTTACGACGCTTGAGCCGAGCCATGGTAGCAGTAGCCTTGGAAAGTTCTTTTCAAGAGAAGCACAAAAGTTCTTCCAAGAGAGACGCTTAGCAGCAGCAACAGAACGACGAAAGGAACGATGAGCATCTTGGTATAGGGTCCACCAGTAAGCTTTGTCAACTCCTACGGAGTGACGCCACATACGGTAACGCCTATCTCGCTCACGAGCAGCAGCCTCAAGATCAGCAGTCCAGTACTTATGCCAGTGACCAGGACGAGCAGCCTTTTGACCAATGGAGTCATCAAGAGCACGATAGAAACACTCGTTGAGGGAGTCATTGAGCGAGTCTATCGGCGGACGAACACCAGGAGGAGAAGAAACCAAGCCATCAAGGGTAACCTGTAAAGGAGCCACAAGAGACCGGAAACGAGATTGGTACAGGAGCAAGGGATCCACTTCATTCAACCGGGAAAGATTCCACAATCGACGAGGGGCCAAGACACCAGAAGAAGGAGCAGAGTGGAGAGGAGGAATGTACCCAAAGGAAAGAAACATCAGACGATGATCAGAACCAAGGGACAAGTCAGACTCAACCACCAGAGAAGGAGAGACCATACCAGAGGCAGGAATGTTTGTGATGAACAGGTCAATAATGCTACTAACCTCTACATTACGCCGAAACGTTGTAAAGGTAGCAACACCATGAGCAAGTTCAGAGTTAAGGACCCGGAGGGAACGTTCTTCAAGCCAGGGCAAGAGAGACCGACCACGGGGATTGACCACCAGATCACCTGTGAGAGCACCAAGACGAGCATTGAAGTCACCACAGAGAACGGTATCGGAGGAGAGAGGAAGAGAGTTAAGAACGGAGAACACCAGCTCATTAGAGAGGCTGGGTGGAAGGTAGAGACAATGGACAGTGACTTTACCAATTTTCATGGACAAAGTATGGGCATTATAGGACGGAAGTTGATGGACAGGAAAGGGACAAGAAGGAGAGACAAGGCAACTGATACCTGCAGAACCACGACCATTAGCATTAGCAACGGGTTTACCATACAAGTGATGTTGAGACCAGTTTGTAGGCAGGAGACCAGAAGTAAGCCAGGTTTCAGTGACAAAGAGGACATCAGAGCAAAGAGAGTGGATAAGACATCATGGACGGTGGTGGCACGAAGACCATTAGCATTCCATAACGCTATATTAAAGGAAAGGACTGGGTTAGTAGTAGCATCATTAATAATAAAAGAAGAAGGAACGGAAGGTGGGGGTATACTTAGATGAGGTGTCGATGATGGAGTCATTAAAGATCCATATCTTCAGCCTCGGAAGCAGAAGAGTCACCACTTTCTTCAGAAGAAGAGGGAACACCACGGAACATAAACGTAGCCTTCTTGGGCTGACCTCAGCAAGACGACGACGAGCAGAACGAAGAGCACATTGAAGATCGTATTCATCGATCCACCCCTTCTCAACGAAGGAGCGACCGACAGCAGCAACAGAAACAGGACGAACAAAAGAAAGAGTGTTGATGGCACGCTTGTGTACCAGAGAGAAGATTTCTTGGGCACGGGAGGCCTCAGACAGAGAATCATACTTGGGGTCGGCCAAGTGAGCGGGTCAAGAGGGTCAAAGTCCTTGATGACTTCGGCTTGCGCCTTAGTCATGATCTTGATAAAGTCTTGTACATACTGGGTATGTACGAGGACACCAAGAACACCAGAAGCAGGAAAAGAGATATCCAGAACGCGACCAGTATCCACACCAGCACGACGGAGACGAGAACGGACTTCAGAACGATCAATCTTCCTTGATCGTCCAGGTAAACATATTCAAACCTTGGGGCCTTGGGCCGCAGGGGACTTGAACGGGCGGGCGGCAGAGACACGCTTCTTCAGCGGGGACGGGCGGGCGGCCGCTGCAGCTTTGGCTGCGTAACTTACCTGAGGGGTTTTAACCCCATTTACGGCGGCAGGAGCAGAACCAGAGGAAACAGAGAACAGAGAAGCAGAGGAGCAGGAGACTTACCAGAAGCAGAAACAAGTTAAGTTGAGAACTTTGACTGGAAATGGTCTTCTCCATTTCCTTAATTCTTGACATGAGTGCTTCATTTTGAGATTTTAACAATGCATTTTCTTTTTGCAATGCAAGGAGTTCAGAGATGACCGTAGAATGCTGTTCAACTTTAGCAGAGAGGTTCAAAACAATCGTCTGAAGTTGTTCAGGGGTCAAGGGAACAGATGATGTTGGCAAATGTTGGACATTTGTCATTACATTGTTGAGAGATGTCGAAATGTTGGAATTGCTCATTTCAAAAATGATCGTGCAAAACTAAACGAAATTGAAAAATGAAAACTGGAAACAGTATCTACTCTTCGAGACGAATTGAATGCTACTATTTTTATCGATGGATGACTGATAGTTGATGAGATATCGCTATGGATGTATTTGACGATTTTTTATTTTTTGCAAATTTTTTTTTAAAAAATAAAAAAAAATAAAAAAAAAATGGGGATGTAGCTCAGGTTAAAGATTATATTTTATTTATAAGTAATTATATGGGCACTCTATAGAGCATTAGCCAAATTACATGAGCAAATTATATATAAAAACAAACAATATATACAAAGGAAAAAGTATAAAAAACCCCTGAGAAAACGAACAAGGGGAAAAAAGAAGAAGGGAAAAGGGAAAAGAGAATCAACAGACTAATTTGTATACTTGATGATCTAAAGGTACAACCAACGGATGGGAACTTTGATACGCACTTACCATCGTGGAGACGCAATTAGAAAACAAAAAGAAACATTTCATCAGCGACGAGAACAAGAAACAGACAACCATGAATCACCAGGATCGGGATCAGGAGCAATATGGGCTGACGGGTGACTTAGGGTATCAACCACGTACAGCAGAGAAAGTAAGGCCGACCAGAAAGGAGGAGGGCCAGAAGAAGCAGTAAGAGGGAGACAGTTAAGAGCATGATCAATCCGGTTGACACCAGGAGGAGAGACAGGCAACTGAGAGACCAAGGAGGAATCAACAGCACGACAGACCAAGATGTGATCACGGGTGAGCCTAGCACCAGAAGAACAAGGACACTCTTCATCCATGTTCGTAAAGCGACCGAGACGCCAGCGAACCAGTCGACTACGGGCAGTACGAGACATGGGGAGGTAGAGGATGGGATCCGGTTGCGACACAGAAGGACGACAAGCACGGAGGAGGACGAACTTACCAGAGGTGGAAGCAGCTGACATTTGACGATCAAACTGTTCTTGCCAATGGGAGTCAAAGAGAGCCTTGAGAGCGGAGGAGGATACAGGCAGAGGATCTGGGAGCGAACGGTATAGCGAGTTCTCAGAGAGATACTTCACCAAGCGAGAGTAACGCAGGCTGTCTCGTAAGAGAACAACCAAGCAGTCATCCGCAAGAGACCGAGACCGAAGAACGTAGCGAGTCATCAGGACCTTATACCGGTGATGGAACGGAAGGATACAGGTAATGTGCTTAGCAACATTAACCCAGGAGCTACCCAAGAACATACCAACCAACCTATTTTGCAACTTGTCAAAGGCTTTTACATCCGAAGATGTCAAACGAGAGATGGCCAGACCGTACTCAAGTTTGGGCCTAATGAAGCAAGTATACAGCCGCGAGGAAAGGAGAAGAGAGAAACCATTACGGTTGACACCGACCGAGTTAAGCAGAGCCATAGTTTTGACAGCACCAGAGGACCGCAAAGCCAGGATACCAGGACCATAAAGACCTTTACTACGGAACGGGACACCAAGATAGATAAACTCGTCAACAGTCGGAAGAGGCTCGCCATAAAGACGCAACCGAAAGTTGAACGAAGTAGAGGAGGTAACAGAAGGAGCATTAAGCACAGCACACTTGGAAGGATTCCAACGGTAGCCAAGAGAGAAAGAGTGAGAAGCAGCTAGATCCAACATCCTTTGCACTTCGTGCGACGAACCAAAGATAGCAACATCATCAGCAAACAGAAGGCAGTTGACCGGGAGTGGACTAGAGCGGGGCATACCAGGAGGACAAACCGAAGTAGTACTGGCAGAAGCAACAGACCGAAGAAGAGAAGGGAGAGAGTTAATGTACAAAGAGTACAGATGAGGACTCAGCACGGAACCTTGGAGGACACCAGTGACTGGCCGAAAGAAAGGAGAGGAATGGTTAGAGATCAGCACCGAGACTTGGACATCATCAAAGAGGTGAATCAGTAAACCTAGAATCGGGCGAGAGAGAGAAGAACGAGAGAGAGCATGCCATATAACGCGTCTGTCGACAGTATCATAGGCAGCTTTGATATCCAGAAAGGCCACAACAGGGTAATGGTGATGAGAGAGAAAGTAGTCATGCATTAGGTCATGCAGGGGATGTAGCTCAAATGGTAGAGCGCTCGCTTAGCATGCGAGAGGCACTGGGATCGACGCCCAGCTTCTCCAACTTCTTATTTCTTTACTTTTGTTCAATAATTATATTTTGATATTTATTCAAAATATATTGACATTTATTTTTATTTTTTATTTTTTTATTTTTAATAATGATATTTTTTGATATTCTTTTTTTTTTATTTAATAATAATATTCTTCTTTTTTTTTTCTTTTTATTTATTTGGAGTACAAGCTTAATTATTAGCTTTGTATAGTTAGACGATTATTATATTAAGTTTACAATTAATTAGAATAATTAACGGTATTATTATTGAAAGCATCATATTTTAACATAGAAGAAACTCTAGATAATAACCTAAGTTTTATGTTAAAATATGATTAAAAAAAAAATAAAAAAAAAATAAATAAATAAACAAATAAAATGAATAAAACATCATGTCATGATTCTGTATATTATTATTATCACGTTGGATGTATATTATTAAATTTATTACATCTAATTATCTAGGCAGGTCAGCAAGAAACATTATGTTCATTTTAAAATATTTGTTTAGTTTATATTCTTAATAAAAGATTTGTATTGTCTTAGATTAAATAATAATAATAAAATGAAGAGAGAAAATATTAAATATATCAGGAACTTATACTTCAAACTGAACAATAATAATTTCTTATTATTGTTATTACGAACTTGATACAAACTATTATATAATTATAGCATCCAATAGGTAGGTAGTTCGCAGATCAGTTATTCAAATCAATTAGACGTACACATTTAAATACCAATATTGTCTTCTAACAGTTTTTTTTTTTATCTTCTTTACATTAAATAAACATTCTTAAACAATATATATCTTTTTTTTTTAATTTCTAATATAATCTATACCACCACACATATCACTAAAATCTATCTTCTATTATTTCTATAATAACGTTTAGAAAAAAGAAGAAGGCTATTGATAATAATAATAATAATAAAAATAATAAAAAAAAAAAAAAAACTTCCAAATGATAAAGTTCAAACTGTGATGGCATATTTTAAAAATTAAATAAAAAGAAGAAGAAGAAAAAAAGAGAAAGAGAAAGAAAACAAAAGGAAGTATAGTTTGAGACTGTTTATTCAAAGATAAAGATTATTTCTTATCTAGATGACTATTCGTATTTATACGAATGAATCCTGAACCAAAAGAATAGAAATAACTATATATAAAAAAAAAAGGATAAATCATAAAACAGTGTTAGTATTCAGATATACATTGTGTTGATTCAAGCTACTGATTTATATGGATTATCTATTGCGTGTTATAATAATCTGATTAAGTTTTAGATAAAAAAAAAATAAATAATTGTATGATCCGAGTATATGTTCTTGATGTCTTATACATTTTTATTTTATTGGATCAAAGACGACCTCAATCCTTTATCAAAGTTATAAAAAATAAATATTTAGGAATGATACGATATCTTATTTAGTTGATACATTTAGATGATTGAATGTCATTAAGTTTTATGTTGTTTACATGATGTTATATACAGTCAGATATAATATCTTTTGTTATATATTCAGGCTTATAGTTTATCCTGTAATATGTAATTTATCTTTTATAATATTATTTATGATTATATTCAGAGCTTGTTATATAACAGATATATCTAAACTGTAAAATTAGCTTTGACAAAGGCAGTTGAAGGTGTACTGGACATGAATGAAATTTGTTTGCTCCCGGCGTACAGTTAGCTATGAATAATAAAGTAAAAAAAAAAAAAAAAAGATTGAATATGCCTCCATTTAATTTAATGTTTGACCATAAAAATGAATCCTTTTAAAGATTACAGTAAAGATAAAGATAAAAATAATAAAACCATAAGATATAGGCAATTAACAGATTGAATAGATCATATATCAGAAGTGGTATTTCCTCCTATAAAGGGTATAATTAACAAATATATAAATGACATGAAAGAAAAGTACGTTAAATAAATAAAAAAAAACGTTATTAAAGATTTCAAACCTGGTACACAAGTAATAATCAAAATACCAACTCTAAAAGGATTCTTAACACCATGTTACAAAGCTCCTACTCTGTTGTACGCAAAACAAGAGGTGGTTATTATGTACTTTAAGATATGAAACTAGATTTTAATATCCAGAAATTATTCAAGATTGTATTGACAATAATAATAAGAATGAAGACATATATGATATAGAAGGTATATTAGATCATAAGGGTACCTGTAAAAGACATAAAGTACAAAGTACAACGAACAGGTTATAGCAAGGATGAAGATTCTTGGGTTACCCCTAATCAAATCGTACATAAATTTACTATCAAAACATATTGGAGACGTAAATTATGGAAAGATTATAAATTCTATAAAAAATAGTAGACATTTAAATTACACAGATACTATTAAGAAATTTTCATAAAATTGATAAGTCTATTAAAGCGCTACAAAACTATAATGAATATTCGAAACAGGTACCTGAATTACAGCAAAAACAAAAGTTAAAGATCAATGATAAATCCTTAAAGGATACAACTATTAAAAGACGCAGTAAATGGTTATATACAAGGAACAACAATAAATAATTGAACGGTTATCTCAACCTAGTAGAGGGTAAAGTTTTGATTGTACATAACATATACAAATATATTTTTTTTCCTAATTAAACTACTCTCACTTACGCCTATGTCTCCGGATTTATTTTTTTCTTGATATTTTAAACTATATAAAATACAATATATAGCTTATTTTGATCATTACTTTAATGTACTGTAGTCATATATTACATATAATTTCTATTACCTACATTTTAACTGTTATATTACATATCTAAGCATAATTAATTGTATTATACACCATATAATATTTGGTGCTGGCAATAATAAACTTGCATCGTCTTTTTTCTATCATTCATAATATTAATTTAGTCTAATATTAATAATTGTTCATTGTTCATATAGTATATATATGCTCTAAGATAACATAAAATATCATAATATAACGTATCATATCATATCATATCATAACATAATATAATATAATATAATACAATACAATACAATACAACATAATACAACATAGTAAGCTCTATTCCTCTATTTTAACCTGTCCTTTGCAATCTTATTCTATTTTGTCTTATTTTAGTTTTATTTTATTTTATTTTATTTTATTTTTTTTTCTCTCTTCCTTCTTCTTCTACCTTCCTTCCTTCATTCATTCATTCATTCATTCTTTCCTTCCTTCTATATTAAGTTAAATTTGGGGCGGATACTTAGTCTTTTGAAAAGTGTTTAAAAGTAGTTTAATAAATTTAAACTAATATTGATCTTTTGGTAACTCATCTTTACTTTAAATTTACTATTTGAATTAAGAAGATTGATGAATTTAATTATATTAAGTGAAAGGAAAGACAGTATGTAAGAAGTCTTTATTATGATTACTATTATTATGTATGAGTATATTGATAAAGATAATTCAAGAATGATTTTTATAAGCTTAATTTATTTTGAACAAAATATTATAGAAGTAGTAGTTTAATAGAAGTAGTAGTTCCATAGAAGTAGTAGTTCAATAGAAGTAGTAGTTCAATAGAAGCAGTAGTTTAATAGAAGTAGCAGTTTAATAGAAGTAGCAAACCAATGGAAGCAGCAATTCAATAGTAGTAGCAGTTCAATAGAAGTAGCAGCAGCAGTAGTATTTCATTTTTTTTCCCTCATCATTTATAGACTTTAGTAAAAGATATAAAGATATAAAATATAAACGAACCTGATAAAAAAAGAAAAAACCTGATGTCTAAAGTATGAGTGATGTAAAGGCCTTTTTGCTAAATGATACACAGTGGACTTCTTGTAATTCAGAGTTTGTTAGCGGCTTGCGGCATACATATATATATATATAAGCCGTATATATAATATATATATATGATATGCTTTTATCCTAATCGACAGAGCTTTCGTGCTCAACTCCTTTTATCCCCCCAGAGAATTGAGGAAATTGTATTTTTTGATAGTTACTTACTTTATTCTACTCCACTGCACCAATATACCTACTAATTTTTTTTTCCGTTACGTTCGTCTGGGGGGATGCCCCATATCATCTTTGGTGGAAAACATGATTCAAGCAGTAGTTAAGAAGGTGGATGCTACCCCTAGGCAATCTCTAAAATTACAAAAAGCTTGCATACCATTTGTAGTTGGAAAGGAACGGATCTAATATTGTATGCCACAAGATAAGCGCTAGGATTTTTTGAGAGCTATGTCTATTTGTACACATGAATAGATAAATATGTATTTTAAAACAGTTAATATAGGATTACCATGAAATAGAAGACGTAATAAACCTTTAGCATTAGCATCAATATAAAAGAAGAAGCCAGAAGACTAATCTATAATATATATGTCTATATATATATATGTCTATATATATGTCTATACATATTTGAAATAAATACGTGTAAGTACATTTTATCTTTTATTTTACTCTGTTCCCTTTTATTTTATTTTATATAATACCTCTATTGTTTCATTTTATGTATTATATCTGTATATACCATCTTTTACATGTATAGTTGAAAGATATAAAGCTAAAAGAAATACACTTCTTTTTTTTTTTCTTTAAATAACTGGGGTTATGAAAAAAAAAACAAAAGAAAAAAAAAAGATGAAATAAACAACAAATAAAGATAAGAAAAGATGACGTATACAAACACTCCTTACATTATTGATATTATGAGAGAATAAATAATACACATGTGTATGTATGGATTGATTTTTTTTTTTTTGTAGGGAAAGGCAGCGAAGCTGTCTTTCTAAATTTTATTTAACGTCCCGATGGGACTAGAAAAAAAAATAGATTAAAGAATATAAAATAAAAGTTTTGTTGAAAATTCGTTTCAAAGAGAAAAAAAAATTATAAGAGAGCAACTTCGTTAGTATTGTAAGCTCAACAAAAGATCGTAGTGGTGAGATTATATGTCTGCTTTATTTTGAAAGTGTAATTGCCAAATGACAGCCGAGCAAAAAGGAAGAAGAATATCGGAACTAAAAGGATGCTTATCGAAAACCGATCGCCAATGATTTTTCCACAGGCTGAGTAAAATACAACCAACAACAGATAAAAAGGAAACAGAGGAAGCCACAGGAGAGGTCAAATCTTTGAATTCTCCATAATCTAGAGAGAACAACAAAGACAATAGCTGTTGAGAAGTAATTTGTACTCTGGGGAAAAAGGTAGTAATAGTTGTATGCCAGATATGCCGTTTGATGGGACATTCATAGATAAAATGTCTGAGATTATCCTCGGGATGATGACAATGAGTGCATTCAGGTGATGGATGAGTGTCTGGAATTAGATGATTAAGTAGACTTTTGGTGGGGATTTTATCGTGAATTGTTCGAAACCACACGGTATGGGCTGCTGGAGGAAGAGATGTACGCCAAAATTTATTCCATTGAGAAGGACTAAGTTTCGTAGTTGCTTGAGGAGGAAACAGAGTGTCACGTATCAAAATACCAAGATGTTTAGGAGATTCGAATAAACGAATGAAAAAGGGCATTTGAGTTTCGACAATAGGGAATAAGCCAGCATCTGGAAGATCAGGGGCAGGAAGTACGAAATGCATGTGCCGAGAAAAATTGTACAAAAGTCGAACGGAATTCGAGCCAACAGCGACTCGAAATTTATGGAGTAACCTGGGATACCTTGTTTCACGATCAGTACGTTGTCGAAGTAAACCAGTTTCTAAGTCGATAATAAAGAAATCCTTAGCTCTCACTTTGGACATCCCTAAGGTATTTCGAGCGAATACTGTAAACCTCAACGACTCATTTTGTGAAATGAATGGAGTCTGGGAAGTTGAAGTAATAATGGAAGCTAAATCCAGGTCTAACATAGTCGCCAATGACAGATCGGCATGATCGATATTACTAGGCGGCAATGAGTCTTGTAGGGAAAAAACAGTTTAAATGCATTGTTGGTCAAATGATTAAATCCCTTTCTTCTTGTAGGAAATAATAGAGGCCATTAATAAGATGAGGAGCCCTTAGTAGCGATAAGGGATAAACCATATTTGATATACGGAATACTGGTGTGTAAAAATGTGGCACTTATATATTGTGGTTGTTGTAAGATGGTTGGTGAAATAATGAGATCTGCCAACCAACGCCAATGCAGTTTCATTTGTTGAACCATTGGATCCAGCACTCCTAATCCACCATGATGTTTATGTGGAATTAAATTACGATAAGCTATTCGAGGGAAGCGAGAGGCGTTAAGGAAGGCGCCACATATACCACGAATACGATCGATCTGGGACTTTGTGAGGGGAACCACACGTAACACATGCCAAAATTTAGACAGTAGAAGAGTGTTGATTACGACCGTTCGACCTATTACCGACAGATTACGTTCGGAATGAATTTGACAACCAGTTTGGATTTTTAGTATTAATTGATCAACAGCAAGGTTTCTCTGACTTGCACTTGAATAAAGAGGATAACCAAGATATGTCAAGGCTTGTGGAGGATGTTTGTCATGCCATGAAGTAATAGGGGAGGACAGTGAATTCAGAAAGGAAGTCCAATAATGATTGGATTTGCCTGATAGAGAAAATGCTTGAGTTTTCTCAAAGTTCAATTTCGCATTAGAAGCGAGTGAATATTGATGAATTAAATTTTCTAAACAACGAAAATCGTTGTGATCTTCAAGTAGTACCAGTGTATCATCAGCATAAGCCATCACCTTGAGAGGAGGGAGAGAATATCCAGACGGAAGAACAGGAAATGTAAAACCCTGAAAATGGGATGACTGATGGATAGATCGCAAGAAAGGATCGAAAGCAATATTAAAAAGTAGGGGCGAGATAGGATCACCTTGACGAAGTCCGCGTTTTTGAAGAACAGGAGAAGAAAGATGACCATTAATGTTTATCTGAATTTTCGTGTTGAAAAAAAGAGAACTAAGAGAGGATATTATTTGATCAGGGATACCAAACCGCTTCATCATTTGAGCTAAATACGTTGGATGAATACGATCATATGCTTTTTCTTGATCAAGTAAAAGACCAATAGCAGTTGACGAGGTGTGTTCGGCTATGGACATTACTGTATGCAAAGTTTTTCCATTTTCTCCTATGAATCTGTGCGGCATAAATCCCATCTGTTGAGGACTGATTAAATGGTTAAGATATCCCATTAGACGGACCTTGAGTAATCGAGTGAAAATTTTTGCGTCCGTGTTGATAAGACTGATAGGTCGATGATTACTTAAATTTTTTAGATCACCCTTTTTAGGAAGTAAAATCATACATGTTTTATTCCAACTAGCAGGGAAAATACCTTTCAACAGAGCATCATTATAGACTTGAAGAGCAATAGGAAGTGCAGCAGAATTATGTAAAATGTGAAACAAAATTTGATACGGTAAACCGTCAGTTCCAGGACTACTTTGTGTTGGAGAACGTTTAGCAGCTTCAAACAAATCCTCTTTGAGGAATGGCTCGAGCAAAGATTTCCGTTGATCATCACTGAGAGTGGAAGAAGGATCTATAGCTTGAGCTAAGCGGTCAGTAGCGTGTAGGTCAATATTGTCAGGAGTATATAACTGTTGATAGAAAATGCGAGCAGCCTCTGTTAAGGTTTCCGGTGAAGTACAAGAGGTTGAACTAATTGGATGTGTTAGTTCTGGTACGAAGCTTTTAGTTAATCGAGTGGTAATAGATCGTTTAAGGTAAGAAGGTGATGATTCACCTGTTTCCCTCCAAAATTTCTGAGCACGTAAGGCATCATTAGCTACCATTTCTTCTTGTAAACCTTGTATTTGGGTTTCCACTCTTGCTAGTTTAAACTGTAATACCCCAGGCGAGGGTAATTGTTTGTTAATAATGTCAAGACGTTTTTGTTGTAATAAATCTAAATGTTTGCGACGCCAGTTGGAGTGGGTACGACTAAATTTACGAGCTACTTCTTTGACCGTAGTTTTAATGGAGTCCCACCGAATTTGAGGACTGAGTCCAGAGCGAAAGGAATTGCAAATATTGTTTATTTCTTGATGCATATAGTCTAAAAACTTGGGATTAGAGGCTAAAGCCGGATTAGCACGCCATAAACCTTTTCCTGTATTTGTGGAACTACATTTGAAAGAAAACGTTAAAAGGGCATGATCAGTCCATGATGGAGAAATAAATTCTACAGTAGAGTCCACCTTTTGATAGTATAAATCAGAAGATGAAAATATGTAATCAATGGTTGACATTTGTTGTCCCCGACGAAAAGTAGGTAAATTATTAGCAGGGTCTAAACAACTACGGAAAATTGATTGTAAATGTTGATGCCAGCGTTGTTGATGATTACTCATCCCCTGAGATCCAGTCAATGACTTTGATGACCCATCATGAGCATTGTAGTTGAAATCTCCAGTGATAATTGTGCGTGTCGGAAGAGTGATACTACTGATAAGAGTATCATTCAAACTGATTCCTTTTGGAACAAGAATAGGTAAATCAAGTATACGAGAAAAAAACAATTGACGTTTTGAAGGCTGAGCAGGTGCATAGATAGTGACAATGGTAAGTGGATCAAAAATACGTTGTGAATGTGACACAGTACATTTGAGAACACGTTGATCCGTTGATATAAAGATAGGTTGGAGCTGAAGTAAAGGGTTAAGGCAGACTATACCACAGTGTTTACTCCACATTGTATGTTGAGATCTGAAAAGACTAGTTAAAATTTTTTCAAGTTCCAAGGATGATGCATTTGTTTCTTGTAGAGTGAGAATATCTAGATTAGTTACTTTTCGTAAGAAGCGGACAAAATCTTGCCGAGTAGTAGGATTATTAATTTTGACAAGACTGCGACAGTTAATGGAAGCAATCTTGATAGTATTGGATTGAAAAGAATCAGGTAAGAGAGGAAATTGTTCTTGATCCGTAGCAGAGTCAATAGTAATAAGAGGAGGTACCGAAGTAGTATTAGTGATGTTAGGTGTAGTTGAGTTATTTGTAAATATATAATTCATAATATTTTTTTTTAAGTAAATAATCTTTTAAATGGGATGCTTAGAACTGGACTCCTCAACATTGAGTTTCCTCGGATTGACGAGAAGCGATGGGAGAGGAGTCATGACCATATTTTTTAGGAGCGATACCTTTAGTGGAACGAGTAGATCTTCGTAGAGTAGAAGTATTAGAAGAACTGAGATTTACCGAATGGTTTTTCTGTTGCAGATCATGGGTTTGAGAAACCAATTGAGCATGAGGCTCTACTTGAGTTTGACCTGCCAATTGAGCTTGTGGATCTGATTGAGCTGGAGTTTGACTAAGCTGTTGCAAAATAGAGCCAGAAGTATTCTCAGGATTATTGATAGTGTATTCTAGGATGGTATGATCATGAACTTCATTTTCATCAGTCGAGAAATCCATAGATGAAACCGAAGTGGATGTATTTGTAGAGTGAGAAGGGATTGGTGTTGGTCCTTCAGTGATAAGTTGCTCTGAATTAGTACCCTTTGGAACGGTAGCCATTGAGTCTATTATTTCTTTGATAGCAGTAGGAGTAGCGGGTTTAATAAGTACTTTGTCTAAACTAGGAACGAAAGTTTGCTCTTCGGAACGGACCCTTTTCTTTGATGAAGCTAACTTATTGTCGTGTACTCGAGGACAATGGCGAGCAAGATGGCCTCTTCTATCACAGACGTAACAAGTTTTACTAATGGTAGGGAGCTCAGTGCAATCTTTACGGGTATGACCCATTTGTTTACAGTAAACACAGTGAGATTCCATCTTGGCCCACTTGCCAAGGCAGAATGTTTCGTTACCAAGATCAATCTTGTAAGTAAGGTTATCCCACTGTTTTGATTCAGCGGATGAATTATCAACGTATCGATCAAGAAAAATAGCTCCGTTGCCACAGAAGGCGGTACGAGACTCATCATCTAAGTAAATAACTATATCTCGAACCATTCCATATCTAGAAAAATTATCTAATAGAGTCTGATGAAGTTCCTCTGCAGGAAGAAATGGGATCTTGGACAGGTGAACCTTTATCAAAGAGCGGCCACCAGCAACAGCTTTACTTGCCGTGAATTGATGATCCCCCACTGAAATTGGTGTTTGACAAGCATTCTCAACGGAGTCGGAGTTAGCGAAAACTACCTCAATAATCTTCCCCTGGCTATCCTCAGTAGCATGGGTACCTATACAAACTCCAAAAGGAAAACGGAGATTGCGAGCTTTTTGGAATTCTGTAATCAAAAAACTTTGTTCCTTAGGTATACAATAAAAAACAGAGTGCTTGTAACTACTAGTACGATGAATGATGGATGGTTTCGATCTAAGATTCGCAGTGACTGGGACGTATTGTTGATTTCCCAGAGAAACGGCGATCCTTGCAGTGGTAGGGAATATGGGCCGGGATGGGACTTTCAGTGAGGAGCCTTGTTCAGCTACGTCTCGATATGAGCGTATTAAATTCTTTGAATGGCCATGAGATTGGTCCTCAGTATTGTTTGAGGGTACCGTCATGATGGATAAACGAAAGAAGATGTGTATGGATTGATTGACTTCTTTTTTAAATATATATGTGCGGTATTTTAATCTTGTCTTGACAGTGCTGATACAAGCAAATTAAATTATATAATTTAGAGGGTACTAAAATAATTCAGGAACAATAAGGAACCAATATTGTATAATAAAAAGAAAACGACAATAAAAATAAAGATAAAAATATAGAGATATTTGAGTCATAAATGCACTCCATTACTTGAAATGAGCTGTCAGTAAATGACCTATTCTGATCTGATTCAATCTAAACCTTAGCAAATGTTCAAGTTCTATTATATATGATTTATATGATTTATATGGCTTATATGATTTATATAGTTTGCCCCTTATTAAATCATAAAATGAGGATGATGTAATAGCATAGTATAATATATATGTGTTGTCTATGACTACCGTTGGCCTTCAGCTAATTAGATACCATTTTAAGCATGAAAATTAATATCAGAAAAAAAAAAGTTAACGTTGTCTAGGTGATAGTAACTATATAATAATAAAGTAATAGATATATATCGTATAAAGGTAACTATATAATTCATGTTTTCACTAAAAAGGCATAAAATACATAAAATACATATAATAGAATTAATAATAAGCATATAAGCCAGTTTTAGCTAGTTTTAGCTAATTTTAACCAGTATTATTATGCTTTGATTGATATTAATTCATTAGTATATTCCAATAATATCTCAAATACATATTTAGCATACATATAAATATGCTATGCTATTTTATTACAAAAGACTACTGTTATTTATTAGAAAAAAAAATTACACACATATATGAGTAATAGCAATAGCAGCAGTATTAATAGTAATTTAGTCTAATAGTAATAACTGTTCATTTATTCATTCTACTATATAAATATATGCTCCAAGATAATATAACATATCATAATATAACATATCATATCATAACATATTATATTATAATTTAATATAATATAATACAATGTAGTAAACTCTATTCCTCTATTTTTTACCTGTCATTTGCAAGCAATCTTATTCTATCTTGTCTGATTTTATTTTCTCTCTCTTTCTCTCTCTCTCTCTCTATCTGTCTGTCTATCTATCTCCATTCCTTTTTCCTTTATTTATTTATTTATTTATTTATTTTTTCCTTCCTTCTATATTAAGTTAAATTTGGGGCGGAGCGCGAAATGCGATTTTTATAAACACTGCAGTTTCCTTTTTAGGAATATTTTTTCAATGGTTTATTAGATGTATGTGTTATGAGATGAAGCATATCTTGTTTGTTGATTAAAATATTTCCAAAATTCGTTGTATTTTTGAAATTCGTTCTTCATACAGCTGCTTCTATATACTTTATATCCTTTTGTTTATAGTCGGCGATTATAATTGAACCTGCTGTTATTCAATTTATTTGTACATAAAAGGTGTTGCAGTGTTTCACAAAATTGCTTCAAATTTACTCTTTTCTCTCTTGTTTACATTTGTTTTTTATAACGGGTAATATATATTACAGATATATATATAACTCTTCATTAGGTAGAAGTCGGTTCTTTTTCTAATAATGTCAATGTTATGAAAAATATATATTTTGACGCATGTTATTTAGAATCTGTAGTTACCAAGTAAAAATATTTTATAAATCGGTTATTTAGGTTCAAGTTAATTATATTTATATTTTGTTTAGTTGCCTTTTATTTGGAGGGCCTTTTTGATGCGTTTAAGCATAATACTTTCTTTATGTTTTTATATTAATATGTTGTTGTTTTGTTATACAAAACATTTGATATTGGCGATCACATCTCGCCTACATTGATTGTTTGTCGTGATTGGATATAGTATAATAATTAGCATAGTAATCTCATAATATCGTTATATACGAAAATAAAGTTAAATGTTAAAGTTAAACTAAAATATTCATACACAGTGCTGATATTAGTACAAGTACAGTGATAAACAGTTCTAGAGCTAAAATTAAGGTACCGCTGATCATAATTATAATTTAGCTGTCATGTCAAACGTAAATGATTGTCAATATTCATAAACTAAACTTGATATAATGATATTATCGTCGTATATATCAAATTAAGATGAGTTTTAATAAGCGATGGAAATAAGTGTTTATCCATTACAACTATTGTATATATCGTCTACATTGAATCGATCACTCAATAATATATAACCTGATTATACAAACTAATATACTGTAAAGGGATGATAACATACAATTTGAACGGATAAATCAATAATAAATCGATTATATAAAAAGTGTAAATAGCAGACATTTATATAAACATATATAATTTTATTTTTCCTTAGTTAATTTCGATTAATATAATATCTTCATATTAATAAAAGTATTGACAAATTTCGTATATTTTATCTTTGTTTATTTTATACTTCTCTTCCTGAACACAAACACCACAACTTAAATCGGATCATTATATAATAATAATACGCAATAGATAACCCGTACATCAGTATTTTAAATCGACAAAATGTATTGAATACTAACATTGTTTTATGACTTATGTTCTTTCATAGTTTATTTTGTTTTTATTTTTGTTTTTTTTATTCAGGATTTATTAGTATAATATAAATACAGATAGTTGTTTAGTAACGAAATGTTTTTTATCTTTAATTCTTTTTGTTTTCATTATTTTTTTTACATTATCTGAATACGATGTATTAACAAAAATATCCAAATGTACCAATAAATTCAGCCTCGATACCACTGTCAATAACATTGATCTTTTCAGTTCTCAGGTTGAATTATTGTTCATAAAGTTGGTGATTATAAAACTGTATGTATTAGATTGAGTACATTTAATGTTCAATTGACTGATTTATTTGTTTAGATGCTTATTTTATCTTGGATAATTACTTGAAGGAGAATACAATGAAGATTGGTATCGTGTAAATGTTTATAGCGATGTTTTCGACCTACCTTGTCACTCAAAACATAGATACAAAACGAAAAGATAAAAATGTATCACCTGTTTCTTCAATGACGCTTTTGTTAAACTCAAGTTTTATGAATCAGAATGTAATTCACAAACTATCAAGGCATTAAAAGCGAATAGCTTAGTAGATGTAGATGAAAAGGATATTTTTTTGGGCTTCATAAAAAGAAAAATAAGCCATAAATTACTTTAAATTTACTATAACAATTATAATTATGTATAAGCTTTCTAAAGACAACAGATGTATGCGCATACTATTAGCTACCCTTCATTACTTTAAATTTGTTCATAGATATCGAGCTCTTTTTTTGTGTATATTTGGTCATATGTTTTAGATCCTCCAATTTTAACCCATAATCTTTCAGAGTATTTATAAAGTCACCAATAAGCACTTTGTAATATAATCGCAAGCTCATCCGGCCCTCTATTTTGGCAATCAAGCCAAAACCATCTTGTGTAAAACGGCTCTACAACATTAGACTCTTACTTTCGCTTTTGTACTGATAGTTAACAGCTTGATCTTCAAAAAGGATGAACCCTTTTGACTCACGTCCACTGCTTTCCATTCAGTCCTAGCCTATTTATTTTTGTTTCGTCGCTGAAAACAACTTTTTTTTCCAGTCTTCAACGGTCCAACTTTTGTGAGTTTATGCCCATTCCAACTAATTCTTCTTTCACTTATTAGTTAATGGTAATTCAAACTTTTTGATGCTGAAATCGAAATTAGATGTCTTAAGGAATGTACAAATAGTCTGAGCGAAAATGTTAATATCTTGACCTCTTAGGCATCTGGCTGCTTCAACTGCTGTAATAAAATGACCAATATAGAATGATCAGACGATCAATCTACCAAGATGATCAGAGATTAATCTTGGGCTATGGCTTTAGAGAATTATATCCTGATATAGACAGAAAAAAAAAATAAAAATAAAAACTATGCCTTTATTGCTAAAATCAGTTTGTTATGTTCCATTAAATATTTAAAATCATAAAGCTGAAAAAAAAAAACGGGTAAAATCTATTATATAAGAAGCTCATTTCAATTGACTCAGTTATGCGGAATCTTAGATGATGGGATGAGCGATTGAAACGTTCAGTCTAATTAACAACACGAATGAAGTTAGGACCTCAAATTGTATCATTAGATCGCTTAAAACCTCTAATTTTTGAAGTAACAGAGAAAAAGATTAGTAAACCAAACCTATAGAAGAGCAACATAAAAAAAGTTAAAAAATCATGAAAATCAAATACATGGTAACACTTTAGTGATTCACTGTATGTTGTACTGCTTATTGAAGTTACTTTTAATCTAATTGTTAACTTGTCTAAAATATATTATTTTGATGAAATTAAATTATTGCAATTATTCATATTTTCTCAATAATGTCAATATAACAAGTTTTGTCAACTAATGTAAAAAAAAAAAAAAAAAAAAAAAAGATAAAAAAAGAAAAATAAGAATAATTTGTACATATAAGCTATTGCCCGTTGCTCCCATATTGGGAGGGGGAGAATTTAGCTCCCTTACTCCGACCCGGGAGAATTTGATGTATTAAAAAACATCTTGTACTCCATAGAATTTTTTAAATAATTTTTCTATAAAAGATATTTATCATTTAAACAGACATTACTATTACATCATTCTTTAATTATTATACATCTTTTTTCTTTTTTTTTTCTAATGTAAAAGAAGTCAAGGAACTTCTTTATTCTAAATATAAATATGTATATAATAATCAAAGTATATTCAAAACCCACAATTTGAATATAAATTAAACTTCTTTTTGACTCAGAATTTAAGAAAATTAATTTATTCTCCTTGAGTTTTATATTAACGCGCTCTATGTCAAATTCCAGGCTTCGGCTCTTTGTAACCCGATTTCTGTGCCGAATGAGTTGCTAGAAAATTAGAACTGTCCAAGCACCCATTCTTTAGTTTGTTGGTTTAAATCTACCAATATTAGAGAGGGTCGGTAGAGTCGCAAAAATTAAGCGAAGAAAAAAAAAAAAAAGAAAGAAAAGGAAAATGAAAGAAAAAACTATCAAGTAGGTTAATAACATTATGTAAGGTAATTTTCTATTGTTATTTAGTGAAGAGTAATAAGAAGATAAGCTATAAATCATAATATCATTATCGAAATCAACAAACAAACAAGCCTATTTTCCATTTGGTTAAATATACATAATTCTACTGTTCTAGTATGATTTAACTATGAAAACAGATAATAGGTAGATTAACTGTTGTCTCATCAAATCTATACTGCTTTAAAATAATACTATTAAATAGCCCTGTTACATAGTGGTAGTTTTAGAGAACTATGATGTTATCTCTTTATGCTTAGTAAAACATAAAGCAAGGGTACATAAGATTTTCATTATATTCCCGAACCGAATATTCATAACTGAAGTTGCATAGTTGTGTAATATCATTTGTACGTCAGAGTTTAATATAAATTGTTTTATACATGTATTCGAGCAATAAAGATTATGAATATATCGGGATAAAACTTAACTTAATTGAGTAAATTACTACTCCTTTCATAAGAACAAATGCACAGTATGATGCATTTTTTTTTTTTAAAAAAAAAGTAAAGAAAAAAAAAAACGGGTAGTATGATAATCACCATGGTAACTCCGCGAAGTCTAAAAAATTGAAGATCCCATAAAGATCGGATTTATGCGGGCAGAAATACATAATCATTTGCATGTACATTTTCTTTCCTTTTTTTGGGGGGCAGATAGAGAAAGAGATTAAGATTAGGAAGAAGAGTGATTTATGCTATTAATATAAATATTTTATATTCTAAACCTTTAATTCTTCTTTTTTCCATTCTTTTCTTTTTTTTTTAACTTACTTTTTTTTTTCAATTCTAAATAATGCCTCCTTATACTCATCAAAGCTTTGATGAAATTGAGGTTAAAGAATGGGCATCGAATACAGTAAAGACTATATTAAAAGACGTATCACCAGTATTATTTACAACTAATTTTCCAGAAAGCTATAATTCAACAGATATAGTCGAGAATTATCAACAAAATAAGAATTTACGACGATCATTTTCATTTTTGGAGGGAAGTTTATTTGGTACATCAACAGAAAAGGAATTAAGGAATTCTCGAAGGACACAAAGTACCCTTATTCCAACTATGATAGACGTATCTAATCTATTGACTACACAATCAGGGCCTACGACTCCATTAAATAATATTTCTCCCTCTTCAGGTCGTAACCGACAAAGTTGGAACTTGGACTCTACATCTGTAGTAAAGCAATCCTCTTTTCATCATAGACTTGATATGCTTGATAATCATCTAAACAATAAAAAATCAAGTAAAGAATTGAAAGGTATCACTACATGGAGAAATAAATATGCAGAATACATGATTCACCCTCCCAACTTTTTAAAATTTGATAAGGTAATTTTTTTTTTTTTTTTTTTTTTTATATTTTAAACATATTTAATTTCTTTCCATGTTGTGATTATAGTCTAAAAAGGATACGAAAAGATCTACTCAATTATTCAAATTTATTATGACCGAGTTATTAACAACAGAAGAAACATATTTAAACCATTTATTGACTATAAAAAACGTAGGTATAATGATATTATGTACAAAATCATGAGCTAATGGATATATATATATATTTACATGTATACTAGTTTTACATGGATCCTTTAATGCATGCTGCAAAGAGAAGCCAGAAAAAGTCTTCCCTTGTCAATTTAAAAGATGTAGAAATAATATTTGCATTTATACCACAGTTAATTGCCTTATCTACAATCCTTGTTGAAGGCTTACACGAAACAGTGACTCAGTATTTAGAGGATGATAGTAAAAAACATGCACTTTGCATTGGAAAGATATTTTGTAGTCTTGAGCCTTATTTTGAAATCTATATTGCTTACTCTGTCAATTTTTCAAAATCAAGAAAATATTTATCAAAGGCGAGTTCAAATATTGTGTATCGTCAGTTAGTTCAGGTAAATACATATTTATATGTTATATAGCATTATTTTGACTCATAAAAAAAAAGGACACAATAAGAAAAAAGGAAACAAATAAAATGTTACTTTCTGATTATATGATTGCGCCTATTCAAAGGATAACTCGTTATTGTCTTTTACTAACAGGTAATAAATATACTTATGAGGTTCACTACAATTAGGTCATAATTATTTATCTTTTTCTTTTTTTAGATCTTTTAAAGCATTCAATTTCATCTAATCCTGATTACACATATTTGGATAGAACTCTTAAATGCTTATCTGCACTTGCGTTTGCCATGAATAATGTTCAGTAAATCTGGTGCATTTTCAAACATATATCTATATATCCTGTAAATAACTTTTCATTTCATATAAATATGCTTATATGCCTTATTCCCTTTCCCCCCTTTATCATGTAATTCATATTGTATATTATATGTTCATTCATATTAAACATATTTATTAACAAGGTCATGCACTTTATAAAGCGTTTTTTTTTTTTTTTTTTTTTTTTTTTTTTTTTTTTTTGGTTATCTGTCAAATATTAAATGCAGGCTGTATTAATGTATGTGGCGAGCCTTTTTCTAATAATTCAAAAACTAAATGACTATATATATCATCATGCATGTATATCAAAGACTGATTTAACATATGATATACTTTTATCATTATACATATTTTACATCTTTTAATCAAATGAGTATGCATACATACTAAGCAAAACAAAATAGTAATAAAATAATATTAATTTACATATGTTATGTTTTTATAAACATTTATGTTTATGTATATACATATATACAGACTATTCGATTTATGCTAAATAAAAGATGAGCATGGATATATAGAATATACAGGTTATAATTGTACATAATATAGGAGATCAGCAGTTAAAAGGAGGTATGTCTTTTTTTTTTTTTTTTTTTTTTTTTTTTTTTTTTTTCGCTCAAGATAAATTATATTCAGTTGGCTCTGATTTTACTATCAACTTTGATGAGTGAGAGTTTCTATTTTCTTCTTCAGAAGAATTGATATTTGAAACAAACAATTGATTATTGCCAGTCGAATTATTATTATTATTATTATTATTTCCTTGAACAATACGCATAGCAATCTTCCTCGCATCCTCAACAATACCTGTCATTTTCATTCCTACAACTTGAAGTGCCAATTCCATTAAAGCACGATCCGTTTCTACTGAATAAGTAAAGACCATAATATTATGTTTATCTGTGGGTGGCGATTCTTTAAATGATACGACAACTGCACCAGGTTGCGTTGCAGGAGGTAATGTACAAATGAGTGTATTGGGAGACCAATATTGAAGATTAGTAGCAGGTTTATCACCAAACATAACTGTCAAGCCAGGGCAAAAGTTTGCACCTAAAATTGTAATCTCAATTCCTCCATTTGTAGGTGCTTCATTTGGTATTAATCGTTTCATTATAGGCGGTAAAGAAGAAGATGGTTGTTGTTGTTGTATAGATGACATATTACTGTTGTTTAGTGGATATAAATATTGCTGTGATCCTGTTGTTGTTTGCTGTGATGGATGTTGTTGTTGTTGTTGGATAAGAGCAGTAGATGGCAGCATAGATTTTAATAGAGGTTTTGTATCATCTATATTGGACAAAGGAGAGTAATTGTTGCTATTATATGTAGTAGTAGTAGTCGTAGTCGTAGTAGTAGAGGAAGAAGGAGAAACAGTATCTAACTTATTAACAAATGGTAAAGATGATTTTATCCAACTTAGTGCAGGTATTTTTAATTCTGGTACTACTTCATTCTCTGTACGACGCCGTTTTAATCCTGCCTTTACTTTATTTGATTTATGATCATCTGTAATCATAATTGCTGGTGAAATTCCTTCTGCTACTTTCTTTCCTGTATGATCTAACATTTCAAAATATATACTATATAGGGATATTTTAGTAAAAAAAAAAACGAGTTAATTAGTCTTTTAAGCAGTTTACCAAAAACCTAATCTTTCATTATGATGTCTACAATAACAAGTAATACGAGTCGGCAGAATAGTGTCACCAGCACTAAAATCAACTATCTCAGAACAATTAAATAATAGAATCCTTTCCTCATCTGAAGTTGCCGCTTGTTCATCTTCAGTTTTTTCATCTTCTATCTCATCATTATTCTGTTGCTGTTTATTTTCTTTTCTTCTTTGAGATCTTTTACGCTGTAAACAAATATTCATTTAAACATTTAAACATTTGAGCAATTTTATTTTTTCTTTACCTCTCTTTGAATACAACTAAAGCAGGTAGTTACTTTTTTTGACGGATCACTGGCACATAACACTCTTGCTTGTAGATATAGGAGCTTTTCGGGGTTTATAGGCAATCCAGTATCTGATGCTGTACTATTATTGAATCGATTTATACCAGATTTCTTTAATTTATCTTTAGTCACCATATGTTCTGGTAATTTCAAATGTGACCACCATTGAGCTTTATCGCCTCCATTTGTTACTAATTGTATACATAATTTAATTTGTGTTTCGACTCTAGATTTTGCACCGGTTTGAGGTACACCCAACACTCTAATTTGTAGACTGATAGTGTAGAAGATTATTAATAATATGTAACAACTACGTATAACTAAAACGTCTCTCTCTCTCTCTTTTTTTTTTACCCTGTTTTTGAATGATCATTTTCTTGTTTAAACTGTAGTAACGGATCATATTCTATAGAAGATGAAGGCATATTTGATGGTATAGGTGACGCTGTAGGCTGTTGATTACTATAAACATATATGTATAAATATTTAAAAGAAAAAGAAGAAATAAATACTATATTCATATACTTAAATATGTATATATGTATATATGAGTCAATTAATGTTGCTTACAAGGAACTTAAAAATGGCACTGGATGATTAGCAAGATATTCAGTAAAACTCCGTGCAATGTTTGGAAAGGTTGGGAATAGGCTAGTATGCGTCACATTAGAAATAAACTTTACATAAAAAAAAAACATTAGTAATTAAAGAATTTTCATCCTAATTAAATTTACATTATTTAAGCCCGTCCAAAATGAAGGAGGTTGTTCTCCAACAGATGTCGTAACAGCTGCTTGAAAAGATTCAATATTAGTAGCTATTGATTGAGCTAAAGTAGAAGTAGATGCATTCATAGATCCATTGGTATTATTTTGTAATGCTGATTCAGGATTATCATTTGTCGCTTTTTCAAGAAATTGATCACCAAATAATGAATTTTGTACTTGTAAATGCTGCTGTTGTTGTTGTTGCTGCTGCTGTTGATGTGGTGGATGCTGAGATTGTTGAGGTTGCATATAAAATAAGGAATTATTAGAGGAGATTTGGTCAAGATTATATAAAAATGATTGATCCATAAATGAAGGGTGTTGCTGTTGCTGATTATGAGAATTTAAATGTTGTGCATATGGTTTTAGTGGCTGTGAAGTAGGCTGTAATAAATTTTTATTGTCATTAATAGATGTGTCTGTCATATTTCCACTTGAATGTATTGATTCATCAGCAGAAAGTGCTGGTAAATCTAGATTAGAATCACGTCTAGACATTTGTATTTTTTTTTTTTTTTTTTTTTTTTTTTTTTTTTTAAAAAAAAAATAAAAGACAAAATAAACACTATTTTGCAACACCGTTTTTTTTTTTTTCTTTCACGATCAAGTTTCAGACAATTTAACTTTTTTTAGACCAATCAGAACTTATTTTAGATATTATAGAAAATTTTTGTTCATGTCGAAATTTTATTTCTAAAATGCTATCATTATCTCAAATCAGTCTTCTTCAAGTTTATTTATTCTATTTAGTCCTGTACGCTTGGCTAAAGTTAAACCATTTTTTGATTTAACAGTCTTGCATGTCTCATTGCAAATGTAATGAGTTAACTTATTGCTTTTTTTCTTTGATCTTAGACGAGGATTTAAAAATTGAGAGCACAATACGATTAAATTCTGAGTTTTATTATTATTATTGATTTTTTTTTTTTTTTTTTTTTTGGCAATGTGCATATAGCGATGAAATAAGTGCGCAATAATGCCCGAGGGAAAATAAAGAATAAAAATCTTCCTAAAGGACAAGAAGGGAAAAAAAAAAGAAAAACAAGAGGGAAAAAGAAAAGAGCAGTATTTTGGAATTAAGAGAAAATATAACGAGGATAAAGCGAAAAAAAGTGAGAAGAAACAAGTTAAATACAAACCAGACCAAAGTGACCAGGAATACACACACATTATTACTTGGACAACCATTTAAACAGCTTGAGACCAGGATCGACAGGGTTCAGGAGGAAATCTATCATGGAAGTAGGAATCAAGTTCATGTAGAATTGTACAAAGAATAGGCCATAAAGTATACCGGCTCTTACAATCAGAAGGTTAACGATGTTTATGTAGTGGAAGCAAGTTGAGGAGGAACGAGATGGGAACGAGATGGGATCTTCGACTAAATTAGGCATGTAGAGACGATGTTGTACACATAAACACTCAATAGCATGTCGCCGGCTCCAATTATGATACGAATGAAAGATACATCCTTTAGGTTTACCACCAGGTAACTCAGCCAAGTCTCCATCGGAGCACTCGGCTACGTTCAGAAGTAGTCATTGGTAAGCAAAGGATGGGATCCAATTCGAGAGTGGGGCGTGAGGAAGACAATAGGATGGAGTTAGTGTCTTGAGAAGTTTGAAAGAGGTATTGCGCTTGGAGGACTGCAATACGGGTCTTCATGGATTTGAGGTTGACAAGATGGAACATGACTTTCACCGAGGGCCACGAGTAACCACCAAATATACATTGAATACACGAATTTTGAAAGGTATCCATTGTCTGGTAAGTTTAGCAAAGAGAGGACTGATTGCAAGATCATTGTTGTGTATATAATGATGTATTACATAATATCTTATAATATACAGATCAGAGTCATGAAGGACCGAATGATATTATAGTTATTAGTTGTATACTTTATGCATACAATATTGTTTGTTTTCATTCTTGTGATGAGAAAAATAGTATTATAATAAATATTGACGTTACGAAATAATGATAAGGATATATGAATTATAGATTGTACCTATTAGTTATATATCCATATTATTATCGATATACTAACTTATAAATATAATCATATACCATCTATACACTATACAATATAAAATATACTGAAATGCATTCAAGTAGTACATTAAGTAATGAATATAATACAAAGCATCTTCCTTATATCACTCACAAATATAAATAAACGAGACTTCATTATTTGATTTTAAGAAAAATAACCTGATAGATCGAGCACCAATAATTTAATATTTATTAGAGTTAACTGAGATTATTTCTCAATCAGGGCAAAGATTAGAGAGCTCAAACAAAATAACTTTAATCATTTTATGGGAAATAATCTTCTTTCATTCTGTTCCTGACGCGAAGTAACTCATTCCCCACAAGATATAAATAAGAATCCATTTTGCACTCATTTTTTAATTCTCAATTAAATTTATACTTATTCAACTTCTTCATTTTATAATAAAAGTCTTATACAAAGTTTTCACAGATTTATTCTGCCTTCTTCTTTTTTTTATTTCTATCTTATCAACAATCACGTTCAATGATACTGATTGTGTTAGTATGCGGCAAATTGTCAATGACGATTTTTTTTTAATGCTGGTATTATTTCTTGAATGAAAAGAAACAGTTAGATTGCAGCTTTATTATAATTACATTTTTCACTTACTTGATAAAGTTTTTTAAATCGTTTGAATTAAGAGTGACCAGGCAAATCTTGGAGTTGATCACAACAAATTTTAAGAGTTCTATAAAAAGAGGTTGCTATTTAGTAAGAAATGTAAAATTGCAATCAAGAGTATATTGTATTACCTTGCATATCTGCATCCACATATTTCAATTTCTTTATAATGTTGTTGGGATTGGAATCTCTTTTAATAAGCGAATCATTGGAGTTGCTGTTTATGGAGACAAATCTATTGAAAGAGGAAGAGTTGTCGCCATCAAATAAACTCGAATATTCCCACACCTTCGATAAAATATCTTTCATTGACAAGAGTTGTCTTTCATAGATAATATCGTCAGGAAGGTAGATCAGGTTTAAAAGTTGCACAAGCTGCAGTACATTATCAATAAAAATGATAGCAATGAAAGTCAGCTATTACTGGATGATTTTTTTGTAGCTATACATAATTAATTTGTGTTCCTTATCAGCTTCATTTGCAGTTTCCTTTTCACTTTTATATGTATGGATTTCAAAGGGTTGCGAGTAAATTGTTTTTTTGTACATTGTAGAAATGGTCTTTTGGGATCGTCGTAATAACAGATTTCGACGTTTTCCAAATCTTCTATGATTTTAGAAAATTTCTCAACATTAAACTTGGTTAACGGCTCACAATAAAATACACATAAGGCTTGTTCTTTAGTAACAATGACCATATTAATAAAAAAGGCCACAATTGAATCATTTATATTGAACCTTGTGTCATGGTTTTAAGATTTGTAACTTAATTCAATAACATAAATAGCCATAATAGAATATATAGTGCACTTGTATAATAATTCTGTCTATAGACATATTAAGAATATATTTACTCTTGTATAAAGAAAAAAGAAATAATAGAAAAGTCCTACATCTAAAAATTATCTTGTTCTGCTGAATATAAATTTATAAAGATAACTTTGTAAGATAAACTGGGGTAAACTGAGAATAATACAAATACGCGTAAATAATTGATTTCACCCAGAGTACACGTATTAGCTATAAAAATAGATATATACAAAAGACATAAGTATGTCTATAATGATTCTTGATACTACAAGCATTCTCTGTCTATCATTATATTATCAAATACAATTTGTTATATTATTACTTATCGTCCATATTCACAATATATGTATATAAATACTCTTACATTACTAACCCTTATTTTGTTTACTTGAATTGAACTTAACTCTTAATAAACTATATTAACAACTCTCAATGTACTTCTCCTGTCTGTTTTATTTTATTTATTTTTATTTCTCATTTTCTATTTTATTATATTTTACCTGTAAACCACAACACCTTGAATGAGTTAATTTTAATCTTAGAAAAATCTGATATTTAAACCCAAACCACTGTATGTTTTGTCTCCTCACATGCTCACATAGTTTTTCTTGTTTGTATATGTGCATAACCGCCTTCAGATGCCCCAAATCTATTGAAGATCCACTCACTCTCTAGTCTCTTGAACCTCCTATTACCATCAACATTTCTTATGTAAGGAAAGCGAGAAAATCAATTGATACCTGGCTCATACGCTGGCCTTCCGTATGTGCAATTCTCCTTGGAGATGGACTATCTAGCTTCACTCCCAAATCCCTGAACCCTCTGGCCATCTTGGTTAGTGAACCTGTTTGTCAATCATCTTCTTTTCAATTCAACAATGATTTTCTGATCACTTATACATACACTTCAACATTTTCCCTTTTTATCCCAAAAGGGGTTTTTTTTTTCCTTTTTTTTTCATAGTGATTTGACCAGGGCAAAACAGTATATAAATACAATGTGCTCATTGGTCATTTTTCAATTTTTAAATAAAATTCTTAATCGTATAATAGGCAACTCAGAATAAATAATTGGGATATTGCGCAGATACTGAGGGGCTTTTATTTTTATTCTCTTTATTTAGTAGCACATAGAAGTACTTACGGCAAAGTTTTTCCGCGTAGATAGGCTTATTTCTAAACTCTGTAGTTTTGGCCATTATCCGAAAGTATACTTTCTTATATAAGGTGAAGTATGTCTTTAATCATATAATGTATATATTTCTATCTCAAATCTAATCAAAATTGCTATATTACCAAAATTATTATATATTGAAAAAATTATAGCAAGTATTATAAGGAAATGTGAGGTATTAGACCTATAGTAGTGATAATAATCATTGACTAAACTGATATATTTATGCTAAACATACTACATATAAGCGGAAATGTGTGTTTGTTATTATTATTCTAAATAGTAATAATTTTATAAATACATTTTCTTTATCTTATTTCATAATAATCTTGCATTGTTTACTAGTTAAATAATATATTTAAGGTTTTATTTCTTCTTTTAGACTTATAATTCAAGCAGACATCCTGACTCCCTCCTTTTTTGTCCCTTTTCTTATCGGAATAACAATTTATCCACAATCATGTTAACAAAGTTATTTTATTTGCTGATTGATTGATTGTTACACATATATATTTATATACATGAATGCATAAATACAAATGTATACTTTCCTTCTCCCTTTTTTTTTATTGTTATTTTCTTATAATAATTGTATATCTTGAATGGTAGACACAACAATATCGTTGATTATTGTGATTAAAGGTAGCAAAGATGTTGAAACAAATGGAAAGATTATTGGTATAGGTAATGGTGCAAATACAAATACAGTACGTAGTTTGGCAGCAGAAAAACTTGGTTTAGCAATCCCATTAGATGATATTGTTTTGGAAACACCTACTGGTGAAGTCTTAACAGAAATCGATAAAGTCAAATCACAACATGTTGTATATATTAATGTAAAAAATAAAATAAAAACTATACCTGGTCCTCCTAGATTACCTATGATAGGGAATTTTTATGAAATGATGCCAGATTTGTAAGTCCAATATATTATACTGTTTTTTTTTCTTTCTTTTTTTTTTTTTTTTGTTAATTTTTTTTTGTAGATCTGCAGGTTGGGCTCGACAGTTTGAAAAATACGGTCCTTTAGTTTCGATTAGTATTCTAGGTGCTGATCTAGTAGCTACAAATGATCCAGATATTACCGAATTATTAGTAAAAGAATCAGAATATTTTACAAAGAAAATTACAGTTGTACTACAGGAAATTAAACAATTCGCTGGAAATGGACTATTCACTTCAGATACGGACGATAATGAATGGAAATTGGCTCATAAGCTACTCATGCCTGCTTTTAGTCCTCGTGCTATTAAGGTATATATGATTGATTTTAGATAAATAATAATTGTGATAATTATATATACATATATATCTGTTTAAGGCATATCAACCAGAAATGGGCAAGATTGTACAGGAAACTATGAAAATCCTTTCTGAATATAGGCCTGATGAAAAAGTTGAAATCCTTCAATGGTGTACTAATTTAACTTTTGAAACAATTGGACGTATCGGTTTCGGATATTCCTTTGATTTAATGTATCGTGATAAACCTCCTCATCCTTTTATCGAAGCAATGGGATATATTTTAGGTCAGAGTGTGAATCGCTTTGGTCAGCCTACATTTTTCAAAAAACTACCTACAGCAGGCAATCGCGCCTGGGACCATAACATTAAGCTGATGCATACTATTGTTGAAGATGTAATTAAAGATCGAAAAGATAGTAAAGATGCTAAAAATATGGAAAAAGATCTTTTAGGATTTATGTTAAATGCACATGATGAGCATAACTTAGGATTGTCAGATGAGAATATTCGAGATCAAGTCATCACATTCTTAATTGCTGGACATGATACAACTGCAAACACTTTAGCATGGACTCTATATGAATTTACCCGAAATCCTGATGTCGAAACCAAAGTACTTCAGGAGATTGCTAATGCCGGTATTACTTCTGACAAGTTACCCACACCTGAACAAATCAACAGCTTAAAATATCTGAGCAAAGTTCTGAAGGAAGTTCTTCGACTTCATCCTCCTATAAGAAATATTAATAAATATTGTAAAAAGGATTGTATTGTCCCTGGAGGTTATCTAGTTCCAGAAGGCACAAACTGTGTTGTCTCTGTCTTAAACTTGCATACAAATCCTATAGTATATCCAAATCCATATAAATTTGATCCTGAACGATTCAGCCCTGAGGAAGAACAAAACAGGTCTCGCTATTCATGGTTACCATTTAGTACTGGCCCACGATCGTGTATAGGTATGGCATTTGCTTTACAAGAAGCTAAAACTGTACTTAGTATGTTTCTTCATAAATTTAAGTTTTGCTATGGTAAATATATATATATAATTGTTTATTTGTGAGCTTGTACTGACTTTATTATTATAGATGGCCCACCAGTGAAATATGATCCTTATCAAGCTACTACAAAACCTATGGATATGATGATGACAATTCACCCTCGTACAGATTTTCCAAAGTCATCTCAAAATATTGTAATTGAACGGAAAAAAACTAGCAATAATATTTCTTCTGTCATTGAATCATTTAATAATAGAAAAAGTATTAGTACTATTGAATTGCCTAAAGCAACATTTTTATTTGGTACGCAAACAGGTACCGCACAAGATTATGCTAACCAATTAGCAACACAAGCTAAACAATTTGGTTTTAAGAATGTTACTTTATGTACAATGGATCAATGGAAAGTAATTCAAACAGGTACTTATGAAAGTCCCAAAGATATGAAAAAACGTGAGCTCGTTGTTATCTGCACTGCCACATATAACGGTTACCCTCCTGATTCAGCTGAGCATTTTAACAAATTTTTGGATGCAAATATTCAGCAAGAGAATGAAAATCTACTTTCCGGTATTGATTATGCTGTATTCGGTTTGGGCAATAAAAACTGGAGGACCTATCAAGCTTTCCCTCTCAAGGTGGATAAATTCCTATATCAACTTGGTGCAGATCGCTTCTTTTCACCCGGTAATGGTAATGCAGACAAAGATATGGATTCCCATTTCATGGATTGGTGTTCACATTTTTGGGCTTATCTTCTTGCTAAATATGGTGTCTCTGTTCCCTCTTCTTATTCACTTGCTCCTACAGTTACCTCATCTACTGAAGACTTTAAATCTTGTGCTGTCAAATTACAATTTATTCCTCCTTGTGAAACTAATAAATGGGAATTAGCAAGGCAAAATAAGAATGGTAAATTAAACGCAAAAATTCTTAATAATTGTGAGCTTCAAAAGGAAGGCTCAGGACGCAGTACTCGTCATATCGAGATTGATATATCTCAGTTAACACCTCTTAATGAACATAGTCTCTACAATGCTGGTGATCATATAGAAATTTTACCAGAAAATAGTATTGAAGTTGTTGAACGTATTGCAATAGGGTTTGGTTTTGTCTTGGATTCTGTATTTGAAATAGCTCCAGAATCTATTAGCAATTTTTCACCTCGTTCTTTAGCTGCTACTATTAAAGGTCCCTGCACTGTTCGTAATGCATTAATGTATTATGCCGATCTTTTATCTGCTCCCTCACGTCGTATGCTTGGCTATTTTGCGGCTCAACTTCGAGTAAGTGCTCCAAAAGTTGCATATATCTTTGATAAATTGACAATGCCTGATGAGAATAACGAGGATCAATACCCTGAATTTATAAAAAAATATAGAACTTTACTTGATCTTCAAATGGCTTTCCCCCAAGTTAATCAGCTTGAGTTAGAGCAATTTTTAGCTACAGTAAATGTCATGCAACCTAGGCGTTACTCTATTGCCTCATCGCCTTTAGTTTATCCAACAGAGGCTCATATCTCTGTTAGTGTCGTGCATGATTTTGCTAACGATCGATATTATCCAGGACTTGCTTCATCTTATTTGAAAAGACTTGAAGAACATGGACAATTGCGAGCTAGTTTAAAGTCTTCTAAGAATACTTTTAATATGCCTTCTAATCCTGAAACTCCTTTAATTATGATTGCTGCAGGTACGGGTATTGCTCCTTTTCGGGGCTTTCTTCAAGAGAGAAAATTTCTAAAAGATGCTGGACAAAAAGTGGGTTCCTGTACTTTGTTTTTCGGTTGTCGACACCCAGAGCAGGATCATATCTATTCCGATGAAATTGATAATTATGTTGCATCGGGAGTTATTGTATCAAATCATGTGGCTTTTTCAAGAATGGATGGATCACCACAGAAGTATGTCCAACACAAAATACTTATTTATGCAGGAGAAATTTGGTCTTTAATATCTAATGGGGCAGCAGTATACGTTTGTGGTGCTGGTGCCATGAGTCAAGATGTTCGTAAAGCATTTGAAATGATGGTTAAATGTTTTGGGTATGCGCAAACAAATAAAAAGGCAGAAAAGTATCTTAAAGAACTTGAGGAGAAGAAGCTTTATATGGTCGATGTATGGGGATAAAAAAAAACAAAGCAAGCCCTCTTAAGTGAAAATTAATGTAATTTAAAGTTTGTTATTATTATAAAAGAAAAAAAATCATTGATAATGGAAGTTATTATTTAATAGTACCTTTATTTTAAATAAAAGTAAAACTTGTATACTATTCTGAATTAATTCAATTATACCAAAATAAGGGTTAGTAATGTAAGAGTATTTATACATATATTGTGAATATGGACGATAAGTAATAATATAACAAATTGTATTTGATAATATAATGATAGACAGAGAATGCTTGTAGTATCAAGAATCATTATAGACATACTTATGTCTTTTGTATATATCTATTTTTATAGCTAATACGTGTACTCTGGGTGAAATCAATTATTTACGCGTATTTGTATTATTCTCAGTTTACCCCAGTTTATCTTACAAAGATATTTTCATAAGTTTATATTAGATGTAAGACTTTTATTAATTATTTTTCCTACACAAGAGTAGATATATTTATTATGTAGAGAAACAGAATCATCACAGAAGTGCACTATACGTTCTATCATGACTATTTATCTTATTGAATTAAGTTACAAATTTTACAACCATGACATGTAATGAGGCCTCAAAAAATTTAAAAAAGCCACAATACAATTATCTCATTTGGAATTCAATTATTGATAAAAGCAAAAGAAGAAAATGATTCAAATTAAACTATCATAAAGGTGCATTAGACTTGTTGATAGAAGCAGAGCGCTCTATAGCTGGAAGAGGAAGACATTTACTCAATCCTGGTACTGTGACCTTTCATTCTATTGATTCTGGCGAAATTGCAGCCGATAAAAGTGACCAAGTGGTTGATGAAGCTAATAATGGTGACTCTTGCTCTAAAGCAACTCAAATATCAACAGAAAATCATGAAACTGACGTTTCATTTGATTTATTGTATCCGTTCGGTGCAAAGAAAATATTAGGAAAGCTTTCAAGTGATGATGTGCAAAAAATAAAGTGTTTTGGAATTAAAGAGAGTAGCATCGTGGCCCTTATGAAAAAGCATATGATAACTCTTTTATTGAGGAACTCATTAACCCCAACAGAAACAGAAACAATGAAGCTATTATTATCAAGCGTCATAAACTTTGTGGAAAACTTAATTTATGTAGAGATGAGACATATGTTATCGACATAAAAATTAAATGACCTTGAACGAAGTACAATCTTTGGTGATATTACCTTTGGTTTGGACTTACCCACACTCCAGTTGCTTGATGAAACAGTTGATAAATGTTATGATTTGAATACACTGTTCATGAGAATCACAACAACGACGAATGGATTGCTAATTAATAATAAGTGTAAATCAAATAGCTACAAGATGATCAAAGTTTTGGATATGGTGTAAATTATTAGATTAAAGTCCCCTCCCATCAGCTGCTTTTTTTTTTCTCTTAGAGCTGAATATACAAACAAATGAATTGATGATCAACCTTCAAAATTGACATTTTATAGAAGATTTGCAATGTTACTAGATTTTGTTTTTTTGTGATCTTGATATGACTTTGGATGATGATGAAGTAGTTTTGGAAGCCACAAAAATGGCACAACAGCAAAGCACACATGATGTCACAAACAGTTTTGGCAGAAAAATCGATTTATTGTTAAGAATCAAGGTCTTAAAGGTTGGTTTGGCTTCCAACGAATGGAAATCAACAAAAACAAAACACATGTATATTCAGCAGCAAGGTAAAGGCTTTCGATCTAACTGCTCGATTTCAAGCGGATTATTTATTCGAAGTAGTGGAAATGTCAACAAACTTGTTGCAATCGACTTCATAGGTATATCATAGACGACAATATATTGCATTTCTTCTTATTTGGTTTTAAATTTATAGGTACGACTGGATATATGTACACTCTTTCTTAAATCACATGGCATACTTTTACTTTTAATAAAAAGAAATTGTTTTTATTTTTTTTTAAATTATACATATAAGCGATGTCTCTCCAAATTTCTATTTTGAAGACGGAAAGGGTGGTGCCATGGATAAAAATAGTCGTGAGCCTGTTAAAATAGAAATGGATAAGGAAGCGTACCCTTTAGACAATATCACCGACTTTGAAATGCATTCTGAAATGAAGCTGCCGGAAAGAATAGTAAACGCAAAGGTCATCAAAGGTGATTCGCATACTTTGAACAGGTTTAAAGAAAATCGAGCAAGGTAAAAACACCAAGACCATAACAAAGATCTATTTTTTTTTCACGTTTATGAGAAAGGGTTAACTACAGGAAAAGCTGCAAAGTTATCAAATATCCCCCGCAAAACAGCATACAATTGGCTCCAGAAGGATCAGCTTGAGATACAAAAGCCTCTTGAGGATAAGAAGAAAGAGAGGAATAATGAGGAAGTCCAGAATTTCGAGAATATAAAAAAAAAAACAAAAAAAAAACAAAAGGGTACAATGGCGCCAAGTGGCGAATTTTTAAAATCAAAACAGCAGACTCAGCATTTCTCAAAAGGCATATTATTCATTTTGAATGGCTGGCGCGCATAGATTTTTAATTGAAGACAGTCAAAGTGAAATAACGACAGAAGATGGAGGAGGGGAAAGACATTATGGACAACATCATTGGAGAAGAAAAAAGAGTTTAATCTTAGAGGTACTATATGCACTATGTAATAGTTTATGGTTCAAAATATTGTGAGGTGTAATAATAATAATGATAATGAAGGACGTTCTCGCTCTAGCTTTTGGTAGTTTACAAGACTTCAAAATGAACTTTTTTTTTTTACTCTTTTATATTATTTTTTTATGTAATAATAATAAATAAATGAGATTGTTAGTGAATGATGAATAGTACGACTTTTGAGTTAATCGAGGTATTTAAAAGTTTGTAATATTGCACTTTGGACAGATTTATTTGCTGTAGTAAGATAGGGGTGTAATAATATCGCAAGATTTTGTAAATGTTTGTTCAATACGCTATTTCCAAGAATGGGGATCGACAACCCACTAGTATTGAACAACAATAATACTTCTTCCCGGACCTTGCTGATACTTTCATTGTTGCAGTTCTCTAGAGACTCTGACACCACATCTTTATTCAATTGAGCTTCATTACCTTTCTTCAAGACTTCAATTGCAATAACACCAAATATGTTCGACGCAGAGCTTCTGCCCATGTCGGAATCGAACAACGTAAATACAGAATAAGGATGACAAGTATGACTTTGTGTTAAGGGTCCTGAATAACGACAAAGGTAATATGTTGAACCATCATCAAAAAATGCATTTAATTGTTTGTCTTAATTGCCCAAAAAAGTTACAATAATCTAATGATTTACATTTATCATTTTTAGCAATGTTCAACGCAAGTTCAACCGACTTCTTGTCAAGATATATGCTTATAGATAAAGAGTCAGAGTGTTGACTTAAGTTCATATGCATGGTTGCTCCTACTACTGGTGTTTCTACTCTGTCTATGCGAATGGACGAAGTGACAAGAACATTACAAGAGAGAGTACCGACGACAAGCTTATCACCATCATTAAAGTTTATTGTTATTGGCCAAACATTTTTATACTTGGTGACAACTGGAGGTGGAAGAGAATTATTTACTGCAGTCTGTTTCTTTGTTCTAAAATGTTCTCTGTGGGTATCGTTGCCTTTTGTACGTCCATTTGGATCTATTTATATTATTTTTTTATTTGATTTGACTCAAATAAGCTGCTAGTTCTAACTACTTACCTCAACACCCGCATTTTGTGTTTTGAAACGTTTCAACATTGAAAACCATGCCTCTTTCAAAGATTTCCTGTCATTGTCATCAGCAACGTTAACTTCCAAGCTTTGCGTGATCAATTTTTAGAGAAAAGCGAAACTATTTATCAGCTTCACTGTATATAAATTGTTTCCACCTCTGCTTGAATGTTGTTTTTATAGTCAAATAGTTCGTTCTCAATTAGATTATGGTCTTGCAATCTGTCCTCTCTCTGCTAAACTTACCAGACAATGGATACCTTTCAAAATTCGTGTATTCAATGTATATTTGGTGGTTACTCGCAGTCCTTGGTGAAAGTCATGCTCCATCTTGTCAACCTCCCATCCATGAAGACCCGTATTGCAGTCCTCCAAGCGCAATATCTCTTTCGAACTTCTCAATTACTGTCATGGTTGTAAGATTTGTAACTTAATTCAATAACATAAATAGCCATAATAGAATATATAGTACACTTGTATAATAATTCTGTCTATAGACATATTAAGAATATATTTACTCTTGTATAAAGAAAAAAGAAATAATAGAAAAGTCCTACATCTAAAAATTATCTTGTTCTGCTGAATATAAATTTATAAAGATAACTTTGTAAGATAAACTGGGGTAAACTGAGAATAATACAAATACGCGTAAATAATTGATTTCACCCAGAGTACACGTATTAGCTATAAAAATAGATATATACAAAAGACATAAGTATGTCTATAATGATTCTTGATACTACAAGCATTCTCTGTCTATCATTATATTATCAAATACAATTTGTTATATTATTACTTATCGTCCATATTCACAATATATGTATATAAATACTCTTACATTACTAACCTTTATTTTGTATACTTAAACTGTTTTCTTTTATTTCTCTTTTTATTTCTTATTTATAATTTATGATACTCTTACTTGTAAACCACAATAATTACCAGCAAATACTCTTCTTGCCCATCTTTTGACTCATGTTCAGATCCCAAATAGTCATTCCCACTGGTATAAATTGGCTCAAACTACAATGTGAAAACGCCTATGCTCACCAATCAATTCAACGCTTCGACCGAAAACAAATCTATACTCTTCGTGCTGAATTTCTAGATGATCGATTTCAAACCCTTCATCAAGACACTAACTCAACTCAAATCCATCCTATTGTCTTCCTCACGCCCCACTCTCGAATTGGATTCCATCCTTTGCTTACCAATGACTACTTCTGAACGTAGCCGAGTGCTCCGATGGAGACTTGGTTGAGTTACCTGGTGGTAAACCTAAAGGATGTATCTTTCATTCGTATCATAATTGGAGCCGGCGACATGCTATTGAGTGCTTATGTGTACAACATCGTCTCTACATGCCTAATTTAGTCGAAGATCCCATCTCGTTCCCATCTCGTTCCTCCTCAACTTGCTTCCACTACATAAACATCGTTAACCTTCTGATTGTAAGAGCCGGTATACTTTATGGCCTATTCTTTGTACAATTCTACATGAACTTGATTCCTACTTCCATGATAGATTTCCTCCTGAACCCTGTCGATCCTGGTCTCAAGCTGTTTAAATGGTTGTCCAAGTAATAATGTGTGTGTATTCCTGGTCACTTTGGTCTGGTTTGTATTTAACTTGTTTCTTCTCACTTTTTTTCGCTTTATCCTCGTTATATTTTCTCTTAATTCCAAAATACTGCTCTTTTCTTTTTCCCTCTTGTTTTTCTTTTTTTTTTCCCTTCTTGTCCTTTAGGAAGATTTTTATTCTTTATTTTCCCTCGGGCATTATTGCGCACTTATTTCATCGCTACATGCTCATTGGCAAAAAATAATAATAATAAAGATCAGAATTTAATCGTATACAAATTGTCCTTTTTTTTTGCCTCACCTATTTTCTTTAGCTGTAGAAAAAAAATGATAACTTTTACTTTCATATTTAGTTAAAAATATAAATTTTATTTATAATTACACTTATCATGTCTACTTAATAGAAAATAGATATAAAATGTTTCATTTCTTTTAATTTGTTAGAATTTTACAATATTTTCAAATTTCTTAATAGGATAAAATTGATCAATTTTTAGTATCCAATCTTTCATATCTTCAAAATTATTTGCTTGTAGTAAATATGTATTGTTGCTGGTATAAATGGCAAAAGTATAATTTCTCTACATATGTTGTATATATTAAAAAAAATATGGCTATAATCATACAATTATATGTACCTGGAGTATTTCTTCAAGATCAGATTTATAATCTACTATAGCTGACGTAAGATTTAATGCACCAATTACTTCTACTTCGGATTGATCTTCATATATTATAATAAATGGCCTAATTATAGTATTATTTTGTTATAATTTTTCATATTGTACGATGTTATAAGACTAACCTTCGAAGAACAAACCAATATTTTAACCATTTACCGTTTACATTTTCTAAATATATTAAGAAACCTTTCTTGGTCACTGTATCACTACATAGATAATAATTGTCAGTATAAATCATCATATATTTTCTGATTTTTACCTCGGATATAGTTGTTGAATATAAGCAGTAAGTTTTGGTCTGCATTGTTGATTACTTAAAAAAGTATTGTTTATACTATTGTTACTTGAGGAACTATTTAAAGATGTGACGACGGGTGGATCTTGACTAAACACAATCTACAAGAGAATTAAATATTAAATAAATAAATAAATATGTATACATATATGTATTCATGTTATTTTTCTCTCTTTACATTTTCTCTTGTCCCAAATTGAGTTCTCCATAAACCAATTACTTTTCTTAGTATTGCTTCTGGGTTTTTTTTTTTATCTTCAAGTGCAGATTGTTCGACTAACTGAGATGAGTTATAATTCCCCTGTTGAATTGCTTTTGTTTGTGGATGTCCCGCTAATACCAAAGAATGTCTAGTTGCTGTTACACTTTCTCTATACAGCATTTTACGCCGTGCTTCTCTATAGTCAGTTATAAGTGATACACCGCGTGGTTTCCAAGAACCTATAAATTCTTCTCCACGAACATATTTATTAGCTGTATTTAATCGCCATAGTTCTCGAACTTGCCGTGTAAGCGGAGGCTTTAACTGAACAGTAAAAAAACCACTTACTTTGTGCACAAACTTTTTTTTGCTTGTGGTGCCATTTAATTTGTCATTGTCGCCTCCAAGCAAAAATTGTCTTATTGAAGAAGAAGATGAAGGTATAGTGGCATCACGACCATTTATTTGTACAGAGATATTCATATGAAATTGTAGTGGTGTTGTACACTTTTCACATATCACTTGCCATGAAAGTGTCAATCGAACATATTGATTTGACGGAGTGATACGATTTAATATAACAGAATCATGTAGTGAGCTATCCCAAGACCCTTCAGCAACCATACGAGATATTCCATTATGGGCAAGTGACATGTCCTTGCGCTCAGGAAACAAATGAACTTTAACAAGTTGAGCTGAATGTAATTGCGTTTCAATAAGCTCTCCTTTATTGTCAAGCAATCTGATATTACTAACATTGACCTCTCTAATTTGACACCATTTAAACTGCTTACCAGAATCATGCGATAAAGTTATTAAAATACGTCTCTGTAATCCCTGTCTTAAGCAAAATATATCCTGGTAATGTTTTATATGATGATGAGTATCATTGATTTTAATACGAACAACTTTGACAGGTACATACTCTCCATCTGAATTTAATTCACAGACTTGTACCAAAGACAAGATATCATGTCGTTCTTCCATAGGAATATCGTCGTATGTTTTACGTTTTATAGCTCTTTGCTCATCAATGAATAGTCGTCGACTTGTTAACATGTGTTTCCCTATTTTAGATACTAATACCGTCTTTTTCAATGGCTCAGGTTTCTCAGTGGATAATATAGAATTGTATTTACTGTCATATTCATTTACATGTTCTACTAGTCCTAACAAAAACTTTTCCTGAGCCTGCCCATAAACTTCAACTGTAAGCCCCTGATTTAAAATAACTTTCATCATATTTTCTGTTATATTAATAGATAGAGTTTGACATTGATTGAATATGATAGGACTGTTACCAAAATTGCTTATAAGATCTGTTTGATATATTTTATCTGCAGCCGAATAACGCTCAACATTTCCAAATGAAGATAATCTAAACTGAGCATGAACCTGTGTAAATTCATTTTCAGAGACACCTCTAAGTTCTTGAATTCGTATTTCAAACACTTGTTGTTGTCCTATATGTAACAAATCTTTTTTATCTAATACATATTGTTGATCTTCTTGAGATAAAAAAATAGAAGTTATTTTCTTCTGAGGAAGATATTTTTGTGATGAGCTTAAAGGCTCTTGTTTGTGCCTTCTTGATATCGAACGAGCAATGGGTGTAACAAGAACACGAATCTGACCCATCACCTTACCAGAATTTCTACAGTAAACATCTACACAATTATCTGTATGCAACTGTAAAGTTAAATTCTGTAATGGTATACGTGCCAATCCTATTAAGGAAAATTGAGGACATGGTGTTTCATAAAAGGGATCTTCATGATTAAAGTACTGGGTTGTAGAATGTGGACTATCACTATAATCATAAAGTCGACGCATACGTCTTAAACGCTGCTTGAGCTTTAAAATAGACCAAATATAAGTAGTTCGATGAATATGATCTATGACTTGAATCGCCAAACAAGGTTTTGTCTCCTTCATTAAATATGTGTCTGGATCTTTTATAAATGGTTGTAAAGTAGATGCTGACTCCCAAAATGATAGTGAATTAACTGACATATTGTCATGCACAATGACAAATTGGTATATTACATTTTTACTTAGCTCTTTGGCCATAATATTTGCCTCTTTTAAAATAATGGCAAAGACAAGACAATCTTCAGCCATTTTCACATATCTTAGCTGACGCCATTTATTAATCGTAATGCGCATAAGTGTTTCTGCAGCATTTTTAGAAGTATGTCCAACAAAAAGATTATCTGTGCTTAGAGCTGTGCCAGGTGGTAAATGAGCTGAGATTCGTTTAATTTTGGATTCATACTCTAGTTTTTGTTTTTCTAATGATTTCTCCATCTCTTGCTTTATTTGAGTATATTTAGTCGCAAGCTCTTCCTTTTCTCTATTAAGTTCGTCTGTTTTCATATGGGAAAATTCAACAAGTTTTAACTTTTTTTCGTATTCTTGTTTTTGAACTTCCAGTTGGTGCTGAATTTCTTGAATTGAGTCCTTAACAAGTTGTTCTTTCTCTTCTTTGGAAATTCGTGAAGTGTTTTTATAATCTCGTTCATAAGTTTCATCTTCTTTAGTATATTCATTCTCATTTCTATCTATTTCTGTAAACACAGTAGGTACAGAAGAAAGGGTGTTGAAGTGTTTATTACTCAAAAAACTAATAGAAGTTCTAGGCGATATAGTAGACACTATAGATGTATTAGTAGATATATCACAATCAAAGTCATCATAAGGATGATTGCTACCAGATGATATTCGTTTTCTGTTCAGGTATTTATACACTTTAATAATACCTTCTGATAACTGTTTTAAATTTTTATCCATCATATATTCGAAATCTGTTTTTCCTTCTACTGCTGCTTTTCCGTACTTCTTTAGAGCCTCATTGTGTGCAAAACTCCAATCAACAATATTTGGAGAATCAAGTGATTGACTGATACTATTAGTTACAGCAGAAGCAGTAATTGGCGTTTTCAAAAAATTATTTTTGTTTTCCTTTACTGTAATCATACTATATGGCGATGCTACACATTGCTGTAGCAATTGCTCCCGTTCCCTACGTACCTCGTCTGGGTTATTGAAACGAAATAAGTGATGTAATCCTGAGCCAAAAATTATCCTATATCCGCTATGCAATATTTTTGGTTGAAAAATTTGTACACCATTTACAAGTGTAACTGAATCCTTTCTAGGATATATAATGACTGTATTTGTATTATGATTATAGTTTTCTTCAATAGATAACTTATTCGTATTTTTCATGGATGATATATTTTCAAAGTAGCAATGATTATCCATTATTTCAGGACCACTTAAACGTATATCAGAAGCTATATCACTTTCCAGTCTACCCACATAAGTGATACCCGGCTTGATATGATACATTAGGCATTCTGTCATTAATGGGTCTTCGTTTAAGTTAATGATATGAATTGATTGAGGTGCAAAGACACCCATACTCTTTTTGTCAACAATAATGCCTAATTCTTTTAAGGTCTTTTCACGCTTCCGATGGATTTCTTCAGTCTTTTTCATTTTTTCTTCCCAAGTTTGATTAACTTCTAAGAGAAGCTTTTCGGAAGATTGTAATTGCTCTATCACTTGTTCTTTTGTCAACAGACTATTACCTCTCTGTGTTGCAATAGGTGATACTGGTGAAAGAAGCAACATAGGCGATACTGTACTTGCTCCTCTAGTATTAGATGAAGAGTGACTATTTGGTCGACTACCTAACTTTCTTTGTTGAATAATCTTTTCAACTTCTTCAGGAGCATAAATCATTAAGGTATCACGAAGAGCCTGAAGCTCCTCTTTCAGTTCACGTATAATTCGTGCATTAGGATCCTCATTAACAACTGGTTTATTTTTTATACGTTTTGCTTGATCAGCATAACGTAAAGTACTTAATGTTTCATCATAGTCAGCAGGTGAAATAGTAGCTATCATTGCTGTTTTTGAATTACCACCTAGGGAGTCCTTCAAGAGCCATGTGAGGACCGAGTCACGATAGGGTATAAAAGTATTGTTACTAGATGTGGATGATCGTTTTGATATAGGCTGGGAGGACTGCTCTGCTAGAGCTGAGATTACTTTTCCTAAAGTAGTAAGTGATTTATTTATGTTGGCGCCTTCTTTGAGTCTAATTCCTGTTGCACCAGTGCTATTTGCTCTTTCACTTCCTGCTAAATCAACTAAACTAATACGAGAAGCTTTTTCAGTTACATTATCAGCAAATGGATCAAGTCTACTTGATGTTAGAAATAATGTGAATACTGCATGAGAACGAGATGATGTTTCATTCATATTAGTAACTGCCACAGTTCTAGCCTATCATATGTATAAACATGATCAATAAATTTAGAATACAAATATATTTCGTAGAGATATTTACTTTATTTCCCTCATTCATTAAATGGTCTACATCTTCATATGAAGTAACAACAAGACGAGAAAGATCTTCAACATAGGGACCGATAGTTGGATGCTCTCTTACTTTTAAATTCCCTTTATTACCTGGATTTAATAAATCACGTACTCTCTCATTGTAAATCTCAATATAAGATACTTCGACTTGAAATTTGACTGTATCATCTGTAAGATATGATATTCTTTCGAATAATTCTAAGCATGTGCGCGGAATAATCCCTTTATCTTCTCCATAACCTATCTAAAAGTTTATATAAAATTATTACCTTTACTTTTATTAGTATGTTAAATGGAAATGTTTACCATTGAATATGATTTACCAGAACCTGTTTGGCCATCTATAAATATATTGAAATATATTAACATATACGTACTGAACTTAAAACATTATCCCCTATTATTTACATGCGAAAATACAACAATTGTAGCCATCAAATGCATGATCTAAAAGTTCCTTTCCGAGATCATCATAGATTAATCCTTGGTCTGCATAATAAGAATCAGATTTATCTACAGACCAGTAAGATCTATCGAATGTGAATATCTTTTCGTTGTCTTCTTCCTCTTTATAAAATTTGTTTTTTTGATGCAAATTCGTTACTAGTTTCTTGTGATTCATGATAATAGTTTTATTCCCTTCCATACGTACAATACATGTTGCCCCTCTTGCTTTTTCTATGTGTGGGGAGAGTGAGAAAAAATAAAATAAAATAAATGCAGATGATGATGAATGCGTCATTGCAATGTACCTCTTGCATTCATTGGTCGACACCGTACAACAACTTTAACATTCCCACCCATACTAAACTTCGTATATATGTGTATATATGTGTATGGTATCTTGCTTTGATAAATAAATCTATTATTTCCAAAATTAATAATTTTCCGAGATAAAAAAAAAAAAAAAAAAGAAGGTACACTATTGTTGCCCTATATATTCTAAATCTAATTGATTAACTCATTAAACATAATTGAACTTTTTTTTATATACATATGTTATGTATACATAATATACTTTAAACCGGTTGGCTTTCTGAAGTCCCTATTGCATTTATGTATGACAAATAAATGAAAGCTATGATAAAAGGGATCGAAACAATGTAAAAAGGTAGAATAGAACGGGACATGAAATTTTGTTTTACTTTAAAAAAAAAAAATATGTATACACATATGATTGTTAGCAATATATTAATATGACGTATTGAGCACAAAAGAAAGATATAGCAAATATATAATATGACTTTCTATAAAGACGAATACATATTTATTATGAGTTCAATTATTATGAATATTAAAGACTGCTTATAAGGGTATACATATATAAAAGGAATTCATCATGTTATATTATTAATAAGTATTTTCACTGCTTGTATTTTCTCTTGCTGCACAAATTAAAGGGGAAAGTGATCTAAGAGGATCTGCTATTGTTAAAAAAGGATGCTTCAGCATCTCTTCTGCTGAAGGCCGAATATCTGGTTCAACTTCGAGACATTTGGATAAAAAGTCTCTAAAATCTTCTGATAATGACTCAGGACTCTGAAGTGTAGGTGTACCATTTGTGGCAATCAAATAAAGCGCTCTTAAGGGACTTTCATTTAAATAAGGTGGCTCTCCTTCTACCATTTCAATAGCCATAATACCTAATGACCATACATCTACTTTTGGCCCGTATTCTTTACGAGTTACTACTTCTGGTGCCATCTATAAAAAGAAAAAAAAATATTTCCTAAGTACATAATTTAAATTAGCTTTTTTTTTTCTTTCAGTTACCCAATAGGGAGTACCAACCATAGTGGTGCGCTTTGCTTGACTTTCATTCAACTGAGCGCAGAACCCAAAATCAGCTAAATATTAAATATTAGATTAAATAATTGAACAAAATAGAAAAACTGTACTGTACTTAGTTTAATATCTCCCTGAAGGCTCAGTAAAATATTATCGCTCTTAATATCTCTATGAATGACACCATGACTATGCAGATGATGTAAACCTTTTAAGACTTCCTTACAAACAGCGGCAATTTGACCTTCTGTCATCATATTGCATGTAACAACATCTGTTAAACTACCGCCCTCCATATATTCCATTACCACCCAAAGATCTCCTTTCCAGAGATAGGAGTCCAAATAATTAACAATATTTGCATTTTGTGATTTTTTCATTACTAGTATTTCATTAATGATCAATTCCTTTTTAGGTTGTTGCTCTAAATTCATTTGTTTAATTGCTACAGGTATGATATCAATTACCCCATTGTCACATGCTATTGTACGATGTGCAATAAAGACCCCACCAGATGCCCTAAAATATAAAATACATTATGATTAATAAATATTTATATTTCTTGTTTAGAAAGTTACCCTTGTCCGATTTTGATCATATCTTTGTAAATTTTATTTGGGTTTACTGTATAACAAATATCTTTCAACTGACTTAAAACATCCGATTCCAATGATTTTTTTTGTTCCTTTGGCTTTCGCTTAATAACAGGTGGATAGTTTTCTATTTCTACTTCCTTTTTTAATAATTCTTCTTTTTGCAGTATTTGTTTCTCTTTATCTTTTTTTGTAATTCAATGTGGGTTGCTGTGTCAATTATAGAGTTTCCTGTCAGTAAAGTCTTTGAAGGATGAAAGATGGTAGATTCGATTTTATTTTTTTGAGTCCCTACTACAGAAAAACAAAAGGACATTATGTTCAGTTTTATTCACAATCCTATACAAATACTTCTTTTTTAAAGTGATAAAAGATATTATACCTATTACAGATGCTCGATTTGATGATTCCTATTTAAAAAAAAATTGTATTTCAATATCTTCACGAGTACTGCTATATCTTTATATTTACCGTAGAGGAACGTTTAGCATAATCAGGAAGCTTAAATCTGGATAACCTACGTAGTGATTTGGAGATAGCGTTCTTTGTTGAAACTTTATGCTGATATTCGAGTGAATTAGATCTACAAAGACTAATGCTGCTACTATTTCTAAGATTAATAGTAGCCTTTGGTATTTTATGCCAAACAGTTTCATCTGAATCTCTTGTTTTTTGATAAAATTCAATAGCATTAATGACAGCCTATACCAAGGAGTTAGTTTTCGTTTTATACACTTTTCTCCTTTTTTTTTTTTTTATTTTTATTTTATTTTATTTTTTTAATTTTTATTTGTTTGTTTACCTGAGGATTTTGTTCCTGTTCAACTTGAGTAATTCCGCTAGCTTTTAAAAGAATATGCCATTCTCTAGGAAGCCCTGTAAACTTGCCTGTGTTGATATCAAAGCCAACATGAGTAACATGCCTTGTATTATATGGAGAAGATATATCCATAAGCGGTGATGCAGATATATTACCATCATGATCCTCATACTGAATATTAATGCTATTATTAGGTGAGCTTGTCATTAATTCTATATAAATCAAAAAAAACATTACTATAAAGACTAATTATATTGTATTACTGATAATACTAACCAACAATTTTATCTAATACTCCTTTAAATTTATCTCGAGTCTTTTCTTCAGTATACTTTGGTTGTGACATGCTATTATTAATGCTCATAGAAGGCAATGCTTGCATTGTAGAAGATATATGTTGAGCTGATGTATTATAAAGTTTAGTCACACGAGATTTTGATGTCATAGATAAACTTTTAGTTTTAATAGAATTATATACTAATTTAAATTTTTTGTTAGAACAGTAATGATGGCTACTGCCACTTAAGGCATTGTAGAGAGGAACTTCTTCATCCAATTTTATTAAACATTATATCATAAAATTTACAACTATATACGAATCTTTGTAATATTTATTTACCTTTCGGCTTATATTCCTGCATACAATTTGTGTATATGAGCGGGAAAAAGGCGCAAGAAAATAAAAAACAAAAGAACAAAAATCTTTTCTATATATTTGTTTAAGGAGTTTTTAGTAAAATAGTTCAATTTATGAAGGGAGTTAAAGGATTTATATATTCAGGAGCATAATTAACTTAAGCTGAATTCTTCTCCCTTCCAAGTTATAAAATGCCTGTTAAATACAAGATAGTTATTTATAATGAATATATTGTCTAAATTTTCCTTTACAATTGTTTGTGTTTGAAATTGAAGAATAAGGATTATAATTTTTATTTCTTTAATCAAGGATTTTTTAGTCCATACAAAATTTTGTATGGCCACTCAATTTTTTGTGAATTATTACGATTTTTTTTTCTTTTTTTGCTATCAAACCAAAAAAAAAAAATCGAAATATTTATAGTAATTATATGATAAGAAATGACAAATTTACTGTTATAATACTTATATTCCCTTCATATTTATGCACTTGGATAAACATTTTTAGGGAGTGACTGATTTACCCTCTAACAATTTTCCATTGTAACCATTCTTATTACTTCTTTAATATAGTTAATTATACAGTATGTTTTTTATCAAATTATCGCTTTTTTTTTCGATTTGGCTTGTCGTACATTATAGTGCCACTTATCGCATTTTCAAATTCTATTTACGCCTTTTCCTTTTTGAAAACGGCAACGCATCTTATCGGCACTATGCATATACGATTATATATTTTTTATTGATTTTTTTTTCTTAAAGCCCATTCAATCATAATAAAATGATATTGTATTTCCTAGATAAGATCAAAAAGAGGAAAAATAAACCAAGAAACATTTTGATAGTTAAAAGGAAAAAAAAAAAGGTAAAGAATGGAAAACGAACAAAGAATTATATCTTCAAATACTAGACTAATTACTGAATAGCCAGTTAATTAAGTCAGTGCCAAGAGAATATGGGATTTTAGATGTGATTTTACCATGGTGAAGATAATCAAGTTCAAAAAGCATACTACATATTGTCAGTCAGTTAATGACCTATGCAGAAACGGGGGGAGGGGAGCTGTTTTGTTCAAAAAAATGACTTTCTACACTTGCTAGGAAGGTGACTGAGTAGAAAAGGTAAAGAGTCGGTCACAGTGATGAGCATTGGTAATCGGCGGTGCATATTTAAACAGACAGTAGCATGAGATCAAGTAAGCCTATCATTTGAATAGAAAAGACATGGCTTTGGAATACCACCAGGTAACCAACTGAAGCGTCAGTGTAAAGCACAACTACATTCAATTTGAGTCATGGGCACTAAGTATATACACTATTTCTGAAAATTATTAGAAATTAAAAATTAGACAGGAATACGACTACAGCCTGATTAAAATTTTGTCCAAATATTCCAAATAGGATTCTTTAATTTAGATAGACCTTCGCTCCAAACAATCGTCGATTTTTTTTTTACTGAATTTCTGCAAAAAGCACTATAGATCACTAAATAGTATGCTATTGCATGCATCTCTGATGCATGGAATCAAATGTCATTCCCTTAAAAGTATTTCTTTTTTTGAGTTTGCTCTTACAGACTGACTAAATATATTATTGTGCTTGTGGATAGATGCATTACCCATAATGAGATAATAACATTTGAATTGTTTATACTGAACCATAATATCTAATGTGCTCGCAATAAAATTAAAGTAATGGCTGGTGATGGTAATAGCTGTGCCTTTTGCATCATCTGTGGTCCTCTTAACTCTTTTATTATTGTCTAATTTTTTCTTCTTTAATGATGCAACTTTTGGTACTCTAATCTTGATATTAACAATTCCGTAAGGTGATACGGCACCAAACATGATAGTTAACTTTGTTTTTGTCTTTGGAGTCTTTACCATCACACGTGTTCCCTTTCACAACCTTTTTCATATTGATATATAATCCTGTTTCATTAATAACTACACAACTGCTTTTGTAATCCATATCGGTATCCAACTACTGTTTAACCCAATTGTACCTTATCTCAATTTTTTCAGGGCTATTTCTTTCCTCAGAGTGAAAATGAGCCCTCTTACAATTCATCTTGCACTTTTTTTTTTTTTTTTTGATTTATTAAAAGCTGATTTAGATATTGGAAATTTACAAATTCGTTTGTCACATTTTCTATCCTTTGATCAAGAGTTAGGCCTATATCATCGCTATCAATTAGCTTAATAAGGTGCTTGAGATAGTCATCAGTTAAGATAAGGATTCTGTCTATATACCGTCCGCTTCCAGACTCTCTCTGTTCAACATAATCATCTGATACTTCAACACTCTTTCAATGCTAGTTAAAGGCAGTAGTGGAAGGAGTTTTTATTTATTTTGCTGCACCACGAATTTCTATTTACCAAGTAAATAAAATAAAATAAATAAATAAAAACTTCAATTCTAAACGCAAATCATAGTAAGTACCAGATTGAGACAAAAAATAAAACTGATATGTAAGTTTCTATAAGTTAAGAATATAAAAGACTTATTATATGGCAGCATTTATTTATATAATTTGCTTGTTTTAATATCTACTCCTATAACTTCTATAATGAACACTACAAACATCTTTTTATTCCTTCTTCATTATTATAGTTATTGATTAAAATAAGGAATGTTATTTACAAAATTGAAGGCAGATGATAAATTAAATTAACAATGCTACTATTTTTCATTGTTTGGGGGAAGAATATTCGGCTAAACTTGTGTAAGCTCCTGATGCAATTATAATACCTCTTAGGAATATATATACTGATTATTACATAAATAGAAATATGCCAAGATTTTTCTTAAAGAAAACAAACAAAGAAAGCAGTTGATAATAGCTATACAACAAAGTGCTTAGGCATAATCATTTGAAGTGAATAAAATAACATTATATTGAAAGAAGATTATGATTATACTACTTTGCTCAATTTTAAAATATAGAGTATATTATCTTAAAGATTTTAAGGAGCCATTGAATTAGTATTACAGCTTGAAACTTGGATACAATAATAGTAGCAATAACTATTTTATATATAAACTAGCTTATTGTAATAATATGATAAAAACGCTTATATTTGTATAACAAAAACAGATTTATATGCTGTACAAACATAACTATAATTTATGATAACCTGAAAAACTATACAAATTTCTTTTTGTACTGTTTAGATGGTTGAATAACGACTCATATAACAATGATGTCTTCCGATGTGTTTTAACATTGTAATACTATTAAAAATACATCAACATAAATAAAGGTCACATCAAATATCGATAAATCAATCTGATTCAGGCTAACTAAAGAATGTCTGTGCAAGTTAAAAGAATTTTTGTTTGTTTACATATTAATATGTATATGCATGTACCTAAAGAAACTATCTGTTCTTTACACACTCATGTTACTTTTAATTTAAGAATTCTGTAAATATTTTGTCAGAATAGGCATATCATTTTGAAGATTTCATTAAAGTTAACATATTTATAGAAAAAGCTCTCTCTCTTTTCTTTTCTTTTTTTTTCACTATTTGATATTGGTAGACATAATATACATATTACTCTCTTTTATTTTTAGTCGTTGGACTAATTTTTTTTCTTTCTCTTAATGTACATTAATGATGTATTTAAGGCATTAAATTGGATAGGTCATTATTTGAAATAGCATCAAATACGATGTATTTAGTATAATTTAGTTTTATCTTCACTTACATTTGCTCAATTATATTAAACGATGATAATTTAAAAGAAAAAAAAAGGGAGGGTATCTATAATTTTTTTTTTCATTTGATGTATGAATATAAACATTATATATCACTGGATAAACTTTTTCTGTAGCATTATATTGATTAATAATATTCATAATAACCAGCATTTTTCATATTTTGACTCTTTTCTTCAGGAAAAAAAAAAGTAATAGTAGATGTCTTTTTTTTTTTTTTTTTTTTTTTTTTTTTTTTTACTAAACTAAACCTTTCTCACTTTTGGTGGTGGTGGTGGTGTTATAACGCTTATAAACCATGTAACACTAATAAATACTATAAATTGAATAGGTAAATAGACTTATTAAAATCTTATTTACGATTTTTTTTTTTAACATCTGCTACAAACAGTATATTTCATTTATGACTGTTTTGGAAGCAATAGTTCTAACTGTCAATAATGGTTACTTCCTATAATAAGAGAGTGTTGTTATGATTAATAAATAGAAATGTTATGCTGAACTTAGAAAACTGGTACCTTTTTTTATGTCCATATCAAAGTGCCGTTTATTTTATTTTTTTTATCTTACTTTAGATTTTGTTATAGAAAGTAGGATCAAATTATGATTCAAGATCAATGAACTTTCTGATTCTTTTTTCTCACTCAAAATTATACGCAGGCTTAGTATTACTCTTATTATCTATGGCAATGTGTTTATTTATATTTGAATGCTTCATTTTGAAGATGCTAAATTAATTCAACCTCCAGAATGTCTTTTCGAACCCAGCAAAATAGGTTCAAAATTATGAATTGAATGACCATATAAATATACAGCATTTATCATCCTGCATTTTATTTTACTCTACCTTTTATTCTATTTATTTATTCATTAATTTATTTATTTTTTACTGTTTGCGATATGAATTGTAAAAATAAGAAAAAATTACCTATGCGGAAGCTTATTATTATGGATATTTTACCTCCTACATCATTGTCTACAACTCAGAAGGCTTCACTAATAATGAAGAAAAACGACACTACAATACCCAAAAAATCAGTTCAATTTTCAAAAGTAATTGTTGTAAATAGCCCTAAAACAGTTTACTTGATGAAAAATAATCAAACTCCTGGTACAACAAGAATGATTGTTAACAATCGATTTTTACAACAACAGCAGAGCTAAATAAAATCATTATTAGCATTCTTAAAATAATATTGCTACGCTATTTTCTTTTTTTTTTTTAAAAAAAAACAAAAGAAAAAAATGTATATAAAACAAGAAAATGAAAAACCAATATATTAACTGTTATGTATAATAAATATTCTATAGTAAATTTATTTCGAACATAATATTATGTTTAATAATTTGGAACGACTTGGAACAGCTTAAAATATAAATAAATAAATATATATAAAAAAAAGAATGTTTATTTTTGAGTTATTTTATAATCATCCCACATATATTCTTTATGCACATAATACTGTATTTTGAGTAAGACAAACAGAAAAGAAAACATTTTATATTCCTAATCATTTCTATTACGCTTAAAGAAGTTATCATCTTCATTTTAAGTCAAGAAGCTTTGTTGGCTCGTAAATCATAAAAAAACAACAAACATAAATCATCAAATAAATAAATTATACTTAATAAGGTGTGGTTCAGACCCTTTCTCGCTTATTTTTGTTTACGTTTATTCTTCACTGAATTATTGACATCAGTTATAGCTGAAATATCATTACAATTTTGGACAAAGATCTTGCTTCGTAAATATACATGTGCTACAATATTGAAATCCCAAGACATTTGATTAAGGCAAGGAAAAAAAAAAAGGTCTACCTTTTATATCTTTTCTTCATTTTATATATTAGCATGTTGAGTGAAGAAGATACATGTTTTAAAGGAATTTTATTACAAATAATTAGATATCGGTAAGAAAATCGAAAGTTAATTTTTGCTTATGTAGATTAGTTTTATACCTCATTACAAGTATAGTCGAATACTACTTTTATAACTTTTTTTTCTAATTATTATTACTGCAGATTTTAAATTAGTTTTTTTTTTTTTTTTTTTTTTTTTTTTTTTTTTTTAGATAATAATTTGTTTTATAACTGGCATATAAATGATAGTAATGATAATTGATAGTCCATAAATCTTAAAGATATTAAAGGCGTTAACAAATAATATGTTTATTAATTAATATGTCATGGTGAGTCTAGATAGTTAGAACATTTATTATCACTCAGAAAAAAAAAATATGCAAGAAAGTACTGCATCTATATTTTTGTCCTTTTAGGAATCTGCTCTACCAAAGCTATTCTGTAAAGACTTTTTACTTCTTCAGGCAAATATTAGCTCGTATAATATTTGCAGTAGCAAAATGCAAACAAGAACATATCCTATTTCAATATTAGGATGTCAAGACTATCAATATCAATAAGTAAAATCAATTTGAAGAGTTTAAGAAAAGATTAAAATTAATTACAAGAAATACGAGAATAAAGGTACACAGAATATCACAGTTATAAAGAAGATGACTTTACACTTTAAAGGATTTATGATCACATAGGATATACATTTATATTATTTTTAATACAATATTTTTGAATAAACTCAAGATGATTTGAAACGAATAAAACGTTTAGGTAAATTTATTTTTTTCTTGAAGACTAATAGAAATACTTTTAAAGACATTCTTTTATACCGTTAAAACAAGACTATCTTGAGCCAAACTTCATATATATATATATATATTCCAATAAGTAGCATTCTTGATATATTTATATAGTTCTTAGAGGTAATAGTCAAACACGCTTCTCAAATATAAGGCGTCAATTCATCGCCTTTTTTTTTTATTTTATTTATTTATCTCTTTAGACCAGTGCTCTTCAATAGGATTTCATAAATTTAACTATAGCGCTCCCCTTTTTTTTAATAGATTTGTCTAGTCACCTTGAGCATTTGTCTTCATTTTCTAAGCGTATGCTGCTCTTGTTGAGTGCTTTTCTGAGCAACCTATTTTTTTTTCTTTTACAAAGAATTTAGATTTGTACGAATAAATTTATTTTATTTCAAAATTATGCGTCTAACAAAAATTTTAACCAATCTTTTCCAAAAAAAAAAAAAAAATATGTATTTCACTTTCAAATCAAAACTGAGCTAAGTTGTGACCCCTTTTGTCGATTTAGGACTGCTAATTTTTTAATTCATTTTAACTTTTTTTTTTTTTTTTTTTTATTTTTTATTTTTATTATTATTAATTTTTAGATAAACTCTTTACCCTTTATAACAATGCCTGTTCGATCACCTAATTTAGTTGAAGATCCAGCAATGACACAAGATCTTACAAAAAATATTACTTCAGTGCCCTTACTTGCCGAAAGCGAAGAAACCAACGAAAATGTCAGTAAAGAAAAGTTGAATAATATGAAACTTATGATGAAGACTTTCGTTTTAGGTGCTCTTCGTGAAAAAGAACAGGTAAACTATTTTATTTCTCGTTACAGGTTTTTTTTAAACTTGGAACTAGTCTTATTGTAGTTTTTTCTTCTTTTTTTTTTTGTTATTATTATTAAGCCTGTTCTTTTTAAATATATAACGGCATAATTATAAAAAGGGAGTGAAGTATGCATATTTCATAATGTTTTGATTTCTTTTTTTTTTCTTGAAAAAAAAAAAATAACCAACTACTGCGGCATGTCCCCGTATTGAATTAGTTTTTTCTTTTTTCTTTAAAAAAAAACGACCAATACGTTCGGGTAATTGCTCTTAAAGCTTTTAGAGGGTCCAAAAAGTAATATATTCCATATTCAAATTACATAATGAAGGAAAGGGGGATATTTGACAAGAGATATAAAAAAGACAGTTTTATCTATTTTTTTTTAATATGGGATAATGAAAGTTAGTAGTTGGAGTCCATAAATGGATATGTATTAGCCCATAAAAGAAGCCTTTTGGACTTCTGACGTGATCATGTTTCCCAATTAAAAAAAAAAAAAAAAAAAAAAAAAAAAAAAAAAAAAAACTATACATTTGTTTTCTCTTTTGATTTATTTCCTTTTCTTTCTTTAATTAAATTACACACACACACATTTATTAAGACCTTCTTTTGTTTTATTTTGTAGGGTAATAGTTCAAGATATAATGAATTAGTTGAAATCCTTACTAGAGATCCGGAAAGCCCAGAAGCACCTTCTACCTTAAAATTATACACATGGATAATCGTATTATCACAATCTGTTTCACTCTTGGATAAATCATGTACAACTCTTGTTGAAGCTGTCTTACAAATTGATTGGAGTTTTCGTAATAGAGGCTTTGTGAATGCTTATATGGATTTTTTAGAAAATTTAGTATCTGCGCATGCATTCTATGCTGTATCCGTTTTCAATTCACTTGTTCAAGGATTTAGATATCGTCATTCTCTTCCTCCGAATACTTCTATCACTCGTACTATGTCCTATGAACGTTATCATGAAGCTCTTCAATGTATTTTACGATTAATCCCTACCGGCTCTAATTCATTATTTGTTAGTCTAGTTCGTTATATGCCTCATAAACGTTTTAATTCTGCTGATCAAGCCGCCTATGTCAAAAATTTACTTACTATATCTGAATATGTCTCTGTTTTACGTAAACAAATCTTGGGATTGATTATTGATCAAATGGTTCAAATAGATGCTCAAATTCAAATTGAATTGGATGAAATGGAGGAAGATGTCGAATTCGATGTGTATAACTTAAACTTTGATGAAGACTATGATTCAGAAGGGAGCGAGTCTGATGATGAAGAAAATATGTCAGATTCAGATAGTATTGATTCAGAAAATTCCGATGATTCTAAAGCAGACCACAACGATTCTATTCAAGAAATTAAATATATGGTCCGTAAACTTGATGCTATGATGAACTTGACCTTCCAATATTTTGCTAAATGTGCTTATTCTGCTTCTCAAGATGTACAAAATGAAATATTCCATGCTCTTGTTGATATATTCGATCGTGCTGTGCTCAAGACGCTCAAGTCCCGTTATACTCAGTTTCTTTTGTTTTATTTTTGCTCTCTAAACGTCAATCTATATAGTGATTACTTTTTAGAGCATTTAATCCAACATATTACAGATCCTTTAAAACCTAATGTCACTCGTGTTGCTGCTTCAGCTTATATTTCTTCTTATGTAGCTCGTGCAAAGTTTTTAGAACCCAATACAATACAGCGTGTTGTATTGACATTATCTAATTGGTGTGATGCCTATGTAGATCAATATGAATCCCAAGTTCAAGGTTTAGATTGTAAAAAACATGATGTCTTTTATGCTGTTGTTCAAGCAATCATGTATATCTTTTGTTTCCGTTGGAGAGATCTTGTAATTGACAATAATGAACTTGTTATTGAAGAAGATGTAGAAATATCTGAAGAGCATCGTCATCTAACACATCCTGAGGCCGGTTTTGGAAATGGTACATCTCATACTTGGTGTGCTGGTTTGCGTAATTTGCCTCGTTTAGTGATGAGTCGATTTAATCCACTTAAATTATGTGCATCCTCAGTTGTTCGTCAATTTGCAAAATTAGCTCGTAGCACTCATTTTATGTATATTTATTCCATTTTGGAAAAAAATCGAGACGTGTTTGTACCTGGTTTAGAAAGTGCAAATATATTACAAACTGTGCAAACATTCTTTCCTTTTGATCCTTATCGATTAGAGGGCAGTCGTACCTTTGTGGATAATATCTATTTTGAATGGATCGCTGATGATGAAGATGATAGTGGCGAAGAAGATAGTGATGAAGAAGATTCAGACGATGAGGATGAGGAGGATGAGGATGTAACGTCTGGGATGATGGCCATGAGTATCAGTCCAAGCCCTACACATTATTTGCACTAAACAATATTTATAGTATTCATCCTCATTTTATCTATCAAAATATCATTTGTATATTAATTCCCCCACTTTTTTATATTTTACTGTATGCAAAAACCAACCAACCAACAAACAAACAAAAAAAAATAGCATTGCTTTTCCATTATTATTCAAAATAAATAATGTAATCATATATTTTAATTAAAAAATAAAATAAAATAAAATAAAATAAAAAATAAAGTGAGCCATTTTGCCTGTTTTCAGTGTCTAATTTTCTTGTTGTGTTTTAGAGAATCTCCAACCAATTGATTTGGGGTTTAATAAAAACATGACAACTAAAACAGTTGAACTGCAAATAGCAAAGATACAGAAAGCGATACGAGATCGACGTTTCCAAGTAAGATCTATTCTTTTACTTGCTGATGTCATTTGTTGATTTGTAAAAGGATAGGATGCACCCAACAGCCAAAGGGGAGGAAAAATGAAACCAAACAAGAAGCATAGAAATGAAGGACGAAAATTAAATAAGCCTTTATTCTTTGTTGTTGATACTTCTTCTTTATCCTGGATGATTTCTCTCTTTTTGTTTTCAATATCATTTGAATCAAGTGTTGAGCTTCTTGAGGATATTGGACTGCCTGTTGTATGCTGTACTTGTTTACGTAACTGCTTTGCCTTTCTTACAAGTCTCGTCTTCCAATTGAAGGTTAACTTGTAACAGGGAATGCTATCCTCATTTTCCATCTTATTAAATTCGTTTGTTTCATTTTCAACTGTATCTACTTCAGGTTCCGTACGAATTTGTCTTAATAATTCCAAACGCTTCTTCAACATTTCTTCGTCTAGCTGACCTTTTCTTCCTTGTTGATTCAGGTCCCTCAGTATCAAGGGCGACTTTGGTGTCATTAGACCCGATGATAGATGACCGTTTTCATGATGAATCATGGTAGTTTCTACCGACTTTGGCGATCTAATACGATTTCCTTCATCGATTAAACGATCGATATTCCTTTTATGTTCATCTTTGTTATCTAAAGGTTGAGTGACTCCATGAACGAAGGATTCAAAGGAGTATTGTGGGTCAAAGAAGGCATTCCATCGTTGTCTTTGAAGATGAGCGTTGGATGTGATTTGTTCAATTCGTTTATTTACTTGAGAAGTAGTACTTTGATCTGTACTAGTTCCACTTGAGGACATACCTTTGTTGATGTATACAGTAAAGTCCAACATACTTTTATTAATGTCCGTATCAAGTTGATCATTCTCATGCGGAATAGACGCTTGTTGCTGTTGCTGTTGCTGTTGTTGTTGTTGTTGTTCCATTAAAGATTAAAAAAGAAACATGAAAAAGAACGTATTAAAAAAAAAATTCTTTAAGAAATATGATAAGCCAGATGACATGAGAATAACTTTATTTATATTATTATATAAAAAATAAAAAAAAAAATTTAAGGGGGTTAAAGAAAATGAAGTTGTATAATATTTACAATAAATGATGCTTCAAATATAGGAATTCTTTTTAAAGATTTTCATTCACTTGTTCATGCTTGTAATGAACTTCAGAAAGATCTCTAAGACGAGCAGCTGCTTGTTCAGGAGTCAAATCACGTTGAGGTTCGCCAAGCATTTCAAAACCAACAAGGAACTTACGAACAGTAGCGCTTCTGAGAAGAGGAGGATAATAATGAAGATGAAGATGAGCATAGTCATATTCACCATCGAAAGGCTTTTGATGAATACCCATAGAGTAAGGGAAACTGGTCTTGAACAAATTATCATAACGACAGGTAACACGACGAACAGCATCAGCGAGGTCTACCTTTTGCTTTTCATTCATTTCAGGTAAAGAGCCAATATGAGTCTTGGGCAAGACCATGACTTCGAAGGGCCAGACAGCCCAGAAGGGGACGACAACCAAGAAGGTATCATTCTCAAACACAGTACGCTTACGTTCAGGGTCGGCCATTTCGCGTTGAGCATAATCACATAATAAACACTTACCATCGTGCTTTTCCTTGTATTCCTTTAAAGCAGCCAATTCCTTAGAGGGCTCCTCTGGGACACGTTCAGTACACCACATTTGACCATGAGGATGAGGATTAGAACAACCCATAGCAGCACCCTTGTTTTCGAAAATTTGAACGTGATTGATATAATCCGACTTCTTCTTCATTTCCAAGTAACTGTTTGTCCAGATATCAACAACACTCTTGATTTCTTCAACTGACATTTCGGCCAAAGTCAAGTCATGACGAGGAGAAAAACAGATGACATGACATTCACCACGAACACCTTCAACCTTGATCAAGTCATCATCATTAGCTTGAAGTTCAGGTTGATCAACCTTTACAGCAGCGAAATCGTTGGGGAAACGGAAAGTACTATCATATTTAGGATTGTGTTCACCATTAGCTCGAACGTTACCAGGACAAAGATAGCACTTGGGATCGTATTCTGGTCTCTTTGCCATATCAGCTTTTTCTTGTTGTCCTTGCCATGGTCTTTGAGTACGATGAGGAGAGCAAAGAACCCAAGACTTGGTGAGAGGGTTGTAACGACGGTGAGAGTTATTGTTGAAATCAAACATTTTTTATTTAATAAAAGAAAGTTTTTTGTTTGTTAGTTTTTTTTTTCAGAATCTTTTATAAAATTTAATGCTTTTTTATATATAAAAAAAACAAAAAAAAAAATAAAATAAAATTAAAATCCGCAAAGTAGTTTTGATTATGTAAACAACTGAGTTTTATTATTTCCCCCGACAGCTTATGTAAATATTAAGTCCGTTTTTTTTTTTTTTTTTTTTCTGTAAATACATTGAAAGCAATAAAAGACAATGATAAACAAAAAACAATAATTATTAAATCTGATATCCTGTTTCTGCTAATAATTTAATCATTTCTAAGTTATAGTAAATGAAAGTAAAAGTTAATAAGTATATGTAAAAAAAAGAAAAAAATCTCATTAATTTCCTTTGGTATCTATACCTTGCCAGTCTATTCCGTTTGATGCATCCCATAATGAAGATTGTTGATCTATAGCTGTTTCATCTTTTTTATCAGCGCTCTGAAAAGCCATTGTGGATGCTATTGATGATGAATGGCCTTGTTTATGTAATATCTCAGATTCTTTATTATTTCCATCACTGCCAACCACATTAGCTAATGCTTCCATGAATGGCACAATAGACGGCTAATACGATATACATGAATTTTTTCTACAGATACTTAGTGTAACTTTGTTTTTGTTTTGTTTTTTACCTGTGTAATAAAAAGTGACAATTCATGATGTCGTTCTCTAAACCTCTTTGCTAAATTCTTTGATTCTACAATAAGGTTTGCATCTGCATTTTTATAATTTAACAGTAAAAGCATTTGTGTCTGTGAAATACAATAACCTGAAAATAGAAAAAATTTGACATATGAGCTAAATAGGAAAAAAAAAAAAAAAAAAAAAAAAAGACTATAACAGAATGAAACATTTACTTGAAAGTGACCAACCACATAATAATGCTGTAACGTCTATTACATCAAATATATCTACTGAAGTCTTTAAACATTTTATACATTCAGAAGGCATTTGGACTGCAGAATCATTACCAAGACCCATTGAAATATAGGGTCTTTTTGATAATAAGTAAACTGCACAGTAAGCTAAGTAAAGTTTACCAGCTTTTTTTTTTTTTTTTTTTTTTTGTTAAATTAGAATTAATCATTATTTTCCCGCTTAGATAAAAATAATTAAAAAAAAAATTGTCACTAACCTCCATTATTTAATTTTCTTTCTAATCCTGGGTCTAAATCTTTTCGGGAAATCTGGGATAATTCTTCTGCTGTCAAATTAAGGTCTGCAGGTAAGGAATTTTTCCATTCTAGAAGCATTTGTTCCAAATTGCGGGAAATGTTCTCCAAATTGACTCCTTTTTCGGACATTAAACGAGCTCTAGGCGAACAAAGTTTTCGAAGTGTATCGCCAAGAATATAAGCTAACTTTATCAAATAAATAAATAAAATATATTGAGTATTTTGTGGATCAGGATATTCTACATCACAATCAGCATCAGATATAGTTAAGGGTCTTCAATACATGTTAGTTTCTCTGATGTCTTTTTATTTTTATTTTTTTTTTACAATTACCTTCCTAATGACGCACAAACCCAACGATCGATTACATAAGCAGACCACCATAATCTCTTTTTAGCCTCCATCTCCTTTTTTGGTATATCTTCTTGTTGAGTATTTGCTCTGTGTAATCCTAAATCCTGTGCCTAGACATACATGACATGTTTTAGGCTTATATATAATTTATTTTTCTTTGTATTATATATCATACCATTTTAACAGCTATACTTGTCATTATCCAATCTTTACTATCAATCCCCCATTTAACAGCATTAGCAGAATTAAGTAAGAGAACTTGAATTGTTTCTATCTTTGGTTCAAGGAAATCCAAATCAAAATAAAGCTCCAACTGTTTATTAATATCCTTGAATAACGTATTTCGCTCTAAATTATATTTTTTTAATAATAGATCGTCCTCTTTTAGTAAGCGACAAGCAGCACGACAGACAGACATGATGATTGGTATAAATATAGCGGCATGGTTTGCCTTTTGATATTCTTCATAAAACTTGTCTTCATCTAAAATAGGTAGCATGGGATTCATCTTGATAAAGTAAAGTCTAATAAGGTGATCAGTAAGATCCTTAGGTGGTAATTTCCAATCTGGGTTTAATATTCTTCCAAAATCTAATTTGTTATGTACATTACATCCATATCGCACAATCATTAAATCTTCTTCATGTCCTTCCAAGGGTCTTGGTAGAGTCTCTTTTTCCTTACTTTCTAGATTACTTGCATTCTTTGCGAATAATCGATTTAATATATAAATTCCAGAAGAGCTTCCCATATATGAAAAGGGTGTATTAACCCTCTCTTTATTATCATCAGGCGTCATGTCCAACGATTTGATTTGATTTTGCTCATTATTTGATCGTTCTTCACAAGATGAATTTCTTTGATAACTTCTTGTCTTATCTTCTACATCTTCTGTAAGGTGTGTATGATGAGACTCTAGATCAGATTCTTCTGAAGGGCTGCTATTATTTTCCATTATTGTCTTTATTGCTTCAGCAGGTAAATTCCCATTGGCTGCAATATTCATTAATAATTCTTCCATACGCCTTAATCTACTTTCTAATCCTTCTACATAGCCTTTAGGTGGTCCTCTCTTTTTAGCAACCTACAATAAATAATAATTTAGTTTAGCTAATAGTACGTACACATGAATATATATATATATATATATATATACTTACTTCATCAAAGGTACATGCTTTACTATAGCTTTTGCAAGAAGAACATGGGTTTTGAGGATTTGCCTGATCATAATCACATCTAAATACATGTTAAAACCTAGGACATGTATACATAACGGTTATTTTACCTTATTTTTTTACGTCTACATAAATCACCTAATAATAAAGTATACCATTAATGACTTGATTAGGAAGGCCAAGAACAAAAAATCATCATGTATATTATAATTAAATAAAACAAACATATTGAATAAATCAATAACACTCACAGGCTCTAACTTTTTTAGTTCTTTTGCGTGGTGGCATGTCATCATTAGAAGAATGCTGAACTGATGATAAATGAGAAATTAAAGGTTGTGTTTGTGAAGACTGTATAGGTTGTTGTTGTTGCTGTCGATTAGCTGGATACATATTCCAGTAGCTGAACTTTGAGACTCAACTGGGACTTGAAGAAAAAAAAAAAGAAAAAAGAAAAAAGTACCCATATTAAATTTTTGAAGCCGCTGTTACTAATAATGATTGTTACGCATCAACAAAACAAATTCTTTAATTTATTCACTATTTATAAATATTCAAAGAAAAAGATAAAGAAACTATTAAACTTCTCGAATAGCTTTGAATGTTTTATGCTACCTTTTTGGATCTTTATGATTTAAATAATTAAGAATAAAACTCAGAGTAAACCATGAAGTTCCTTTAGGTCAAAAATGATAATAATAAATAGGAGGAGATTTAGACGTCAAATAAATATTGTATTATGTATAGCAGTCTAGGAAGAAATATACTATAATATAACCATTGCTATTATTATATTAAAATGGTATTAGCAAAAAAAAAAAAAAAAAAAAAAGAAAAAAGTACGTATGAAAGATCATCTCAGAGTACAGCATTTATTGTTATATTTGTTTGTTTCATAAAATCATAGTGTACCAGTATTGCGAAATACTGTAGTAGCACAACTACTGGTCATGATTGCTATTTTATCCAAGCTTCAAGCAAATATGTGTGTGAGATTGAGATGGTCAATAATTATTATTTTACAAGCTTAAATCTATATATGAAGGAGTAAGCTTATTATAGAAAGAAAAGCTAGCCAATAAAAAAGCGTCTATTTTTAAGGTATAATATAATATAGAAATAATGCTACAAGTATATAATAGACCACTTTTCTTTCTGCTCTTTCTTCTATTTCAATAAAGGCTAACAATGGAAAATGAATATATTGACTTGTATCATCAACAACAGCAGAGACAACATGGAAGAAGGCCTTCCTCGTACGTATTACCAGAACAAAAGTACCCACCATTCAATTATTATCATTATCATTACTATGTGCATCCATATTCAAATTATTCACCTATGCGGAACAAACAAAAAGATCAACTACCTCTATTATCCGATCAAGAATGTCGAATCTCAACTGAACGTTCAAGAACAAGCGATAATCAGGTATATATATATATAAATATAGACCTATATGCATGTATTTGATTTAGTTAGAAACAGGAAAATGACAAGCATAACAGAATTAAAGTGAACCATGATATTGATTTAGAAAAAGAATTTCAAAATATCAATGTTAATTATCATTTAGAAGATGATATGGAACCTATGAATGAACAAGAAATACTTGCTGCTATTAATGCCATTATAAATGAAAGAGACTTGGAAAGCTACAAAAAAGAAGAAGATGACAATGTCCCCATTATAGCTGCTGAACCAAATGATAAGAATTTAATAACTCAAGATTATAATATCATTTCACCAACTGAAACACACAAAGTACCGACATTAAAAAAATGGCTATTTTCTCTTATGTCTAACAAAGGAACGTCTCTTTGGGGAGTAAAGAAGACGATAAAGAAAGAAACGGCAAACGACTTTATTCAGAACTACAATCCTATGACAGCAAATAGTCATATAGCACCTACCCCTGTTCTGTCACCAGACTCATTCAACACTACCACTACCACTACCACTAACACTAACACTAACACTACACCTTCACCTATTAATCATTTTTCCCTCCAACAACAACACCAACAGTCACCGCAAGTTATGCATTCAAATGACGTCTGTAATAGAGGGAGTCCTTATTGGTACTTTCGATACCATTGTTTATCAAACTGGCTACCATTTGACCCTATAAATCAACAAAAAATACAACATCATTTGTTACATTGTCCCTATGACATACTAATAATTATAGACTCACACTTTAAAGGAGGCCATATACCCATTTTTGCTTTACCATGTCAACAGATAGCTTATTGTCCAATTGATTTCACTTTAACTCAGTTTATTACTTTAGAGCTTCATCTTTTTAATCTTTGACACAAACAAATCATTGTATACATAGCTTTTTACCTTGTCCAAAATATGTATAATAGCTCCAATAAATAATTCTTTAAGCTTACTTTAACACTGTTATTGTTATTATAGAATTTATGTTACAAAAAAAAAAAAACGTTGTACTGAGAAAAAATAATTCATATGTTTAATTTGTCTTTCATATGTATAGGTATCATTGTTTCTATCGAAAACTATTACTCAAATATAATATAATATAAAAATAATTAAAGTGTAATCCTATGGCTATGAAGATGTTCATAACACCAAATCTTCATTTTTTGTGGTAATAGCCAAGACCACATCTTGAAAGCAATCATGCAAAAGAATTGCCATTGAAATAGTAAACTACCGATCGCGACAATCATGATTGTATAAACAACAAGCTCCATAAAAAAGAATACAATATAGTAAAACCATGTATCATCTAAACTACAAAGTTTAATGTTCTACCTTTTTTTTTTCCTTTTTCTTTTTTTTTCTTACTTTTATAATGGAGTAATCTCAACAACATGCTTGTGACATGAACACTAGAAGAGCCTGTTACTGTAAAGATACAAAACCTCCATAACCATATCAAGTAGTATTTTAGCCCTTTCCTCTGGCTAATTTGATTTATGCTATCATTTGTTGCTGTTGTAGTTGGAAGTAAAGTAGTTCTTTCGTCATGATAGGCCTCCATTTTATCAAAAAAAAAAATCTGATAAGGAAAGAGAAAAAATGAATTATTTAAAAAAAAAAAAAAAAATGAATCCCCGATAAATTATTAGCATGATGAGGCAATGTTAAATAAAAAAAAACTTCCCGCAAATGTATTATAATAAAGAAAGTGTATAAAACTAATTTATATTTGTATATTTTGAAAAAGAAATACATATATATAAATGCTGTATACAAGAATAGTAACTAGTAGAATTTTTTTTTATATATAATTTATTTCAAGATCAAAAAGGACGTTCATATATTTCACTCATAAAGTCCCAATCTTTCTCTGTAGTTGGTGTTAATTTTGATTTAGCTAGTGAAATATGATTCGCAGTATTTTTGATATAAATGTCATTTGTATCCACCTGCTGATTTGATATAGAGTCATACGCTGACAGACCTTTTATTATCTTTTCGTCATCAACGTCTTTATTATTTTCATCATTATTTTCTATGAGTGCTTCTTTCACAATAGCAGGTTCATTATGACTGGTTTTTGATGCTTCATCTGACTGTTGTAGTTCCTGATGCTCTCCAGATATGTATACATTATTATCATGAAGACCATTACAGTCATCATTACTACCTTCAGTTTTCTCTAAATTAGTCCTCTTCTCTACTTCTTCTTGACTTATAAATAAACTTAAATCATTCATGAATCGATCAATACGACGATGGAATCCAAAAAGTAATAGATGAGTTAACCTTACAATAGGTTGTTGAATGACACCTTGTTCAGTAATCTTTAATGTCACAACATCATCTTTCGTCTCCGTTGTAAGCTCAAATGTCCATGAGCCAGAAAAGGTGGGGGCTCTTTTCTTCTCTTGACTATTTGATCTTTCCTCCAAGATACGAATGAGTGATTGATAAGGTATACGTTCATGATGAATAAAGATCGTAACTCTTTTCCGTATAGAATGCTCAACAAAGACAACTCTATTCCCCTTTTCTTCTTGATCCTCAATAGTTACCTTTTCAATCTTTGGTTGCCAGACAGGATACTTGGACACGTCAATTAAAATATCCCAAAGTTCTTTTGATGAGATCCTTTTGAATTTGGCAGTTCGAGATACAATATGGCTTGCAGGAATTAGTAGTCCAACTATATAAGTACAAAGAGGTATAGCAGGTATAATTATCAGTAGTGTTAATAATGGTGTAGACAGTATAGTCATTTCTTTTACTAAATATTTATTTATATATGTATAAAAGAAAAAAGAAAAAAAAAGGAAACTAAAATTAAAGATGAAATCAATTTTATACATGTAACCTATATCACATTGTATGCCATGTGTACTGCTATTACATATGTAATAGTGCGTATAGTTTATTTTTTTTTTTTTTATCATATCATTTTTTTTTTTTTTTGACAAACATAATAAAGATTTAAATATTTTATATAATAAAATGAACCAATATAAAAGAAGTGAAAAAAAAATTAACAACAATAGTGGGAAATTATCGCTATAATTAAATAAAAAAAAGAAGAGAATAACATCATGAACTATTTAGTAGAAGTTTGGTTACTTGTTAAAATTTGCGCTACATGATTTGTCTATTAAAATAATAGTAGTAATAATTAGAGACTACATTATACGGGAGGGGGTTTTTTTTTTGTCTAGTATTATGATTAATATTACCTGTACAGAAGAGAATCTCCTCAATTCATGAGGTTCCATTAGTGACATTTTCTTATTAAGTTTGAAAATACGTTCTCCGAAATTACGAGGTCTTGAAAGAGTGCGAAGGGAATGGGTACGATTAGCATAATAGCGAGCTGAGCCTGAGGTGATAGAGGAAGGTCGAGTTGGATGTTGATGATGACGAATAATAGAGGAACCATCTGATAAGACCCTTTGAGTTGTAGGTCTGAAATAGGATTGCAAACCAAATTTGATCAAATCTAAGGGAGCAAACCAAATAAAATTATAGACCCATACGATACCTGCCCATCTCCATCCACATCCAGTTATATTCGTGAAACTCCAATTGGCATAGACTGAGATAAAGGTAGCTATCAATTGGGCAAATATAAAGGCTAATACAAGCAAGATGGAAGGGCGCTCAAGGAAAAACCAACTTTGTGACCTTGTTACGAAGATAAGACCCTGAGATATGGTTGAGACCTGCAAATAGATGATTGAATGAAGTACACCCTCATTAGGGCTACCAAATTCTTCAACACCAAAGTGAGTTTGGAAAAAGAAAGTGTAATAGATGATGGCAAAGAAACCAACTGTGGAAGCAGCAAGATAAAGACCGTACATGATTGCATACGAAAAGACCTCAAAGAGATTCCATTGATCAGGGAAAGGTGAAGGTTTTACACGGTCTGTGGAAATCGTCATGATTGTACCATCATTTAAAATAGCCAAGATCAGGACCATGAAGGGAGGGAAATTAAATCGATAAGCAAAGCACATGACAGAGAAGCCAACGACGATACGAATCGTCACTGAACATGTATAGATGGAATAATTTCGCATACGTTGAAAGATTTGACGTGAATGAATCAGGGCTTCAATAATGACGGAGAGACCAGGTTCGGTCAAGATGATATCTGCAGCAGAACGAGCTGCATCTGAAGCATCTGCAACAGCGATACCTACATTCGATTTGGAAAGAGCAGGTGCGTCATTGACTCCATCACCTGTCATAGCCACCAAATGATTCATGGCTTGAAGTCGTTGAACGATCTCATATTTGTGCTCAGGATAGACACCTGCAAACCCATCAGCCTGCAAGACAAGTTCATCCACCGTACTATAGCCTGACCCTGCTGGTGGGCCATCCTTTAGTGTCCTTGATAAAAACATATTATCTCCCATACCCAGTCGACGACCCGTTTCTTTAGCAATCGCAAGCTGATCACCTGTAATCATCTTTACCTGGACTCCTAATTCAATAGCACGATCAATTGTTTCCTTTGTATCTGATCGAGGTGGGTCATAGATAGGTAAAAGACCAATGAGACGAAAGCCTCCTCCTTTACCATTCTCTGTCATATCGTCACCTTCAATTTCCTCAATAGCTACTGCAAGGGCACGTAACCCACGACGCGCAAATTCATTCACGTCTTCATTCAATAACTGAATCTGTTCATCTGTCTTGTCACGAGTACAGAGATCCAAGATGAAATGAGACATGCCCTTTGTAGCACGGTAGAGTTTGCCATTCTTTCTATATGTAATCTCTGTACGCTTGATAGTAGGATTAAAGGGCTCAAACGCAAGCTCCTCAATCTCTCTCCTAGCATCCAGTGGATTAGGGAGTGAGTTGATAATACAGAAATCAATCGCATCTTGGTTTTCAGTACGGGAGGCATAGGCAGCAATTAAGATGACATGATCTATATCATAGTCATCTATACAATATGCTTTAATCGTTGGCTTATCAACAACCAGTTTATTCAAGGTGAGTGTACCGGTCTTATCAGAACATAAGATCGTCACGGCCGCCATCTCCTCGATAGCCGTAATTCGAGTCACAATAGCTTTATGTTCCGCCAATTGTTTTGCACCAATCGCCAGCGTCACGGATAAGACGGTGGGCATAGCGATCGGGATACCACCAATAAGTAAAACGAGCAAGTTATCAATACCATCTCGATAACGATAACGGAAACCGGCATACATGACCAAGATTTCAGCAATCAAGAAGATGCCGATACTACAGAGACAAAAGTTACCAATCTTGGCTAAAATCGTTTGAAGATGGCCCACGTCCTCATCCCCCGCCGTGTTGTCACCTCCTATGACTAATTTAGCAGCACGCCCAAAGAAGGTATTGATGCCGGTACCAATCACAATTGCCTCAGCCTCACCTTGCTTTACCGTCGATCCAGAAAAGATTTCATCCCCTGCTTCCTTACTAACAGGTAACGATTCTCCTGTAAGTGCGGCTTGATCCATTGAGACCTGACCATGAGCTGATAACAGACGTCCATCTGCAGGAATGATATCGCCTAATTTGATAGAGATGATGTCACCAGGGACAAGTAGAGCGGCCTCCATCGTACACCATTCACCGTCACGCTTCACCTTACACTCTGGAGCTAACGTATCCATCAGGGCCTTGACGGCATTACCCGCTTGACGTTCTTCCAAGAAGCCAATCACTGAGTTGGCGAGTAACAAGAGGACGATACCAATAAAGTCTTCCCAATCAGGAGGCTCACCACCTCCATTAGAGAGAGCAATAGCCACAATGGCTGCAGCTTCCATAACCCAAGATAAAGGATTCCACATGAAGCCAAGAAACTGTAATAAAGGATTCACCTCTTTATGATCAAGGCGGTTATAACCAAATTTGTCAATACGAGAGGCAGCCTCTTGAGAGCTAAGGCCTTCAGTGGTTGTCCTAATATATATATATATATATATATATTTTAATACTTTTATTTTTCTATAGATAATAAATGATAAACTTACTGTAAAAGTGCGAGTATATCTTCTGGTTCCATAGTTGAAAGATCGTATTTATCTTTGTTATATAATTCTTCTGCTTTTAATTGTTGTATAGGAGGTACATTGCTAGAATGGTCTTGTATCTCTTTTTCATTTACAGATAATTCATTTGAGCTATGATTATCATTTGAAACAGATTCTATTGTATCTTCTTTGTTTGTAGACATTCTATAAATATAATGATTACAAATTAGAAAAAAAAAGAAGAAGAAGAATAAGATATAGAGATAAAGTTAGAGAAAGAGAGAGAAGAAAAATCAGAGTAATAAGGTTCTTTCTTTTTTATTTTTTATTTTTCTTAAAATATCAAATATGTATAAATAAATGAAACGATTCATGATTTATTTCCCGTTTTACTATAATATGTACGAAAATAAATATATATTTTCCATTTTAAGCTATTTATGAATGTAACACTATTACAACTATGAGCCTATTTTGTGTAAAGGAAAAAAAAATAGTCTCCCCTTCTTCGTTTTATATGAATATGTACAGTAAAAGTAAGAGAATTCATTCATTGATAAATGCCCAATAATTTATCTAGTCTATGTATATAAAATAGATGACGTTATATGTTTAAGTTTTTATCTTTCTGGTTACAACCTGTTTTATGCGAAAAGATATCATCATAGAAAATAATTTATGTGCTATACAATGTATATTATTTACAACAAAAAACCTGTTTTTTTTTTGATCCGATCACGTCTTCTAGAAAAGAAGTCACAACATATGCCAATTCATCCTATTAATCACTCATTTTTTTCAAAAAAAAAAAAAAAAAAAAAAAAAAATAATTAAACCTTTTATTATTATTATTTAGAGTCGACTTAACAATGAATGAAAGTGAAGAAATAATTGATATTGATGACAACGAGATAAAAGCTGATCAATTAATCAAAAGGTAAACATGAAAAAAGAAAACTTGTTAATTTAGTCAATAAATTAATTGTAAAAAAAAAAAAAAGTCCTTTGACAAAAGTTCCATCACCAACAATGTTACCTGCATCAATACCAACCAACCATGACATGGATGAAGAATCTCGCAAATTGATCGAACAAATGCTTGCAGAAGAAGAATATTATTACGGACGAAACACAATAACAACCCTTGAATCAGCAAAGAAAAGAAAAAGGAAAGCTTTAAATAAAAAAACATCTGATCAGTCAAAAAAAAGGAAAAAAGAAGGTTTCTTTCTCATTAACCTGAATTGATATGTTATAGATACTAACATTTATACTTTTTTTTTTTCAGCAACAGCTTTATCTTCTGCATCTTTACCTTCTCACAATACAAGATGGAATGAAGAAGAAGACGATTTATTAAAAAAGGCACTTGTAAGGAAAAAAAAAAAAAGCGTATACACATAAGGAATAAAACTTTACGTGTATTAAATATAGACCAAGTTTGGCTATGGAAATTGGAAATTAATATCTGAATATGTCAAGACAAGAAACCCATTGCAATGTAAAAATCATGCAAGACACCTTCAACAGACTGATAAGGTTGAAACAAACAAAAAAACTAGGAGTAATCTATTTAAGGAATACAATACTAACTAATTTTTATATTACATAATACAGATAGAAAGTAATCTAGTACAAACAAATAAACAAAACGTTTCAGTGGAGATAGAGTCTCCAATTATCACATTAAAAAAGGAAGAGCCATTAGTAGAAGAAGAAAAAGAGATAGATGATGATATTTTATCTATTGATGACAATGATAATAGTAATGAGCATAAAGAAGAAGAAGATAGTATAGCTCAAGTATCAAAGGGAGAAGATGAAGTATCAATCGATGATGAAATTGATTTAGTAGAAGATAAGGTACCAATTATAGGAAATAGCGATATACCCGGTATTGATGATCATACACCATCACCTGAACTTGAACATGAGGATGATACTTGTACTATGGCTCCTTCTCCTGTTACAACTCATACTGATGACTCTATTATAAATAATACTCATACAAGCCCTGATACCCTTAATACAAATGATGATACCCAAAAGGATGAAGAGCCATTAACAAATACAGTTGAATTTTCACCCAATGAAATCACAGAAGATGAAAGAATACAAAATCCGGAATGGTTCAGGCATAAACACAGTAAGACACCTGATCGATATCTAAAAATCCGTAATCATATTTTAGCATGTTGGAAAGCATGTAGACCAAGATATCTTACGAAAACAAGTGCAAGAAAGGGTTTAAAGGATTGTGGTGATGTGAATGCGATTGGACGTGTTCATGAATATTTAGAATCCATTGGTGCGATTAATGTAGGTTGTGTGACAAGTGCGCCTAGACCACCTCGACGTGTTCCACGTGAACAAATACAGGATGATGATATGTTTCATGCAGCAGATTTGGTTATTAATTATGATGGACCAAGAAAGAGAAAAGTAAGAAATGAACATGGTGAATGGTACGTTATTTTATTTATTTATTTGTATTTATTATGTATAATCTATTTATATTTCTGCTATTTTTATTTTTATTTTTATTTCAGGGTTGACCCTAGAGAGCTGGAAGGAAGAGTGATTGAACACCAAGTGATTGTTAGATTAGGTAAACATAAATTGATCAAGATAAAGCTTTTTATAACACGTTATTTACTTGTTTATTGTTCCCTTCTTCTTAGATACAAAACCGAAACGTGTCATCAAAAGAATACCACAGTATTATGGTGGAGATGATTTTGGACGAGGATATGATCCATTTAGATTAGTGCCTACCGAACATTATAATCATGAAGGAGTACCTCCTCCATTTGAAGTTGAGATTAATAGCGATGCTTTAGTAAGTTTATATAGTTTCACTTTTTTTTTGTCAGTAGCTGACCTTTTTTTTTTTCGCTAGTTAGTTATGGATTTTCATTCACATTTAGCACATACTGAAATTATCGGATTGCTGGGTGGTAATTTCATTAAAAAAGGAGAAACAAAGATATTGCAAGTCAAGACAGTATTTCCTTGTAGAAGTACAAGTACAGGCATTCAATGTGAAATGGATCCTGCATCAGAAATGAAGGCAAGAGAGTGGTTTGCTGAAAAAGGTTATAATGTAGTAGGTTGGTATCATTCACATCCAACCTTTGAGCCTCACCCGAGTATAAGAGATATTGAGAATCAAACATCCTATCAAGTACGTAAGAAAAGAAGAAAATAAAAAATGAATGAAAAAAAAAAGGGGGATTAATATATTGTATTAGACATTATTTAAAGAAGAAACAGGGGATGAGCCATTTATTGGTGTGATTGTAACACCATACGACCCTGAAATCTTGAGTGAATATTCACAAATTCAGTACTTGCATATCAGTAAAGAATGGGATGAGTTACACTCATTTCGTAAGTTATTTATGTCAAAAAAAAGTATAATTAAACAATAACTTATCTGATTTTTTGGGATGGGGGGGAACAATAGGTGTACCGTATGCTTGTCGTAAAACAGTGTTACAAAATGAGCAGGTCTCAAGTGATATTCTACATCAATTTACTGAACTTGTCAATGAATACAAGGATTATGAACAGTAAGCGAATTGAAAATTGATTATAATTCTTATTAATTCTTTTTTTTTTTTTTTCGTAAATAGTAAAGTGAATATGCTATCTGATTTCGGTTCACAAACAAGATTAGAAAAGTTATTAGATTCTTTAAGGGCACATCTTTTTATAGAGAAAGAAGATGAAAAGCAATTTATTGATAATGTGAGACATTTAATATTAAATGACTTTATAGATGAACAACAACAAAGAGAAAAAATAAACCATTCTGAAAACGTAAATAATGAGTAATAAATAAACAAGTCCTTTATTATTATTATTATTATTATTTATATGATATGTATATTGATATATAAAACACATACACACATACACACACATAATATTAAAATGGTATGTCTTTTTTTTTTCTTTTTTTTTCTTTTTTATGTATATATATGAGAGATATAATAGATTATTTCATAATTAGTGTATACATATTTATATATAGAGAAAGCTTTGGGGATGTGGATATTATTAATAAATATGAGAAGAGAGGAAGAGTTATGAGAGTTGTTGCTGTTGTTGTTGATGATGAGGATGAGGATGATGTTTACTCAAGACACTATATTTTCTTGATGAATGTATCATTGAAGGAGGATAAGAAGTAGGAGTCGTAGGTGAATAAGGACGAGCATCTGGGTGAGAGAAATAATTGTGTTGAGGTTCACCAGACTGAGCACCAGGTGATGGAACAGAAGAGGACCCAGAGGAGGCGCTGTTGTATCGAGCACGTTGCCAATCATAATGAGGAGACTCAAGTGATGTAGGTTGCATAAAGGGATGATGTAATTTGGGTTCATCGGGTGTAGGATTTGGATGGTAAATTTCATTTGCATAAGGATCATGATGGTTGGTTGTGGTGGTTGCTGTTGTAGTGGTGTTGGTGGTAGTAGTGGTATCATGAATAGCATATGCAGCAGCGGCAGCGGCAGCAGCGGCAGCAGCAGCAGCAGCAGAGTGATGAGCATAAGGGGAAGGAAGAGCAGGATGAGGAATAGGTGATGAAATATTGGGTGATAATTGATGTTGAGGTGGTTGAATACTAGGATAAGGAGTATAAGAAGAATAATAAGAATAAGAAGGTTGTTGATGTTGTTGGTCATATCCATGATGTAACATAGTTGGAGGTGTTTCAGGTTTAGGATATGAGGGGAACATGAAAGGACGAGAATGCTCCTGTTGAATAGGTGGAGTAGGCTGAGGAGTCATAGGGTGGCTCGAAGTAGTCGTATTCGTATTATTATTATTATTATTATTAGTAGTAGTAGTAGTAGTAGGATAACGACGCGCTTGATTATCAGCATAATGACCAGGACTTCTACCTCTGACAACAAGAGGAGCTGATTGACAAGAAGCAATTCTGACCATTTGATTTCTATCTGTTTCAGCATAAAGGTCGACAACAGAAATATAATATTGTTGAGCAGCTCTTCTTTTACCATTATTAGCGGTTGCGGTCTTGAACTGAAGTCGTTCAAAGGATACAATATTTTGATTACTGGCAACAGAACTCATTGATAAGTTACCACCAGGTATAATAGGTTTAGGTGAAGGTTTAAATTGAGGCCCCTTATCACGCTTAGGAGTATGTTGAATGATTTCAATCTCTTTATCACTATTTGCTACTCGAGCAGAGATACCAAGTAGGAAACGCTGTACAGGCTCTAATGGACCGTCTTCCATTGTTTTAACAAAGACACGAGGCTCATTAAGTGAATAATAATGATTGAAACCATGAATAGAAAACACACTGCTCACTTGAAAGTAATTACGTCTATAACAAGTCCAATCGTTATCAGCCAAAAAGAAACCACGATCCATCTTGGATTGTATACGAACCGTTAATCTTTTTTTTTTTTTTTTTTGAAGCAATAATAATAATAATAGAAGAAATAAGTTAATATGAGGTGTAAAAAATAAAAAAAAAAATAAAATAAAAAAAATAAAAAAAAAAGTCAAATATTTACAAAGTAGTTTGGTCTGCTGCATAAAGATTATCAAATGGTTTTGTAGAACTGAAATAAGGACTTAATTCAGTTGAAAATATACTTGCTCTTCCCCTAACAACATTACGAGTACCAAAGGAAGTAGTAGGTTGACGATACAATCCTAATTGTTCTTCTGTTGACGAATCAGGAATAGAATTGTTATTATTTTCTGGACGAGGAGTGCCAGGTTGAGAATGAGCAATCATTCTAAAATAAAATAAAAAAGAAGAAGAGAAAATTAGTAAGAAAAAAGAAAGAAAAAAAATTAAGGAGAAGATATTATAGTTAGTTAGGTAGTAACGATAATATATAGAATAGAAAGAAATGATTGAACCAATTAAAATTGAGTTCAAAAGAAAATGTAATTTGATAGGATAAGGAAAGCATGTATATATAGATGTATATAAATATAATACGTATATACATTTTAAGAAAGAAAGAAAAGAAAGAAAAAAGAAAAGAGAGAGAGAGAGAGAGAGAGAAAGCTTACCCATTTAGTCTATTAGTTGGGTTTAATTCTAAAGAAGTTGTGTATGATTGTTGTCTATGATGTATAATAATAATAAAAATATGTGTAAATAAAATATGTTATTTTATTGTTGTATCTGTTGTACACTAAAATAGCGACAGGTACAGCATAATTGACATAAATTGCATAGTTACTATGATACAACCATAGTAACCATCTAATTTGTATATGTATGTATGTATATTATCTATAAACAATAACTTACGTATTTTGTTTTTGTTCTGGATTATGATAATGATTCATAGAAGAATATCCACTATGATTTCCATGAGGAGGAGGAGAAGGAGAAGAAGGCTTAGGAGATGATGTTGAGTCGATTGCAATGGGTGGGGTTTGGAGTGGAGCTTGATGGGAAATAGGATTTTGCCAACCTTTAGAATCATGAACAGAATTCATTTTTTATATAAAGGAATCAATAATAAAATGATAAGAAAAGAAAAACAAAACAAAAAAAAAAAAGAGAGAAAAGAGATTAAAAAGAAAGAGTTTTAAGTTAGATCTAATGTAAAAGGGGAAGATATAAAAATGATATTTCCGAAATTCGTGTTACGCTACAATAAAAAAGATTGTGAATAAGAAATAAAAAAAAAAAATAAAGGAAAGACTTTAAATAAATATGAAAAAAAAAACCTCTTCGGAAACTTAAAAAAAAATAAGACGACCAAATATAAAATAAAGACGAATAAAAACAATGAATAATAAAGGATTGAAAGCTAAAAAAGTAATAGCTCTTTTTTTTCTCTCTCTCTTTTGTTTTCTTATAATTTCCTGGTTTTGTTCCTTTCTGCTATATTGCTTTATCGTGATCTGCGACAATATAAATTAAAGTGAAACCATTTTTTTAGGTGTACCTTTTTTTTTAAAAAAAAAAATGTCATTGTTATTTTCATACAGTAAAAAATAATACTATAAGCGGGAAAAGAAAAAAAAAAGTTCTCTTTTAGTGCGACATTAAAAAAAAATATCAATAAATAAATAAAAAATAAAATAAAAGAGAGAATGCAAAGAGCTGCAAGTTTTTTTATTTATTTTTAGTTTTTTTTTTCTTTTTTTTTAAAAAAAAAAAACTAAAAGTGTTTACTGTATTAACAAGCATATTTTTAACTATTCCGAGAATAATTTTTTTATACATAATCTATAAGAAGAGAGAAAAAAAATATTCCCATAGTCATACACACGACGCAAGATGTTTTTTTGAACGGAGATAGAATGTATCATCTTTTTTTTTTAAGAAAAAAAAAGTATAATTTTATTGTGTGTGATAGGTACCGTTTAGTTATTTGAATTGATTTGATAATAACAAGGATGAAGTGTACAATCACCTAATGTTTATGATAAAGACTGTACTCATCTATTACCATTTTGTACTATCTTTTTTTTTATTACTGGGAATACTACTTTGATCCGTATGCACTTAGCCTCCCCCCATTTAACTAGGACTTTTTATAGTTACTGGCAATCATTGAATATAATCATGAATGACATCTCTGTTTGTTTTGGTTCAAATATTGAATAATCATGATACAAGTTATAAATGTATTAGAAATATGTTATAGAAGATTAGGAAATAAATAATTTGTTTGTATATAAACTTTAATTTTTTTTAGACTCTACGAAGAATGACGATAATTTGTTGCTACACAACCAAAAAAAATAAACTGAGATGAAAAACTACATAGTAGAAGATTAAATTATCTTTTTGTTGGAGTTTCAAATAGTAAACGTTTCAACCTGTTTAAACAAATAAAAAAAAACAAGGGGCTAAGGAGAAGTGGGCGGGGGGCAGTTAGGAGTGGTTTGGGGGAGGGAGGAGAAATAGAGAGAGACATATGAAAGAAAAAAAAACTTGACTTTTTTTGTTTACTATTTTTTTTTTTCTACCTATAAGTTTTGAATGTCTATAAAATTCATGTTAAATCAACAATATTGCCATACGTAGTACGCATTAAAATGATATTCAATCTGTGTATATAAAATAGAAAAATATATACTTCAGGGTAAAATACACACATTTGTATATATACACCACATACTATCTCAGCCACAGTAGCACAGCCATATTGCTATTACTAGTCGCTGTTTTTTTTTTTTTTTTTTTTTTTTTTTTTTTTTTTTTTTGCAGTATGCACTCATTTGATGCCTTACATACAATTACACAAATCAAAAATATGTATATACATATATATATACATATGTATATGCGTGTATGTGTGTCTAAGACGCATTTATATGTATAAACATAAAAAAAAATGGACGATAGAAATATTCAAGATGAATAAAGTATACTCCAGGCCTTTTAATGGTAAATTCTCTTTTATTTGACAATAAAAGTGATTAGCTATTTTGGATAATCGATTGTATTACATCTTATTTGTACTCTTTTCAGTCTAATAATTATCAAGACTTTCCTTCTTGTCTTTATTTAGTAGAAAAGTCACATTTACGATAGTAGAATCATTAAGTGTAAGAATGAACCACTTATATCTTTTCTTATTATGAATTATACTCATATGGCTTGTATATGGGTTAGATTTATATATAAATAGATCATTTACAACAAATAAGAGGACTAAAATAAAATATGTATATGGAATATAGTCGTATGTAGTATATAGTTGACATATTAAGTTGGGGGGTATGTGTAATAGGAGAAAAGAGCAGATGTACTACTGATTCTTCTACAAGTTAATAGAATCTATACTTGTACACTTTCATATGAAAAAAAAATCAAAAATTACATACATTTGTACACAATTATTACGTAATATATATTTAGATAAATATACAAATATATAGTTTGTTTGTCTATTTATTTTATTTCCTTCCTTTCCTACATCATTATCTATTCAGAATAATATTATGTAATTATCCAATTTTACATCATGTATTTCCAGTTATGTAATTTTTGCCTTTTAACAACCTGTTTAAATGTAAATTTATTATTGGATATTTGTGACACAAATAAGCTGCATATAATAATTATGCGGTATTTATAGCAGAGGTAAGCAAACAGTGTGTATACAAAATAAATTATTATCAGAATTTATTTAAACGTATTGTAAAATAACAAATCTAAAAAAGAGGAAAAAGAACAATACTAATAACAGCAATACTAATAATAAAAAGATAGTGAAAAAAAAAGAGAAAAAAGAGAGAGAGAGAAATTATTAAAATGACATCATATTTACTATTCAAAAAAAAAAAAAAATGAATTCCCCAGGTTATCAATAAATAAATAACCATTTTTTATTTACTTATTTATTTATTTTTTGTCTTTTTATACATTTATTTTCGTTTTCCTTTCTTTTCTTTTAACAAAAAAAAACCAAGGTAAATAAAAGAAGAAGCTTTTTCATTTCGTGTTCCCTTATTTAATTCATAATTAATTTGTAGGTTATATTTTTAATTTGTAATAGATACATTAAAGATAACACACACGCGCCTATTTGAAAAGAATAAAATAAAATAAAAAAATAAAATGGATAAAAATGAATTTCCTACTCTTGAAGAAGCCACTAACACGGCTTCTACAACAACAACAACAACAACAACAACAAATGATAATAATATGGAAAAGTCTACACTAGGCTCTTCTTGGGCTGAAGTTGCACAGCCTCATTCTGAAAACGCTGCAACTGTACCTAAGAATGAACAACAAACAAATAAGATAAATCATGATCCTAATGCATGGGCAGAAAATAAACAACATGCTACATACGCTGAAGTTGTTGAACACGAAGAACAACAATCTCAAGAGTTTCCTACTCCTCAAGAAAGCCTCAAACAAACAAATACGGAACCATTGCCTGCATCAGGTGGTGTTGGTGATTTATTAAATGACTCTGCTGAAACTACAACTTCAAAAGGTAATAAAGAAGTGTGTGTGTGTGTGTGTGTGTGTGTGTGTGAGGGAGAGGGAGAGAGAATATAGTTTTCTTATATCATGTTTTATAGATTCTATTCAGCCACCAAATCCTAATAGATCATTTGCCGATGTAGCTTCTAACAAAGATTTTCCTAAACCTCAACATGATATGAATAATCAAATAAACCAGGATCAGCCTCCTCTGTCTGATATACCAGATGTCAATGATATGTTACAACAGCCTTCTGTTCATGTTCCACCTGTTCCTCCTTCACAAAGTTTTGCTAAAGTAGCTGCAAAAGAAATTCCACCTGAAAATCAACCTTTAAGTGATCGTACTCAAGAGCTCATAAAAAATCAACTTCAAGAAAAAGAAGATTCATTGGCTATCAATGATGATAATTTCCCTACCTTAGCTCAATCGAATTTAATGGCAGAAGAAAAGGCTGACAAAGAAGAAAAGGCAATGTATTCCGAAATTTCAAGATTCAATCAAGTAGGAGAAGAAGAAGATATATATAAAGAATCAAATGGTAAAGTATCACCCTGTGAATATATACATGCGAACTATGATATAATTTTCTTTTTCGTATGTGTGTGAGTTCTTATCACTTTCTTACTCTCTCTCTCTCTCTTTTTCTCTTAATACATATATGCATATATATTCGTAGTTGACTCTCAATTAAAGAAATCATTTGCTGATGTTACTGGCTCTAATCTTGAAAATGCACCCCCTCCCGCTGTTTCTCATGTAGATCAGCATCCAGTTTATGATGAAGAAACTGTTTATTTGGAGAGAGCTAAGCAAGATGAAAGAAAGCATCTTCAAAATGAACAAGGAAATAATGAACAACTTATTGAAGAAGAGAGTAAGGATAAGCTATATAATAGATATACATATATAAATAAGGAATTCTAAATAGTTTCTTAGAGTTAAAACAAGTTGAGCCTACAAAAGAACAAAAGGAACAAGAGGAAAAGGAAAATAAAGTATATGAAAAGAGTAAAGAGATTGTCAAAGAAGATAAAAAAGAGAATGAAAATAGTATTGTTATTCGTTTAGAGGCATTTGACAAGCATCATACAGGAAGAATTACGATCTTCCAGACTATGTACGCCTTGTATACATTAGGCTATTCCTGGTTCTGTATTATTCCTGGTGCTATCTTGATGCATCTTCGTCTGTCCCCCATGACATCTCCTTATCATTTCCCATTTATTTATAGATCACCGTTTGATTTGATTTTACTTCCAATTTACACAAAGAAGTTGCAAACTGCCTTAACTTATAATACACCTATAGTTCACCAGAATAAAGAACAAGTTGATAAAATAGTGAAGATTTATGGTCATCAACGAGGTCTTGGTTATTGGGATGGTATCAGAGCTTTACGTTATATGGAAAAGGATACATTAAGGTGGTGGCAAGTTGGTTTGTGGGCTATTCATAGAATTCAATGGACATTAATTTATACAATGTTACATGAACCAGAATCAAGTGTCGTTACTGAACCCACCCTTTTATCTTTAGTATCAAAAAATTAAAATTTCTTTTAATTATTCCATATGTAACTTTGTTAAAAAAAAATAATAAATTATATCATTCGCGTCTAAACACATAGTCTTTCTTTCTTTTTTCTATGCTTTATTATTATTCTAAATATTTCAAAGAAGTATTCCTTCTAGAATAAACATTTATACTAACTCGAAAAAAAAGAAAAACTAGCTTACAAGCATTATGTAAGAACTATATTCACATCCTCCCTCATTCTTTCTCTTTTACTTTTAACCGACAACTAAAAATATATACTCTATATTCCAAAAAAAAAAAAAAAAAAAAAAAAAAAAAAAAAAAAAAAAAAATTGTCAAAAAAATTTTTTTCTACACACATATTCAATTGTCAGAATAAAATAAAGATAAAAAAGTATCTTTTCGAAGATGATGAATTTTTCTTTTCATATACTTTCTTATTAACTTTTTTTTTTCTTTATTCTTTTGGAAAAATAAAATAAGAAAGAAATACTATATGTGAGTGATTTTTTTTATGATGGAGAAAGAAACAAAATATAAATATAATGTATGTATTTTTAGATATTATAATTAGCATATACAATAATAACAAAAAATAAAAAACGCTAATATTAGTAATAGGATTAAAATGTAAATTTTTTTAGTTACTTAATTTGTTAAGAAAAGAGAAAAAATATAAAAAAAAAGGAAAAGGAAATAGGGCTCTTTAAAGGAATGAAGAAATTATTGGTGCTTATTTTTTTTTCTTACACTGGATAGAAAATTGGAAAATAAGATTTTCTATGTTAACAGTTACTTCCTATAAATATATAAATACTGTTTGTTAATTATTTACTTTATTCACTTTATAACTACTATGATTTCTAAATTATACTCTTTTGAAATACAATTAAATAAGTTAGCTTCTAGACTTGTCTCAAGTAATCATTTATTAAATATCTTTGAAGACAAGATAATCAATTTAATAGCATTACAAATGGATAACCTTCTTGTAAGTAGTTGTGTTTTCTATCTATCTATCTATCTATTTATTTATTTACTTACTTATTATTTATAATATAGGAAGATACTGACACGATAAATCAACAAATAGATGCAATGGAAGCCTATATTAGAGATGCTCGGCTAACACTAGAGTTCATGGCAAACGAGTTACTTTATATGAGAGATCAATTACCACTGGAATATGATAACAGACCAAAAACTATCAATGACCAAGAACATATTTTAGAACAATGTACAACTGAAATCGATCAATTTTCCTCATTCCTTAACTCTTTACATCATTGTGTACCTAATTTATTGAAAACTGGAAAAGAAGTTGTTATTTAAATGCTTTATGTATTATCATTTCAATTTTATGTTTTGTATATAGATTCCTTTTTTTTTTAAAAAAAAAATGTATAGAAGATAAAAATAGTAATAAAAGATTCTAAAAAACATGCATGATCCATTTACTGCTTCAAATTCTATTTTTTTTTTAACTGTTATTGTGATGCTTTATAAGTTTCATGTATTATTAGCTATTCACAGAAACCAATTTAGATACGTGACTATATAAATAGCTATTTCTTCTTTTTTTTTTCTTTTCTTTTGGAAAGCCTATATGTAGTGCTTATTTCTCCTTTTTCTTGTGCATTATCAATATCTCTTTTACTATTATGATATGTATTGGAATTATGCCCTATTTTTTTTTTATTTGCAACATTCAAATTTTATAAGTATTCCTTCATTTCTCTTTCTTTCTCTCTCTCTTCCTTTGAAAAAAAAAATTCGAATAATTACTTTTATTTTAACACTTAATCTTGTTCTATTACCTTTCATATCATCTAAAGAAACGAATATTCCTGTTTCCTCACAAGGATCTATAGTGGTTTCATATCTGATAGGTATTAAAGATATGTTTACCTAGCCATAATCAGGACCCTATCATAAATTATACTTCTACCTTTGGTGATAATGATTCTGGGTCTACGGCAGTTTCTGGTTCCCTCCACATAGTATCTTGAACATGATATTATCAACCCATCTTCGAGTCAACGCAACCTTAAAATAGCCTCTTGAAAGCTTGCTCAAGGGGGGGGTAACGAATAATATATCGGGATGAATAACTTAACTAACTACGTGATAAAAGCGACTAAAATTGACTCATTACATTTAAGATTTTAAGGTATTCGTTTATTCAATCTTACTGTCCTTCTCAATATTCTCGTATTTCCTCCTCTTACCTCTGTGTTTGATTCAATTTATCCAAAGTCTCAGCTGGTTTATCATACTGGCAATCGTTCAAGGGAATAGTGAGCGAAAGGATTGGTAAAGTTCATAAGTCCATAGAGGGGATTTGCTAGATACTACTTTTTTTTTTTTGCACTTGTCAAGTACATTCAAATTAACTTGACTTTAAGGACTATTACTGAACTCGTCTTATGTCTATTCGCATGAATCCTTAGGTTTCAGTGAAATTCTTAAGAGCTGCTCTCTCACTGTCTCTATTTTTCTGGCTTAAAGTTCGTGCAATTAGTGTTGAATACGTATATCCTTTCAAGATATTGACTGTCTACTCGTCCTAATGATCCTATCAAGACTGATATTCTTTCATCAGCCACTCTCTGTCTCACCTTCACCTATTTGCCACAATAGTACTGAAAATCTACGTTGGTCAAAAGAATAAACTGCTGTCTGCTCCAAAAAAAAAAAAAAGGTGGGGGAGGAGGAGGAGGAAAGCCACCAACTCATCCATATTTGAAGAACTGTGAGATATGCTTACCTGGCAGCCACCATTACTCCTGGAAATAATAATTTTTACTTTGACTATTTTGGGATTCGAAATGTAACCCTCATCAAACTATTGCTGCCGATAACATGATGGACGTAGACAATTCAGATAATCCTGTAAACTATGATTGTAAACATCATAAAAAAATAAAGTATTAATACTAAAACAATCCTCTCGTTGCACCTATCAATATAGAAAACTTCAATACATTCCTTTAGTCGTACAGATATCAAATTTTTGATAAGTATAATATTGAAATAATTAAAAAATGTATATAGTACTGTGATGGTTGTAACTTTTAACAATACTAGTAGTAAATGTTTTGAAAACAACATTAAAACCTTTAACTACTATTTATGGTGATAATGATAATAACATTTGGAATTCTTTTACTTTCTTTAAAATATTCATGATGTAATTGGATTAATTTAGCAATGAAACATGCTAATCAAGGTTCTGTTATTGAAAAAAAAAAAAAAAAAAAAAAGGACGTGGTTAATGACACATCTAAACCTAACAATATATCTTACGGTGCAGAACAGCAATACACTATTTTATGAAATCCATCCTAACCTTTTCTTCAGATAAAATGGTTTGATACCCTACAAATTTTTTTTTGTACGGTACCTGGATTTATTATATGTTTAGATACATTTCCTGAGGAGGTAGTGGTGGTGGTGGAGAAAAATATGTGTATCGTACTCCTTATTGAATTGCTTTCAAACTTTTTGCCAATTATGCAAGAAATAGAGTGTTACTTACGTTAAAGGGACAAAATATATCGAATGTGTATCACTTAATTCTAACCGGGAAACTTCTCCTTTAACATAAGCACCTAAAAAAAAAAAAAAAAAAAAAAAATCTCTTTAGTCATCGTAAATGGCACAGACCTTGTCTCAATACTCCTTTACTCGATTTAGTCTTAGTATCTAATGTTCCAAAGATGAATAATAAAATAGTTGACCGTTTACAAGAAGCTATTTTTTTTTTTTTTGGAAAGAACATATTACATGTGTACAAAATAAAACAAGTTATACAAAAGTTTACTGATGTCAGTTTTATTTTTAATCCTGAGAAGTTTCATATTGAACAACCTAGAAAGTATTTGTCTACTGTTTCGAAAGTAGCTGTCGCTCCATTTGGACACTATCTGAAGAAGGCAAGTCAGTAAGTCAACTTAATGACACTCTACTATGGACCAATAGAACAAGGAAGCTGTATTTATATAAAGATTTGAAAGCTTTTTGTTGTCTTCAACTTTGTCTCCCTATCATTCTAAATCTCCCAGCATCTAATTTTATAGTGCTGCTAGTAGTTACTTTATTAGTACCACTTTATATCATTTGTCTTTCCCCTTATTTTTTATACCAGTTAAAAGAAAGAAAGAAAGAAAAAAGGTCCATCGATTTTGCTGACTGAAAATTACTCAATACATTGGAATCATAAAGATAGTTTGAAGGGATCTGAGAGTTATCCTTGTCGATATAATTATAGGTTTAAAAGAGCAAAAGCGGATGGAAATGGTACGTATTTTTAATATGGGATAATAATCAATAAGGCGAAGAAAGCATTAGTATTCCTCAGACCAATCAGGAACCAAATAATTTTTTTCTTAAAGTAACGATCAAGTGAATAAAAATAGAAAGAAGAAAACAAAAAAAAAATTCTCGGGTAGTTGTTAGTTCTAGATGGATGATACTTATCAAAATTGAAATGGTCTAGAAGAAAGTCTCTTTTTTTTTTCTTTCTTTCTTTCTTTCTTCAAATGTTTGTCTTTATAATAACACATTTACATTATTGAATATGCGAAAAAATAATAATTTCCCTTTTCTTCAGTTAAAGCATTTATTATCTTTTCTTCTTCTTTTCTAAAAGACGGAATTTAAATTGTGTGTGTCTATTTTCATAAGAATCTAGATTTTCATGTATGTTAAAATACATGGAGATAATAAAAAGATAAGAAATCATGTGAATTCAAGTAAAATAGAATGGGAGTAGAATTACTACTCATTTATGAATTGCTTAATTTTTATACTGGAATCGAAACAAAAAGAAAAAAAAAAAAAAAAAAAAAAAAAAAAAAAAAAGATCTTTTTTCTCTTTTCTCCAGATTGCCTTTAAATTTTAAACTCCCAGTTTTTTATTTCTCCTTTTTTTTATTATTATTATTATTGTTATTTTATTAAATATTATCCTTCTTCTTTTATTTTATGTTGTATAGTTTTGTAAATATATAAATCAGGTTCTTTTTTTTTATTCGTTTTGTCACTTCAAACAAGCACCAGAGTACTGTCCGATTTGGATAGACGTAAACGTAGAAAGCTTTCTAATACAACAACAACAACAGAAATGACACACTCACGACCCTTATCACCACCTTCACCACCCGATATAAAATACCATTTAATGATGATACAAAGAAAAGAGAGATTACAATACCCATTTCTCCTGTCAACGATAATACTATCTTTCATGCAGAAGATATAATACATGATCCCAGTTATTGTATGTTTAAAATTCAATTAGATACAAAAGGGACTACAGGTAAGAAGAAGAAAAAAAAAGAAAAATAAATAAATAAATAAAAGAATGCCAAAAAAAAAAAAATTCAAAAAAAAGAAATCATTAGCTGCATTATGTTATTTACCAACTAAAAGTAAAAATATAATTGAATTTTATCATATTGTAAAATATTAAAATAGAAATACATATAATAACAACAGCGGGAATAGTAATAATAATATATTTTTCTTTTATATTAGGAAATACCAATTGCATATCGACATCAAGGTTTGGGTGATTTACTATTAAGTCGAGCCTTCCAATGGGTAAAAATGTTAAAATTGCTGGTGATACCAACATGTCCATTTGTTCGTAAATACTTGGAAACTCATTTTCCAGATAAAAAGAGTGAATATTGGTCATGCATTGTATTAAATGAATACAATAAATACAATGGAAATTCATGAATATGATAAATACCTTTTTAGTAATAAATAAAGCGAAACAAAAAAGAAACAGAAAGAAAAAGAAAAAAAAAGTAGGCTTAGTCAATTGTTGTATATACACATACATACACACATACACGCGCACACACACATACACACACACATACATACAAACATACATACTGACTCACATATGTACACATATATACATACATACACACACACACACACATACACAAAAATAAAAGATATCCCCATGACCTTTTACACTTTATTTATTTGCGCAAACTAATAAAAAAATAAAAAATAAAAATCAAACACAAGGTTAAAAAAGTGCTTGTGTATATTCTTATTCATATAGTTTAGAATAACGTTATACAAATATCATTCATTCTTTCGTTAAAGATCAGTTCCCTTTTCTTTTCAAACAAAGTAGTCGTAAGCACTTTTGACTAATAAATGATTTATCTTTTTTTTTTTTTTTTTTTTTTTGGAGGGCTTTAAAAGAAGAATCAACAAGTTGGTATCAGTAATCTTCCTTCTACAAAAGAACAAGTTTAAATATATCTTGCCTAAATCTACCAGTTCTTTAGTAACTTTGTCTAAAGATATATTGTTACACCTTTTTTTTTTTTTTTTTTAATAATTAGTAAAAGCCAAATGTCTCTTTTTGATGTAGGCTTCTAAAACATAATTTATGATACGATCTGGAAATCTTTTCTTTGTTCAAGCAGGTTTCTATAAATATATAAACTGATAGATTAGGTACCACTTAACTCTTTATAAGCCTTTTTCTCTTTCTTTCTCCCTTTCTTTATTTGTTTGTTTTCCCTGATCATCGTTATAAATGGAGCTATTCTTTGCAGTTAAAACGTGCCATTTGTATAACAGCTTAAAGTAAGTACATAAAAAGAATGCACGGGACATAGTACTACAATTGCTAGTAGATTTTACCTCATAGGCCGGAGTTTATTTAGCCATTTAGAGACGTATTTAATCGATCAGGTAGCTCGTCCTTCCTATTATTTCCCCTCCCCTCTCTCTCTCTCTTTTTTTTTTTTATTTTCCTATATAAACTTTTTATTAAAGATATAAATACACTGTATTAACTATAGATATTTGAATACAAATAGAACATCAAATAATTCCTTTATTCTCATTATCGTATTTTTCTAAATAAATATATGTGTATAAATATATCGTTTGTTTAAATCGAATTAAGAGACTTGTATGATACTTTTATTTCCCCTTTCTAATACAAACATACCCTACTGCTTTGAAAAAAAAAAGGTAAGTGATATAGCTCTATTAGATAAATAGGCTGATGAATGAAAGTAAATATCGTTTTCATAAAAAAGATAGAAATGAATGAGCAAGTACAACAATAAGGGCATATGTTCCTAATGTTTCTGTTTGCTAGTCGTGAAATACATATACATATACATATACATATATATATATATATTCCATTCAAATATCACTATCTTGACTATATTACGTAAAAAGTACATGGTTGTGACATATATATTAGGTAAACAACAGTACAAACTTCTTAACCGTGAGACATAAAGGAAATCGATTTAGACTAAAAAAAAATGGGATTTTCAACTACTGTGTGTGTGTTACTTTTTTTTTTTTTTTTTTTTTTTTTTTTTTTTTTTGCGATTAAAATATATAATTGAAATAGAGGAGACTTTATAGATTCTTCTACTTGACTCTTTTTTTTTATATATTAAATAATAAGAGTTTACTCCCAAAATTTACACATTTTGAGTGTGTATGATGGATAAATAAATACAAGTTACACATGTGTATGTATTTGCATAGAGAAAATGCTCACATTACTCTATTTTATTTCAGGTTTATAACCATAAAAAAAAAAGCTTATTTGTAATTCCAAATATCACATGTATGAATTATTTTGAACAAGTATTTTCTAATGAATAAAAAGAAAGAAAGATATAGAGTAATCTATGATGGATAGTCTTGTTCTCTTTATGTAATATTTAACCATTTAAAGAAGTTATATTTTTATTAATCATATACCCTTGAAGAGAAAAAGGAGAGGAAAGGAGCATCGTTTTCATTAAATTTCAAGGAATTTTTAAGGGCAGAGAAAATAAAAAAAAAAAGAGAGAGAGAGAAAACAAAAATGGCACAGACATTCTTGTTGATTTTACATTTGAAATTCCTTTCATAATCAAACTAATAATACAATACTCCAACATCATGATGAAAAAAGTTCTCTTTTAATTTCACCTCTTTTTTTTTTCTTTAGGTAGTTTCTTTATCTTAACCTTCCTCTCGCTCTCTCGCTCTCTCGCTCTCTCTCTCCTTCTCTCTTTTCTTTCCCCTTCAAACATGACATTATTCTTTTCTTCTACTCTTTCTCCCCCAAGCCCCCTCCTTTTTTTTTTTTTTTTTTTTTTTTTAACAAAATGGTGTAACAAAAAACAAAGTTTCTCTAAGAAGGAATTCAACATATTTTTATTATTATTATTTCCTTTTCTTTTTTTATCCTTTCTTTTCTTTTCTTTTTCTTTTCTTACTTAATTTCTTTTTTTTTATAATTTATGACAGTAAGCGAAGAGAAACCAGTTAATAATAGTGCTCGACGACGTTCAAGTGTTGTTTCAACGAAAGCAACTAAAGATGGATTAACTCGTAAACATTCTGAACGTCATCAAGTGATGCAGATTCAAAATTATATTATTTATCGAAAAACCATTGGAGCAGGTTCAATGGGGAAAGTGAAGTTAGCTGAATGTCTTGATGATATTCATAAACAAAAAGTAATAAATAAATAAAAATTAGATGAAATAATAATAATAATAGCAAGTTAATTAAAATACACATATAAATAAATACATATATATATATATTATAAAGTATGCAGTTAAAATCATGCCTAAAATGGACCCTAACTTGATAAAATTAAACTCAAATAAACCAAGGGATCCAAAGGATACACCTGAAGAAAGAGAACAGAGAACAATTCGAGAAATGGCTATTATGCGTTTATTACGACATCCAAACATTTGTCAATTAAAAGAATATATCTCTGAGGGAGATAAATATTACATGTTTTTAGAATATGTCGACGGTGGTCAATTATTAGATTATATCATCAAAAATGGGAAGCTACGTGAAAAACTAGCAAGAAAATTTTCACGACAAATTATTAGTGCAATAGGTATTTTATATTATATACATGTCATCCATACAAAAAAAAAAAAAAAAAGGGAAATCTCTTTTCTTTTCCTCCTTCAATCACTTTATATATACATATATATATGTGTATGTGTCAATATATATACTTATCTATAATAAAATTATAGATTATTGTCATAGAAATTCAATTGTTCATCGAGGTCAGTATCTTTTTTTTTTCTTTTTTGATATAATTTTACTATATAAGCAAATTTATTAATAATGTATTTAAGATTTGAAAATTGAAAATATCCTTATTACTCGTACTGAACAATTAAAGATTATTGATTTTGGTTTATCCAATCTCTATTCACCTACTCAACAATTGGATACGTTTTGTGGCTCACTTTATTTTGCTGCACCAGAGTTGTTAAACGCTCGACAGTATACTGGACCTGAAGTAGATGTTTGGAGTTTTGGCGTTGTCTTGTATGTCTTGGTGTGTGGGAAGGTTCCGTTTGATGATAGTAATCTACCAGCATTACATGAAAAGATTAAAACTGGAGTGATAGAGGAGTATCCTGAACATTTAGGGAAAGAGTGTGTAGATTTATTATCTAGAATCTTTGTTGTGGATCCTGGTCGACGTATTACGTTAACAGGTATTAAAGCGCATCCTTGGATGAATAAAGGTTATGAAGAACCTATTCGAAATTATCTACCACGCAGAGAACCTCTTGAAAGGATCGATATGGAGATTATTCAAGGGATGGATGGGTTTGGATTAGGTAATCCGTCAGAGATAAAGGAAAAATTAACAAAGATCATCTCTTTCCCTGCTTATCAAGAGGCTGCATTAAAAATTGTTGAAAATTATCAAATCTCTACAGCCCTTGACGATCAACTAACAAATAAATCTCGGTGGCGACGTAGTCTGTCATCTACTGTACGTAAAAAGAAATTAGACCTATCGGATGATTTTCAATCATTACCTGCCATGTACGATCCTCTCATTTCAATCTATTATCTCGTAAAGGAAAGAAAGGAGACAGAAGAAAGGAAAAAACAATTATTAAGTGCACCCTCTGCTCCTAAAAATGCTCTGAGTAGATCCACTAGTACATTTGTGACAGGCAGAAAATCAAATCATTCAAGTTCCTTACTACAAGACTTTAGTCATGTCAATAACAAAATGACTTTAACACGAAGAAGAACATATGATGCATCTAAAAAATTACCTGCTTTACCTCCTTTCACCGATCATTCATCTAACTCTAGTCACTTGAAAACTAAACAATCTTCTTCTTCTTCAACAACAACAACAACAGCAACTACTACAGCCGCCGCTGCTGCTGCTGCTGCCACGCTTCTTTTACGAAAGAAAAGTTTACAAGCTGTCAAGAAGCTTGGCATCATTCGATCACCCACTATTAAAAATATAAATCACGAAAATTCATTTACAAATGATGAGGATACTACTACAAAGCAATCCATGGGAGAAAATAAAGCAAAGAAACCATCTTCGAGTAGTATCCCATTTACTACTTCATCATCTACTACTACTGCTACTACGACATCATCAACAACGAATGAAAGCCAACTACTAAAGACTAGAATCGAATATAATCATAACCTAGTTCCCTCAACTAATTTAATAGTAGCAGCCAGAAAAAAGGCTCGCTGGTTAAAGTTGGACTTTAAACAGAATACGACTCTATCAACTCAAGAACATCAATCGACGATACATGTAGACCATCCTAAAAGACCTTCATGGAAAAGATTATCTATGCATCGTAAAAACTCCACTCAACTTTCATTGGACCCCATCTCTCATGAAGATTTTCCTAATTCCTACTTGAGTCCTACATCCCCTACTCATCATCATCATCATCCTATTCATCCTATTGAAGGTGAATCTACTTCTAGACCTATCGTAATGACAACTAGTATATCAGAATTTGCTCCACATAAACTTAAAAAATCAAATTCACCATCATCATCATCATCATTATCATCATCATCGTCTTCTTCTTCATTATCCATGGTAACAACAAAAACTTCACTTAAGAGTATCTTTCAATTTAATAATCGAAATCACTTATTTCGTATGTCACGGAAAGAACTCATGGAAAACTTGGAACATGTACTATATCAATTAGGGATCGAGATCCTTTCCACTGAGGGATATCAAGTGAATTGTAGTTGTAAACGGTACGTCATAGATCATTATATTCCAAAGGAAGATAAAGAACACAAGACATTCAACTATGACCATCAAAACATCTTGTTTTTTATTTTGATCTATGAAGCAAGATGGGCAAGAGGAAAGATTGGTATTAAAATCAAGGAACATATACATCATAATGGTCTCACTCGTCATCCAAATATATACAGTAAACAAGTATTTCAAAACTTGTATCATGATATATTAGATCAGATCGAGGCCAAATCAAAAAAAGAAAAATCAAAAAAAGAAAAAAAAAAGTAGAAACTAGTTTATAGATTAGATTAGATTAGATTAGATTTAGATAGATATTAAAAAAAAAAAGATAAAAAGAGTGGGATTGGAGAGAAGAGAGAAATCCATTTCTTTTTTTTTTTTTTTTTTAAAAAAAAGAAAAAAATTTTACTGACTTACTATTCATTCCTTACTATTATATTTTAATAAATTATTTCTCTCTTTCTTTTATTATTATTATTATTATTATCCAAGCATATATTAGTTCAATACCAAGCAAGAATCTTCCACCAACCCATACCGATGGTAAAATAAATAGTCAGATAAAATATTGCCATTTGGATACCAACGATAAACCATTTCTTACGACTAACATATCCAGAAGCAAAGTACATGGTAAAACTTCCAGTAGAGAAAGTTGTCTACATATATATATTAGATAATTATACAATACATATATATATACTTCGTTATTACCATACAACCACCTAATGCACCAAAATAAGCTAATAAACAAGTTAATATCATGGGATTTGCTTCTAATGCATGACCTGCATCAAAAAAGGTTGCTACAAAGGCTACTGTATGTGCACTTAATGATGAAAACATAAATGTAGTAAAGAAATATGCGATAGCTAAGGAAGGTACAGCAGGTAACTTGAAATATTCAATAGTTTGTGAGATTTGAAGTCCTAAAAATCTGGATGCACCTGATTCTGATAACTGTGAAGCCATTGTGATAAATCCACCTAGCCAAAAGAGTGTCTCCCACTATTTATATAAATATATGAATCATATAAATTTTTTTTCTTTTAGGGGGATAGGAAAAGAGTGAGAAAGAGAGAGAGAGAGAGAGAGAGAAAGTAAAAAAATAATATATATTTATACGTATATGTATATATTTACAGCGTTTATATTATTGGTAACATCTTTCCAAGTCATAGTACCCAAATAGAGTAAAACGGTTATACCTAATAATGCAACCAAAGTAGTATCAATACCAGTATGACTTGAAGTAATCCATAGTGCTAAACATATACAAAGGACAATACAAAGTTGCTATTTATACTTAAAATTGATTATTATTTCTGTTTGGGGAGGGGGGGGTTCATATTTCATATTTATAGTATGATATGTACCCATTCTTTAAGGGACAGAGGTCCCATTTCCTCTAGTTCTTTAAAAGCATGTAAAGTTATATTATCGTCTTCATTTGATTCTAAAGAGGATCCTCCTTCTAATTGATTGTCTTTGTCCATTTTAAATATACCGCAAGACCATGATAAAAGAAGAGGTGAAAGGATAGCACATACAAAAACAGGTACACAACTTCCAGTAATCCATTTCATAAAGTCAAAATGCAAATTTGGATACAACATATTAGCTTTTGCTAAAACAATAGGATTTGGAGCCATACCTTTGTGATAATTAGAAGAAAAAAAAAACGTTGAATTATCAAAATGTTGAATATGTATTTTATAAATTACCTGTCAAATAAGCTGAAGCGGATAATAAATTTGCATGAGCGCCTACTAATATTAAAAATTCATTTACTTTTGGATTTTGTAAAGGTGAAGAATTGAATGAAATAGCAATTGAGTTAACTATAGGTAAAATGATACCACCACCACGAGCAGTATTACTAGGCACAAAGGGAGCCAATAATAATTCTATCATTCATGATTATTAATGTTTCTAGCATTATATGTATATATATATATATACCTGATAAAAGAATAGCATAAGCAAGTCCTAAAACACGTTTACCAAATGAGCGAATCATCAAAAGTGAAATTCTTTTCCCAAGTTTTGTCACTTCTACTGCTTTCCCTAAATGAAAGGCAGCAAAGATCAGCCATACAACTGAGCTTGAAAATCCTTCAAGTGATTGGTAAAAGGCTTGATTATGACCCTGACAATTTAATAATGTTCCTGTGACTGGATCAAGTTCACCACAGAGTCTGCACTCAATGCTACGACTACTGTCTATTGTCCTACATTGAAATGAGCTAGTCAAGGATAATAATACAAGAGCGCTTAGAACAAGGACTGATGTATCAACTGATGTAGTTATTAAAGCAAATATGCAGCTAAGTAAATATATACATATATATATATATTTATAATGATTATAACTTTATTATCCTAATAGAACAAACATGGGGTTTTTTTTTCTTTGGTTCCTTTTTCTTGTTACCTTGTAAATACAGCCAAAAGTCGAATAGATGTTAATGTAAGTTCATCTGTTGGTGTTGTACCAAACCAAATAATCGATCCAAGTAGTATAGATGGCAAGAGACTAAATAAAATAGATTGTCCAAGCACTCTTTGGTAAATCTTTTTAATTATACAAATGACTAAATAATACATGCTTAAATACAAAAAGGGGGAAAAAAAAGTAATTTCTATTCACTTGTACCTGATTTATTGTCTATGTTTATATCATGAAAGTGTTTAGAGATTAAAGGTGTTTGTTCATTTATTAATTGATTATCTTCTTGTCTAATTTTTGTGTTCAAAAGATCTATCTGATCTTCATTCATCATTGTAGAGCAATATTGGCAAATAAAAGATAGAAAGAGAAAGATAGATCAAGTATATATATTATTGCAAAATTGTTAAATATCGTGATCATTTATTATTGTATTTTAAAGTTAGATACAGCTGATTTTAACCCTCTATGTGTATGTATGTGTGCGTCTTCTATTTTATCACATATATATGTGTAATATACCATAAATGGGAAGAGGAATTCTGTAATGATCTTTATGAATACAAGTCATTTGTCTTAATTTTTCTGTTTTTTTTTCTATTTACATGCACTTCTCGAGATACTGAAATAAGTTGACATATATCACATGCAATATATTTAAATATACACTATGATAAGGTCGTAATAATAATAAAGACAATAGCAGAAACAGTCATAATAAATAGAATGGTACAAACACAATAATGATGTATATGTAATATTGCATTCATGTATTATAATTATTATAGTGTATGACTCTATATCCTAAATGAAATATGAAATTAATAACCTGCATTTGTTATTCTATGCAGATTGCATTAGCCAATCAATTTCAAAAAAAAATATATTATTACTATTATTATGAACTACTACTTTTTTTTTCTTCTTTTTTCTTACAACATACATAACTCTACAGATATTTTTTCCTTCTTTTGTTAACATTAAATATATTTTCATATTATAGATCATTTACTTTTTAAGAAAACACATTTAGCAAGTTACACGTCGTGCTAATTTAGCAGTAATATCCATGTATACAATTGCATATTTATTTAATTATTTATTTATTTATTTTTTTAGATCCATTCAAGTACATCATAAAATGATATTATATTTCCCGGGTTAGAAAACAATGAAACTGAACAACCTCCTGACAGTCAGAAAAAAAAAAAAAGAGTTACTCTCAATAAAATTTACATGCAGTAGATACCATTAGTTAAATTAACCTCATTGATCGATACTAAAGACAATTATAGATTATCTTCTATAATACCTCCATTCTTGTTAAATATACCGTTATATGTGTAATGATATTTATTCATGTAATTCCCATTGAGGAATGATTATAGTTGGAAGAAAGTGTTTTGAGATATAAATAGTCATTATTATACGCTTTCTCTACTAGGCTTCATTCGCGGGTATAGTCAGCTAGATCAATCTTTATTGACTGAGATTAATTTACAAACAGGGCATAAATAAATGTCAAACATGATAACCTTAACTATTTATAGGATACGATTTTCCTTATCCTATTATGTATGTCATAAAGATATCTATTTTGTACTCATTTTGTAAAAAGAAAAAAAGAATAATTCTTTCAAGCATAAAAATGCTCCTAATAAATTGAAATGACTAACATTATGTTGACCGTTTATCTCATTAAACCCTGTCGTTTAGCTTCTTGCATGTTCTTCATTGAACGTAATGGATATCACCTTGGATGACTGCCAGGTGGGCCATTCAACTTATTAAACCCAATCATCTCATGCTACTATTTGACTCTCTCTAAATACATTATCAGCTTACGAATGCCTGAGGACTATTAAGGATCATCTCCTCTTTTTCTTGAATAAGCTTTTTATACATTAACTGTGCGTATATTTCGGTCTATTTACCCTTAATTTGTTCGTTAACTCGTTATTTGTACAAGTCTTCATAAACTTGATTACCCCCCCTTTTTTTTTCATTAATGAACTAACCCGAGCAATGCTGATATGATTTATATCTTTAGCGATATATAAGTGTGCGTATATGTGTGTATTTAGGTTGTTATTATTATCTTTTCTATTTGCTATAGAAGGAAAGATGTGAATTATTGGCTAATTAATAGATACTATTGCATAATAATTAATACTGAATGATGATGATAATCAAAAGAACATCAATGTATGCATGTATTATATCCTGGCTTGATAAAAGGAAAATAAGTGCACATTCATACATGCATGTTTTACCTTCAAAAAAATAAAATAAAATAAAAAATAAAGAAAAAAAACAAAAAAATATAAGCCACTGCATATCAGTATTAATAATAAGTACTTTGTTTATTATTAAAATGACGATAATTATTTAAAGAGTAAAACGTGATAATAGAAAAGAAGACAAAACGCGTTTATAAAAACAAAAAGGAAAAGAAGGAAGAAAGAAAGAAAGTGGCGGCCATGCGACGAAGGCCCCCCCTTTTTTTTTCCAATGGGCTTAGAAAAAAAAAAAAAAAAAAAGAGTACAAAATGATGATGTTACTAAAAATACAGCAACAAGAAACAATATAAAAAAAAAACAAAATAGAATAAAATAAAATGTATTACTGCCAAGACATTTTAGCTTCTTTTTCTTTTTTGTTGCTAGTTTTTTTTTTTCTTTCTTCTTTTTAACAAAATAAAATGTCAGCATCATCAAATTATAATAATGGATATAATAATAATTATTATGCACAACCACCTCCTTTACCGCATCATATAGAAATGTCCCAAGAAACAATAGATCCATATGGTATGAAGAATGTGCCTGTAAGCTCTCCTCCACCTTATCCTGTCTATAATAATGTCGGTATAGGCTCATCTCCACCTCAAGCAGCAATGAGAGACTCATTATCTGATATAAAACTCATGAGACATTATGATTCCGATGATGACATGGAAAAAATTATTCCTAGAGAAAGAAGAAAGCGCTCTTGCATAGATAAACTTTGTTGTGGCTGTTGTACATGTTGTCCTAAATGGCTTCGTTGGTGTACTTGTATTTTATTTATTATTATTGTTATTATTGCCATCATCATTGGTGTTCTTGTTGGTATTTTTAAAGTTCCAACTGTTCAATTTACTGGTCTCGAACAAGAACCTTCGTTTGCTTTTACAAATAATGTTCTTTCTATAACGTTTAATGTTGGTATTAGTGTCGATAATCAAAATTTTGAATCTCTTTATTTCGATAGGATCAAAGCTGATGTAAGTTGTATTTTTTAATGAATGAATGAATGAATATATTTTTTTAAATTAAAATACATGTGTGTATATTGAATTATTTTTAGGCTTATTATCCTTCACCTTATAATACCTATATAGGAGGTGGCAGTGTAACAGGTGTGGATATAAAATCCTTTGCAGTAACCAATATTATTTTCCCTTTTGTTATCAATGTAAATTCGTCTGATCCTAGTCAACAAGGCGTTATTATGGATTTAGCTACTCGTTGTGGTCTTGATGGAAGTGCCCCACAAAAGCTTGATTTTAATTATTATGTTTATCCTACAGTTAAAATCATTGGTATTTCTATTACACCAAAAATTTCTAAAACCATGAGCATTAATTGCCCAGTAAGTTGTAATAATAATAATAATCCCCTTTGTGTCAAAATCTAACCAATCATAACCATCTTTTTTTTTATTATTATTATTATTAGACATCTGAATTAAATTCCATATTAGGTGGATTATTTGGTGGTTCCTCTTAAAAGAATCATGTAAATGTACATTTTTATTTTTATGCTTTAATGCCCCCCTCCCTTTTTTTTTCTTCTTTCTTATATCTCTTCTATTACATATTTCACCCATGTATGCGTAATAGCTATGTTAAAGAAAAATTGGGGGGTTTTTTTTTTCTTTTTCTTTTTAATTCTTATTTGTGTATAAATTTATTTATTTCTTTATATGTGTAATGAATGAATGGTTATTATATAATTAAAAAAAAAAAAAAAAAAAGATGTGTTTCAAGAAGCAAAAAAAGATGATTCATTGGACACACTATATTCATCATTATCATCTGTTGTATCACTTATTTCTCCTTCTTCCATTTCATCTTGACTAGGAGAAGATAATTGACTTTGTCCTTTAAAACGCGAATGTGTTAAATTAGATATGGATGATGAAGGGTATCTACTAGGAGGATGGCTAAAGCTTTGTGATTTTAAGGGCTTTGTCGGTATTCGTTTTTGTACTTGTTGTTGATGTAAATACATTTCATATCGTGCTTTCTTTTGTCTTCTTAATTCTTCTTCTGCATCATCATCCTTTTCTTCTTCTTCTTCTTCTTCACTTGTTGTAGCTACATCACTCAAATATCTTCTATTAGATACAGAAGGTGATATAATATAACCTGGATGAATCGTCTTCCCTCCCACTCTTCCGATATGCTTCCCACTCATCATACCAGTAGCAGTAGATGGCTTTTCAGCGGATTGGGTTTCGATGTTTGTATCCATATGATGACTACTAGTAGTGGAAGAAAGTGTTTTCCTTTTACGATTATAATTGGGTCGTTTGGATGGTGGTTTAGGTCGAAGAATGAGTTCACATAGTGATTCGATACGTCTTTGAATGACTAAATCTTTTGGCCATCCAATACGTCCTAGTAGTAGTGTGATGTTTGCTTCTTGATGATCTTCACTACTACTTTCATTTACAATTTGATGAAAGGGCAATTCTGTATCTGTAATCATCAAATCATGTCGTCCAATACCATGCTTACAAATTCCTCTTAATAAAGCTTTATCGTGAAGTGGCACTTCCCACCAACTATTATATATATATATATATTAAAAAAAACAAGTTAAATCTATTCTTCTACGTTATAATTCATTATGCATATATGTATATTATATTTTACGGTGGCAAACCAGATGTTCTTCGCGCCTTTTCAATTAATTTATCAAAATCAGGATCTACAATAACACGTTCACGAATCTTCTTCATTTGTTCAATACGCTTTAATGCACGTCTTGCTTTATCATAAGGAATTGTTTCTACAAGATTTAATTCCTCACCTCCTATAACCTCTTCACTTGATTCACGACAACTTCTTTGACCTTCATCTGTTACAGCTTGCTTTTTCATAATTTCTTTACAGGCAGCATAAAACTTGTAATAATACATATCAAGAGCAGCATCTGTCCTCTTTTCTAAACCAGAAAGTTTTCTAAATCGATCCCAACGAATATTTGGATCACCTGCTACTGTCTCTACACCAAAGGATAAAATGGTTCTCATAAAATCACTACGACTTTTCTTTTGCCATCGATTGCCTGCTTCACTACCGCCTCCTCGAGATCGCTGTCGTGATGATCGACTTTGATGACCAAGACCTTCGGCTAAATTTGAATTGTCCGTTTTGCGTCGTCGATTAGGGTTACCATCCTCTCTTAAGAAAGCAGCAATGATACGACGAAGACGCATACCAATATCTGCCTTAGAAGGCCACACATACACTGTTTTATCCTCTAAACGATCCACAAAATCAGAGGGACTATCGTCATGATGTTTATGCTCACTTGTTGAAGACCCTTCTTCATCATCCTCTTGCAATGTACCTGCTTTACTATCATCGTATCTTTTCCCATAAAAGCAAAACTCTTTATCTTTACGCATCGTTAAATATTGCTGATAACCATGCTTGATGATGCCCAGTAAGAGATCTCGATCTTCAGATTCACCCCACCAGTCACAAGGCAAAGAACCATTCACTTTAGGAATAGGGAGCACCTTCGCTTTCTCCCAATCCTTTGGCACGATACGATCACGAACCATATAGAGCATTTGAATTCTTAACAAAAAGTTACGACCTTTGCGTTCAATATGCTCTCTATAATCAGCGGGGGCTTGAATCAAGAAGGACCTATATTCAGCTATCTGTCTTTTAGTAGCACCTACAAAAGGTATCGTAAAATCGCTTTCTGGAGGCTCACTTTGAGCATCACTTTCTAATATGTATTCCATATCACGAAGTAATTTACGATCTTCCTCTGAAGCTGTACTGCCCTCAAGGACATGCTTTACTTGGCGTATCAAACATCGAGTCACAGCCTTCAGGTCCCTTTCAGTACGACGTGGAAAATGAGCTTGCATCTGTTTCCAAGGTCCATAGCCATAGACCATCAATTTACGTTCATATTTTGTCTTTTCAGATAATGACCATAAACGAGGTTGATCACGTTTCCTTGATTTCTCAGACTCATCTTCATAAGCATCAGAATCGTCTGCATTATCATTCGATGAATCATAGATACCGTCAGCAGAACGTGTACCAAAGCGTTGTACTTGACGTCGCTTACGTGGTTCATAAACAATTAATTCATTCTCGTCTTGAAATTCATTCATATCTAAATTAGCCTGAGCTGCCCATTTTTCCCAAAAATCAGGATCATCCAATTCAACATCGTGTTCATTATTTTGAGTCGTGGAAAAAGTAGCCTTGGAAAAAACAGAGCCCTTTTCATTCCCTTCATGTCGAATCACGGTCGTACGTCTTTCAAGGATTTGATCAATGTCCTCTGCACAAAACTGTTCACTTTCACTATCATCAATGATAACACCATAGGCCCCCTTTTTAAGCAAATCCTCAATCTCCTTTCGATTCAATTCGTTTTTGGATATACTGGCCGGTGACGATTCATCTTCAGGGGATTCATTCTGACTTACATTGTGTTGATTCATACGTTGCATCACAGCTTTATCAAGACCTAATTTCATACCTGCACGATCAAACATATCTTTTTCATATGTATTTCTACATATGAGTCGATACACTTTTACAGGCTTTGTTTGACCAATACGATGGCAACGTGCTTGTGCTTGTAAATCATTTTGTGGATTCCAATCGCTATCAAAGATGATACATGTATCCGCAGCCTACCCATAATTGTGTAAACATATTATTCGAAAGAAAAGAAAAGGAAAGGAAAGGAAAGGAAAAAAGGAAAGGAAAAAAGGAAAAAAAAAAAAAAAAAAAAAAACTTACAGTCAAATTAATACCAACACCACCTGCTCTTGTACATAATAAAAAGACAAAGGATTGATTGATAGGTAATGTAGAGAAACGATCAATAGCAGCTTGTCTTTGTTCACCAGGGACACTTCCATCAATACGTTCATGAGGATACTGTCGACCATGAAGATAATCAGACAAAATATCTAAGCAGCTATATATATATGTAAAACATGAATACTACATATAAATAATATATATACATATATACATATATATATATATACCTCGTGAATTGAGAAAATATCAAGACTTTATGGTTTCCTTCGAATAATTTTCGTAAAAGTTTGTCAATTAAAACCAATTTACCAGAAGATTCAATTAAGCATTTAAATTGATCTTGAATTGTTTTTGCCCTATTTTCAGAAACAATCATTTCTTCCGCTCCTTCTAATAGATAAGGATGAATACAGCACTTTCTAAGCTGGATCATGATATTACGAAGATGTGGCATTTCTCTGTTAGCTATAAACAAATAGTAAAAAAAAAAAAGGGTAAATAAAGAACTATATACATGTACACACACACACGTATATATATATATATATATGTATATAAATATATGAATATGTATTAATATTTACTTTTTCCTCCTTTTTTTAAAAAATTGAAATTCTTTTCTAGAATAGCTCGATACCATTTCTTTTGAGGATTCGTTAATTCAACTTCAATCACTGTTTCTTCTTTTACAGGAATACTTTTTTCAACATCTTCTTTAAATCGACGCAACATAATAGGTTTCAATAATGCTTGAAGCTTTTCTACTTCAGCTGCAGTTTGTAAATTGCCATATTCTGCAAAGAAGGCCCTCTCATTGTTGAATACTTCAGGTTGCATAAAATTTAGAAGACTATAAAGCTCATCCAATTTATTTTGTAAAGGTGTACCAGTTAATAATAATTTATGATCGATTGAAAATGATTTAAGTACTTCACCCACTTTAGATTGCTATTATAGATAAAACACAAGATATGTATGTGTATATGTGTGTGTATGCGTATGCGTATGTTTATTATTATATTTACCTTGTTTTTCAATCGATGCGCTTCATCAAATACGGCACATTTCCAAGAAATATCTTTTATATGATGAGTGCCTGCTAGGGCCATTTCATATGTAGTAATCAAGACATCAAACTTATACCGATTAGGTATAGTTCGACTTTGTATATCCTTGTAATAAAATTCAGTTTCTGCAATCAAATTACGAGACAAGATACTACCACGATAATCAATGACATTTAAATTTGTCCAAGCTTTAAAGGCCCTCTCCCAGTGAGGAATAGTTGAGAGTGGAGCTACAATCAAGAAGGGACCTTTGATATTGATTCGATAGTAAATATCATTTAAAAAGGCCACAGATTGAACTGTTTTACCAAGTCCCATTTCATCCGCCAATATACACGAACGATGATGATAATAACAAAATCGTAGCCAATTCAAGCCTTCTAGTTGATAAGAACGCAATTCATTATCAAACTTATATTTTTGACTTTGATTGTATTTGACAAATTGTGTATAATTAGGTCGCTTAGGTGGATCAGGTAGTTTCTCTTGGGGAATAGTACGATTACGTTGGAATTCAATAATTTTAGTTGAATCCATCTCCTTCACATCTTCTTCACTTTCCCAAGTACTTGCATCATAGAACAATCCATTCCATTTAACCAAGTAATAAAGAATAGTTTTACCCGTTAAAGGATCCATTAAATCACCTTCATCAATGATACGATCTATTTTTAAATATTCAGAATAATCTTCTCCTCGTTGTCCATCTTGATTCCATTTTGTCAAAAATTTTTTAATACGATGTTTTCCTAAATGTTCTGCTTCTACTCTCTCTTTTGACAACCATTCCAAATGGTGATAACTAGAAAACTAAATATGTATATATATATATATATATATACTTTATTATATATACAATATATTCATATATAAAGTTGTGTATGTTTTACCTTGAATTTTACTAAAAATTCTGGTTGATTTGTATTTGCATTTAACCGATAATCTAACATTTTTTCAAATAGCTTTGTTGCCATTGGAATCATTACAACAGGTGCTTCAGTTTTAGCAGAAGATGATTTATTCCGAGCAGATGTAGATCGATGTGCCTTAAAGTCATCATCATCATCATCATCATCGTATTCCTCTTCATCCTCGTCTGCCATGTCCTCATCAGAAAATCCTTGATATGTTATTTTTCTTTTCAACTTGTTTTTTCTATTACTAGATCTTTGATTTGTTACAAGCGGTTGCTGTTGTTGCTGCTGCTGCTGATGCTGCTCAAATATAATTTTCTGTTGATCTGGTAGTAATGATGGTTGATATTGAGTATGCATTTGGCTTCCTACTACTCTTTGCAACTGATAATTAGACAAATGAGGATGATTGGTCTCATTAATTGAAATGCCGCCATAAGTGCCCTGAAGAGAGGATGACTGCTGTTGTTGAAATCCAAACGATGATTCTTCTTGTTGTTGATGATGAAAGCTGATCAAATTATTAGCAAAACCCTGTTGTTGTGATTGATTAAAAATAAAGTGTGTAGGGTATTGAGGACTGTCATCAAAGAATGAAGTATTAAAGTCCATATTGATATTATTTGTTTGTTGTTGGGGAATATTAACAAATAGGTGATTATTATTATTATTATTAAATCCACTATTATCACCTGCTGTCACAATAACAGGATTTGTTGCAGCATCTAAATAGTCCGAAAATAGGTCATCTTGACCAAGTTGAATAGAGGGATAAAATGATCCTTGAGATATTGGTAGACTTGTTGGTCCATTAACGACCCCTCGTTGTGAATGACTTTGTTGATGAGTCATTACACTAATGTAAGAGGGAAAAAAAAAAGTAATTAATTATAAATGGCCTTCAATTCTCTTTCTTTCTTCTCCATCCTCCCCCCCCTTTATGTGTATATGTAATGCTTACGAATTAAGTTAAGGAAAAAGAAAAAAATAGATATTTGTTCCTCTCTACAAAACTATTATTATTATTACTATTATTATTATTATTTTGAGGAATTTACTTTGTTGAAATGTCTTTAATTGTAAATGTTTTTCTTCTTTTTTTTTATATATAAAATGAAGAAAGGGAAAACAAACAAAAAAAAAAGAGAAGAATGAAAATTATTTATTATTTATCTGAACAGTCCGCTTTAACATTATTAAAAGTAAAGTGTAAACCAATCAAACATAACTACTCCAAACAATTTATTATACATGACAGCGCATATTTAATTATAATTTGCCATGAAAAAAAAGGAGGAAAAGAGAGAGAGAGAGAGAGAGGTGAGATTTGAATAATAAAAAAAAAAAGAAGGGAATAAAATTTGTATGAATATGTGTTATGTGTGAGAGTTTTACTTCTTAAGCTTCAAGGTCATTGAATTTGGCTTCAATTTCCTTATGAAGTGCAGAATACTTTTCAACAAGTGTATTTTCACCTTCAGCAGGATCTTCAAATTTCATGGAAGATAATTTATAAAGAATATCACCCATAAATTCACGAATCTTGGACCAAGTAATTTGGTTGTTGGAAGATTCAACAGCGTGAATGGCATGGTCATAAAAACCAATCATGTTACGTAACATCCATGTCGTCTTATAGAAAGGACAATAGCGATCATAATTACTATAACCATTTTGTTGAAGGAAATCATCCTTAATGATTTGAGCGATTTCCAAAGTAATTTTATCAGTTTCATTCAAACCCGATTTACCAACAAGTTGAACAATTTCAGAAAGGTTTTCTTCCATTTGAAGGATTTCCTTACATTTATCACGCAAGTGAATATATTCGGGATCATTCTTTTCATAATAAGGTTCAAGTACCTTCATATACTTGGAATAAGACAAGTTCCAGTTAACAGAGGGGAAATGCTTACGTTGAGCGAGCTTCTTATCAAGACCCCAAAAGACTTGAACAATACCGAGTGTGGAAGCAGTGACAGGATCAGAGAAATCACCACCAGGAGGGGATACAGCGCCTACAATCGTGACACTACCTTCACGACTAGGATTACCAAGACAAGTGGCACGACCAGCACGTTCATAGAAAGAAGCAAGACGTGCACCGAGATAAGCAGGATAACCAGAATCAGCAGGCATTTCAGCAAGACGACCTGAGATTTCACGAAGGGCTTCAGCCCAACGAGAAGTAGAATCAGCCATCATAGCGACATTTTTACCCATATCACGGAAATATTCAGAAAGTGTAATACCAGTATAAATAGATGCTTCACGAGCGGCAACTGGCATATTGGAAGTATTAGCAACCAAAGTAGTACGTTTCATAATAGATTCTTTACGACCTTCATGCTCAATTGAAAGTTCAGGGAAATCCATTAAAACTTCAGCCATTTCATTACCACGTTCACCACCTAAAAATAAATAATTCTTTGATACCATGTACATATACATCTATCATTATTTTATACTTACAACCAACATAGATAATAATATCAGAGTTAGAGTACTTGGAAAGAGATTGAGAAATGACAGTTTTACCACAACCAAAGGCACCAGGAATAGCCGTAGTACCACCTTGGACACAAGGGAAAAGGGAATCTAAAACACGTTGACCTGTCAACAAAGGATGATTAGCAGATAACTTTTCTGCAACAGGACGAGGTGAACGTACAGGCCAGAGTTGTCTCATCGTATGCTTGGTCTTTTCACCTTCGAATTCAGTCTCAAGAACAACATCTTCAAGTGTATATTGACCCTTAGGGGCAATATACGTAATTGTACCACGACTCTTGGGTGGCAACATGATATTATGTACAGTAACAAGAGAATTTTCATACACTTTACCATAAATGTCACCACCAGTAATATGATCTCCTACCTAAAGAAACTATTAAATATCTATCGATGAATCTTGCTTTTCCTTTGTTATACCTGGAAATTAAGAGGTTCGAAATCCCAACCAAAAGATTTATCCAAAGCAGGAGTAGCAATACCTCGAGGAATATAAATACTTTGAGAAGCTTCTTGAATAACCTATTCACAAAATAAAAATAAACGAAATTTAATACTCTCCTCATTATATTCTATTTTATGTAGCTTTGCAATTTACCCTAAGCGGTCGCTGAATACCATCATAAATATTTGACATAAGACCTAACAAATAATAATAAATATAGATACAACAAATATTACACTATACAATGTATTATTTTACCAGGACCAAGCTCAACAGATAAAGGTTTACCAGATCGTAAAACTGGATCACCCACAGTTAAACCACCTTTTATATTTCAAGTCAGTAAGAGAGAACAGGAAAAAAAAATGGTATAAAATAATTTATATATTACCAGTTTCTTCATAAACTTGAATAGTTGCCTTATCTCCATCAATACGAATGACTTCACCTACAAGTTCAGAATGACCAACACGTACCTATTATAAACGTCAAGTAAGGGGGAGATTTTTTCTTAATTTATTGTTTCAGGTTTTTTTTTTTTTCTACACAAGAACAAAACTTACTAATTCATACATGGCAGAACCACGCATGTTATCAGCAACAACAACTATAGATAAAAGAAAGTTAAAATATTATGTTTATCATTAAAGAGCAAAAGGAAAAAAAAAAGTTTTTTTTTTTTTAAATAAAGACAAAAGCATATTATATGTTTTCTTCTCACCTGAACCAGAAACAGAATAGATGGTACCGAAATCAGACTCGCGTTCATGGTCTCTAATTTTGGGTAAATCTCTTTGTGCGTTTTCAAGTGCTCCTGCCTAAAACAATATTTTGTTAGAAACAATAAAAAAATGATAATACAAAAAAAAAAAAAGAGGTATTTAGTTGATTCTATAAACTAATATATAAATTGACTCACCATTTTATTTTAAAACTAATGAAAAAAAAAAAACAAAGCAGATTAATAAAAATAAAAAAGGACAAGAAAAAGCATTTTGTCAGATAATTTACCTTTAACAAAATAACTGGAATTAAGGAAAAAAAAAGAAGAAAAAAAAAGTCGAGATGGTATAAAAAAAAAATAAAATATTGTGTGTCAAGGGGAAAACTTATCTTTTTTTTTTTTTTTCTGAAGTCGTTTATGTGTATCTATTTCTGCAGAGCGGCTTTAGTGAATTGCCAATGATCATTAATTTAAAAGCCGCACAATGCGTCACAGCTGGGCAATCATGTTTTCTCTAGTGAATATAGTATCTCGGACGATGTTAGACGAATCAAAATTAATTTTCAAACGTTCAGCTTACCTTTTTTGGGTGAAGAAGAAACGAACGTTATTTGCTTCTACAAAATACTTGATGACGACCACGGACACTAATTAAGTCTTTTGAATTTTTGAAAATGTTCTTTGAAGCAAGACATTTCGTTACATGGATGGCAAGTTTGTATTTTCAAAATTATTAGATTCGACATTTTATACCTTTGACGTTCGAAATTGGTCAACATAAACAAGTAAGAGATCACCAGATCTCTGTTTGTATTTAAGCTGTCGTCTAAAATACTTTAGTATCATCTGTTTGCAGACCGTAGAATTTGTTTGAGTCTTTGTCAAATATTTTGTTCCCAAAAGATATTATAGATAGCCCATATTGATGATAATGGAATTTTTCTGGCTTCCAGTATTTATCGACTCTTCTAAATAAACAGCGGATGAGTATGGTAATCAACCTAATGTTATACTACCACTAACCTTTATATCTTTTGGAGTTGCTTGTCTTTCGTCTTTAGCTTCTTGTACTTTCTTTTTCTTCTTTTCCTTTCTGTTCTTCGTGTTGTTTTCCCTTGACTTCATTCTATTTTCTACCACCATTGATCAAAATGTTTACCATTTATTGTCTAGCTCTTTGTCTACCTTAGTATAGGTGAGAATGACTCTCTGCCGTTGAGGAACTATTGAGCTCTAATATTGCTTTGAAGATGCCTTAATAGATAACTGACATACTGAAGATATGTCGAGAGATTAAGAGTCTTTGCCCCGTCGGCATATTTAATAGAATTGTGTTCATTTCTTCAGCGATCATTCTTTCCTTCTCTCATTTAATGATTTCCCAACAGCACTTGTATTTCTTCTTGTTTAGTTAACTTGTGGTTTAGACATTCTTTTGATCCTGTGCTTTTCTGACCGTCTTAGCTGCCATTTTGAACATGCAGTCCTACTCTCTACTTGTCGAACCACATCATTACGTTGTCTTCTCATCAAATTTGTGCCTTTTTTGGCTCAATCCTTTCATAATCTGCTGTACTTCTTTTATGCTTTGTACTAACTATATTATATACACGATTACTAGATATTGCTTTTATATCTTCTCTATCTCATGTATCTAAACGAATAGATATTTACCATGTGACAACATCGATGCAAAATAGTTGCATTGACTACTTCTTTTTGTGTGATACCCAGGTTTGCTGCAGTCCTTGCATATGACTTTAGCTAAACAAGATGATATAAAACTTATTAAATCTTGTAAGTATACACTATATAATATTGTCTATAACTTTTTACCTTGTTCTTCTTCTATCTCTTCTCTTCAATTCGAAACTCTTTTTTTTTTTTTTTTTTTTTTTTTTAGAATTTCATGAATTCTTTCTTTAAACATTTATTTTATAAATATATATTGCTAAAAGAAAAAAAAAAAAAAAAAAAAAAAAAAAAAAAAAAAAAAAAGACAAAAGAAATAGTGATATGAAGATGTATAATGCTTGATCACATAGGATGAAATTGATAAAAACTGACAATATGTTGTGATTGATGGTTTTTTCTTAGCATGTAATTAAAGAGAAGATGTATGAGAGTATACTTATATAAGATGCTGAATGGTCGATATCATATGTGTATATATATATAATAACGTCATGAATTATTTTCTTACCACTGCTTCCATATATGTACACAAAGAATCCAAGTATTCACAAACAGGTAATATAGTCGGTATACCCTAGCTTGAGATTAAAGAATTTTAGATGCTAAAGGCTGTAGGCTTTCATTTAATGAAATAATACTATATAATTGTTCTTTTATCTTAACATCAAACTCTCAACGGCGCATGTATATAAATATATATACATATATTCTTCACTGATAGATTATCTTATAAACACACACACACACACACATACACATACTTCCGTATACAAAAGTGCTGACGAGTTCATAATTGTTGCACGATCAATCGAATTGAACCCAGAAGAGATTCTCGAGTCATTGGCGCTTTATCTGAGCAAACACGATAAATGTCTCGCAGATTATCAGACCAGTTTTCATGTAATTCATTTTCAATACACATAGAATATATTATTTTGCAGTAATGTAGATATTTCTTGGCCTTTCTTTTAGAGACATAAAAAATACTCTGATGATAGTCATATCTCATTCACTCTTTTGTCTGTTTCACGTGAAATATTACAGAGACATTTTAACATACACACTCTTGCTATTTAAGAATGAAAAAGTGACAAGTCAATAACTAAGTATATCATTGCAAATTTTGGAAGCAGTTCACCATTTATATAAACCCAAATTCGGACGTAGTACATTTATCTAGAATATAATCCCTCCCCCGTGGGGGGGGGCAAGCTCAATAAATTGGTTTAAAGTAGCATGAGTTTTTGAGTAGAAGAAAAGTATATGTACTATGTAATGAGCTTATTATGAAACCACAAAACTTCTTGGCAATAGTAGTGATCATACTAATGTAATATTTCAACCTGGGCGCATACAAACCCCTTTCTTCATCCATCAACAACTAACAGTCGAAAGTAAAAGACAGCAGCATTCAAACTTCATAAAAAAAATGCTACCTAATAATAGCTTCTAGTGTACAAACATACGTGCCTTTAAATGGATAAGCTGAATATCTAACCACCACAACAGTGGGCAAGAGTCCTTTATTATATTTCAGGTTAAAAAGTCTGAACATTAACCACTCATTTGTCTGAAACTAATGTTTTTTTTTCCAAAAAAAGGTAAGCTGAACATCTGGTTCTATCGCTGGCCAGTTATGTGTACCATTCTACAGGAAATAGATTATTTAATGCACGATAAACTACCCCCTCCACTTCTTGATCCAGGCAGAAAATTACTCAACTGGTTGTCTCTTTAAACTTGTTAGCAATATTCCCCTTTCTTTCTCACTTTCTCTTCTTCCTTTCCTTTACCTTTTTACCTCTTGTCCCATAAGAGGGTTTTTAGATACTTTTTTCACATAATTTGAACTGACCTGGGCAATCCAATATAATAAAGATATTATGTGCCCATAGGTCGCTTTTTAAATTTTAATTTATAAAAATAATAAAAAAAAAAAAATGTTTAAACGTAAGCTGAACATCTGAAAATTAATTTTGATTCGTCCAAAGAAACATCTTCCGATACTACGCATCAGGATTTAACAGTCCCAAATCTGTATTTTAAAACTGTCAAAGGAGCAGCAACAAACAGTGATATGAATGCACTCTTAGGTCTTTGTATTGTTGGAGGAAGAAATTGTTTAAATTATGAATAGAATATTCAACTCAATGGTTCTTTTATCATTATATGATACACCATGATCTATTTGTAATGATTTTATTTAAGCCAGTATGTGTTCACTTATGTAATTAGTCAAGAGGACATGATAAGAAAAAGACAATTATAATAGGCATGTAAATCATTTCTATTGAAAATCAAATGTTTCTCCTTCTTTCTTTACTGTAATGACTATAAGGCATTCATTGCTAAAGTCGCTGAGTTTAATACATTTGATATATTGAAATGGCGGAACCTTTTTGAAATAAGAGTGTAGACTTGGATGTGATCATTTTTTAGAAGATATAAAATAATATATAACTAAGTGAAATATTTTATAATTTATTGATTCACAACAGGAGGTTAAATATAGTTCATAATTGTCATTGTTTTCAATTATTTTCAATTGTTTATTATTTACTAATAAGAAAAATATATATTAAAATTATGTAAGTCACGTGAGTTTTGTTGCTCTGTTGTATTTATATGAATTCAACCAATTATTATTACTTCAAATTTCAAATTTCATTTTCTTTTTTTTTTTCATTTTCTATATTTGTTATAGTAAAGATACAGATCTCTCTCTCTTTTTTTTTTTTTTTTTAAATAATCATTGCAAATGTCTTCGGCTGCAAATATTCTTCAAAAACAATTAAAAGGTTTAAACTAATTGAACATTTATTCATTACTAATAATAAAAAAAAAAGTAAGCTTACTTACTTGTTAAATAGAATTAACAAAGAATCCAGTTCCGGGTTTTGTAGTCGACCTTAAAGACGATAATATCTTTGAATGGTAAAAAATAAAATAAAATAAAATAAGATATAGCATTAATTAATGCCAACTTTTTTCTTTTTCTATTATGAAAGGGATGTTGCACTTATTGGGTCACCTAAAACAATGTATGAAGGTGGTTATTTTAAGGTACTATCAAATTTAATATGTATAAAAATATTCCTTGTTTATTTTTGGCCCTTTTATATGTATATAATAGGCAACTATGACGTTCCCTGATGATTATCCATTCAATCCACCTACATTTAAATTTAATAACGAATTTTATCATCCTAACGGTAAGGTTTTATATAGAAATAAATTTCATATTAAAAAGAAAAGAAACTTATTTTGTTTTGGCTTAGTTTATCCTGATGGAAGACTTTGTATTTCAATTCTTCATCCACCTGGAGAAGATCCTATTAGTGGTGAAAAGGCAGAGGTAACATTCTTTTATACATAAATATATAATTATCTTTTTGTTTGTATTTATTTAATATATATGTATATATATTTATATATTTTTTTATGTGTATAGGAACGTTGGAATCCTACACAGGTAAATGAAATATAGGAGAGAAGAAAGGATTGTGAATTCCTTAATGACTTTTTTTTTTTTTTTGCTGTGTTTTTTCTTTTCTTTTTTTTAGTCTGTAGAAAGTAAGTTTTGAAAAACCAAAAACAAAGGCTATTTTTTTTATTGTTAAAATTTATGCAAAAATGTAATAGGTGTACTGGTATCCATTATTTCTTTACTTGCGGACCCTAATTGTTCAAGTCCTGCAAATGTAGATGCTGGAGTAAGTAAATTGTGGATTGTTTAACAATAAGAATGATTACTGATGGTTTTTTTTTTATAATAGGTTGCTTATAGAAAGAATCGCGAACAATTTAATGCTATTGTGCGAAGTAAGTAAATGTTTTGTGTCATTTTTTATTTTATTTTACAAACATTTTATATTAGAACAAGTGGAGGCATCAAAAAAGGATATTCCTCCTGGATTTAAAATGCCTAAATCAGAACAAGACTTTATGCCAGCAGCTCCACCAGAAATAGAAGAAGATGATAACTTGTAAGTCTTTTATATATGTAAAGAGGGATATGTAAATATAATAATTAACTGTATGAACCTTAGTTGGTATGAGTCTGGCGATGACAGTGATTTTGGTGTAGATGATGATGATTATGATGATGAAGATGAGGACTGATCCTAAATACATATACATATATATTTTTTTGAGACATTATATAGAAAGATATATATATTTATTTTAATAAATTTTTTTCCCTTTACATAATATTGTTAGTTATTTACAAAGAAATAGGTTCACAGCAATAGGATTGGTTTTTTTGATTTGGATTCTTACTATATACATATATGTATATATATATTGTTTGTTTCAAGTAATTGGCAGAGGATAAGAAAGAATACATAATGTAAGTTACTAGAATCGTTTTATTATGCTTTGTTTGGCGATTGGATGCATGAGTGTTATTGTCCTAACTTGTTTGAAATTTTCAAGTATGTACAATAAGATTTGGATGAAGAAAAGATATAATATATTTACAACGTTTCTGAAATTGCAATTTCTGACTTTATTGAGAACGAGGATGAAGCATGTCAGAGAAATAAAAGAATTAGAGATAAGCTGAAAGTTTCTTTCAGAAGCTCTAAGGATAATAACAAAAAATAAATAGACTTCTTGTATTATGAGTTGCTTATGTAAAATATGTTTCATAAATAGGTGTAACGTTACATAAGCCTATTTGACATAACCAAAAGGTACGATGAATAGTGTCGCTAATTAAAAAGCATTTTTTTTTTCAGCAGTTGTCGCTTTTAGGAAAAGTGTATTGTCGCATCAGATTAGCTTAACTTGTCGTACCGTCTTCCTCTTCCTAAGCTCTTTTTTTTTGGTTTGAGTTATGGAAAGATCTTTTTTTTTATTACAAAGATGGGCGCGATAACCTGTACAACGAGAAGGGTACGAAAGTTTATGATCCAATGGAGGGGTGGGGTAGGTGTTCTAACTGAGATAACCCAATTCAAATGTGGTTCTTGAAAGATTAATCCGATTAAAGCACTTGGAGAAGAAAAAAATTAAAACCGCCTGAGAAGATTGCTGTAGAAAAGATAGCTAAAGCAATGCTAATTAAGCCAGCAAAGAAAGAATATGGAAAGTACAGTGACAGGCAACGAGAGTACTTTATTGACAGACAGAATGATTGAAAGCGCTCATGAAAGAGGTCTAGCTTACCCGGCTCGCAAGAGGACTGGGGATCGAACCGTATGTGGCTCAAAGATGATGGAAAATGTACAGAGAAACGGAAGAAGTGCCTTACAAAAAAAAAAGTCTTCTATAAGTTCTGGTCCTTCGTCTTCTTTCACCGACGATCACAATGACTTTTTGAGGAATCTAGTGGATGATGACCCCTCCCCTCCCCAGCTTGCTGTCAGTCATATAGTGGGGAGATTGGTTGAACATTTCGAAAACCTTTGTTGTATGTTTTAAGGATATTAAAAAGACAAAGTAAATGGTAAGGCGCAGGTACTTTTTTGAACGCAATAAGATGAAGAAAGAGAAACAGGGAAAGACAAATCTGTATAGTTTTATTAAGTGGAATAATATAAAAATTGTACAAAGAAAAATGATATGGAAAAATGACAAGAGCTATTTATATGTTTTTTTTTTTAAATAGAAAAGTAGGGAAAAAAAAGTCAACACTAACCAGTTTCATCGAAACACCTCTCTATCGAAAGCAGAAGCAAAAGAAACTTAAATAGGATATTGCTTTCAGATCGCAGATGTAGAAAGCCAAAATGAAAGAGGTAAAACAAGTCAGATAATAAGGGGTCCTAACCTGCAGATTGCTCTGACTCTTTATGATATCCATCATCAAAAAGATGACATGAAAAGTGGCGACTATCCTGTTTGAGAGGATTTTGAAGATTAGGAAATAAAAAACATTAAAGTTATTAGCTAAAGTAATCTTTTTATGGTAGCCAAATAAGAAAAAAAATCCGTGAAAAAGGAGCAAAACAATGAGAGTTTATGGGATATTTCTATCAAGATATTAGATAATAATAAAATCAACGAGAATAAATAATAGTTATAATATTGAATGACAGCTGTCTACTATATAAGTGCATTTGAAATTAGAGAAGAATTAGAAGAGTATTTATTATGGCCAAATAATCTTTTGCATAGTTAATAATGTGTAGAATGTTCTTGAATTCATAAATCATGATGAAGAGATATATAATCAAGTTGAAAATTCCCTATCTGTAGATTATTTATCTAGATACTTTTCTAATGTGGGAGAGGGGAGGTAAATAAAGAGCAATTTTACTTTGATTACCTTGTTTTGGTAGTTATAAAAAAAATTATATGATGCCAGATTGTGGCATGAGAAACTCTTTATAAAATGTTTACGGCAGTTTGCGAACGGCAGCCGCCTAATTCTATTATGTTTTCTTTTAAAGATTTTTAAATACTTGTTATAGCTGAGGTGTATAATTTTAAGGAACTCTATTATAAAGAATAATGTAAATCTCACAGCTTAAACTGCTTGTCCTATTGGCTAAAGTACCAAGAAACCTCAGCAACATCAAGACAATTGAGTATGTACCACTAAAGAGAGACTTAAGGGCAATTTTGTTTGTGACTAAAAGCGGCAGGGCGAATATACTAAAGCAATTGCTAGATTTAACCATAATTTGAAAAAATAAAAAAATAAATAAAGAAGCCAGTCTTCTCTTCACTCGAAACCTTCTCAAAATTCCATCTAATATTATGGCATTTTTTTTTACCACTACGTTTATAGCTTTTTCTACAGTAGATATTGATCCCTGTCTCATCATTCTAAATGATATCACTTATTTTTTAAAGCATACGTCTAAACAGTAGGCACCAAGCGATGATTATATCAAAATCGAGAATAATTGCTCTAGTCCTATTATTCAAGCTTTAACGTTGTTGGCACTAGCTGTATACATTATTATCTTGGACAATAACTCAAGTTATATCACTCATTCATAAAAAAAAGGTTCTACTTTGGATCCGGTCAACTTTCGTCTGATTAGTTTTACCTTTGTTTCTTGGGAAAACACACACACACACACATTTTGTAAAATGCATCTACTAATAATCTCTGGTACTCTAAACACTGCCCAAAGAAGTTTTCTTTTTATGAATCCCATAGTTTATTAGACCAAACACTATAGTTAACAAGAATATGTACCATTTTCCGTTGATATCATCATTTTTATGCGAATTCTAGCTTTTCTTAATATTAAACATGTCTATAAACAACGTAGACCGTACTTTTTCTTTTTCTTTTTTTTTTAAAAAAATAATAACTTATTGTATACTTTCCTTGGGGAGGAGGGGTTCTCCAATATCATTTTCAATAATGTTCATATTGAAGTAGTAATGGTTAAATAACACCACTTCTTTACCGTTTTTTCCTCGCCAGTTATAGAAAATTCTTTTGCCATTTTTTTTATTCCATAAATGTATATAAATGAATGATCATCCTTGTTAAGGCCAATATCAATTGATATTCAAGAAATTAAACAATACCATGTCGATAAATTTATACATATTTTTATTATTATTATATATGAATAGCAGCGTCCGCCCGCAATAATGACATCTCTTCGATAACTCTTCAAAGACTGTAATTGATATCAAGTAGTATTGATGGAACCCTACCAAGCGCGTTGTTACTACTCCTGGGTGCTCCCTTCATCCATAATAATAACTTTACCCTCCCCTCCCCTCATGGTTATTTTCATCATAAACTAGCTTGCTCACTCGTACTCTTTCTGATTTTCATCTTGGTTATTAATTAAAGTTTGATTACTCTTTTCTTTTTTTTTTTTTTTTTTTTCTGAACTGGCTAAAACAATGTAGCAAATCTGAATTGATCATGTGCTATCTACTGACCATTTTTTATAAATGTATATATTTTTATTTATTAATTATAACATGAAACCTGTTATATTTTAATTTCCAATTACTATTACAAACTACCCCGAATATTAATAATAACAGGGTCTCTCCAATTTCCAAAATGGAACAAACGAAAAAAACAAAAAAAAAAAAAAAAAAAAAAAAAGTTTCATAATTACATACAAAAAAAAAAGTTTATTATTGACATAAACCACAAAACAATTTCTTCCAAAAACCACTTGATGACTCTTTTGAACTAAATCTTTGTTCTTGATAATCTTGTGTTTGTTGTGTTTGCTGCTGTTGTTGTTGTTGTTGTTGCTGTTGCTGTTGTTGTCGTTGCTTGGATACGTCTTGTTGCTGTCGTGTATTATAATTATTATTATTATTATTGTTATTATTATTATTATTACTACTATTATTATTATTATTATTATTATTATTATTATTGTCAATAATTCTTTTGTTTGTTGTATGCTGTTGACGTATATTTCGTTTAGATACTGTTTGCCATCCTTTTCCACTATTCAATAACATCCAATCATATACTCCATCATCTTGTTCACCTGATTTTTCAATCACTTTAGAAAATAGTCCACGTAAAAAGTCATAGTCGGGAGTTTCTTCAAATCCTAATTTACGTACATACTGAAGATAGATACCAAATTCCTCTGCAGAAAAAAAAAATTAGTTTTGCATTTATTTGAATTTAAAATTTTATTTTACCTGGATATCCATCACATAAATCTTTAATGGCAGTTGTTTGTTTCTTCTCTCCAATCTTTTCATATTTTTGTTTATTTGTAGCTGCTTTAAGCCCTTGCCATGGTAAAGAGCCTCTTAAGAAATACATGAAAACATGACCTAGTGATTCCAAATCATCACGTCTAGATTGTTCTAAATAAATATGAATATTATATATTATAAATAAATAAATATAAATATATGTGTATAAATATAAATATATATGTGTATATAAATGTATATATATATATATAAATATATATATATATATATATATTTATATAAATGTATATACCTCTGCCTAAATGGGTATTTATACTCATGTATCTAGCAGTTCCAGATAAACTCTTTCTTTCACGGTAGGGAATATGTTGCTTTGTTTTTGGATCTCTATATAGTTTTGCCATACCAAAATCTACAATAAATATTTGATTTTCTGTTTCTGTTCCAGGTTTACCAATTAAAAAATTATCAGGTTTAATGTCTCTATAGATTAAATTTTTTTCATGAATCGTTTGAACTCTAGTAAGCTACATTTAAAAGAAAAAGAAAAAAAAATTATCAAGTCATTCAAGTATTCTATATACGTTATAATTTTTACCATTTGTTTAGCAAGCATAGCTGTTGTCTTTATACTAAATCGTCTTCCACATGTATCAAACATATCCTCTAAGCTGGGTCCTAATAAATCAATCACTAATATATTGTGTAATCCTTCTTGTCCAAAATAATAAGCAGTTGGAATACCCGCTATTATTATTATTATTATTATTATTGACTGTTATCTAAATGGCTTCTTTTTTTTTAAAAAAAAATCTATGACTTACTAGATCCTGCCATAATTTTATAAGTTCGATACTCATCTCTTAATTGAGGTGCATCACTCTTTCTAGGTTCAAACTTGATAGCAACGGGTTGATTATTAAGTAAATTAATGCCTATTCAAATATGTGTAATTATTATTATTATCATTCTTATATAATTCGTCTTTGTCATTACCTTCATAAATAATACCAAAACTTCCTTCGCCAATTTTCTTTCCTACTTTATAATGAACACCAACAACATTATGTGAATTGCCTGGACTAGCAGCTGCTGCAGACGAAGTAGGCATTCTTTTTTTATATTTGTATTAGTTTCTTTATTTTATTAGATGAAGAAAAAAAAAGTTAAAAAAAAGAAGGAAAGAAAGAAAGAAAGAAAGAAAGAAAAAAGAAAAGAAGAAAAAAAAAATAATAATAATATGAGAAAGACAAAAAAAGAAAGAATAAATAAATAAAAAAAATAAAAAGCCAAATTAAAAATGAAAGATCGCTTTCCTAAAAAGGAAGTTGTTCGAGTTTTATTGTTGGATACAGTTTGTGTTAGACAAATAAGCACGATTCATAGTTTATTATTACACTCTTTGTCACAAGAAAGTGTCGTATATACACATATTATTTTGGAAAAGAATGTCGTCGTGTACTTCAAGAAAATAGTGTTGTGCTTTTTCAAAAAAAAAAAAAAAAAAAAATACTGCATATACTAAATTTTGCAATGCATTTTTTTTTTCTTCTATTAATTATGTGCGGGAATTGAGCACAAGTGATTTATTCATTAAAATTCGCCATGTGTATAAAGTGTAAAAAAAAAAATTATTTATTTTATTTTTTGAAGCAAAGAAGTGAAAAAGGAAAAAAGTAAAGGAAAGTACTTGAGTCATCTTAAATGTGTTTGTAGCCTTTGCATGAAAGGCGAAACCAAAAATAATATCGACTACAGTGTTTATGACTCGATTAGTCATATTATGATTGAGTTATAACGCTTGCTGTAAAAAAGTATTCACTAAATTCTCTAACATGCTAATCTAGATAATGAGTTGGGAAGTTGTTAAGGTAACATATTTCAGAATATATGAAACAGGATCAAAAAAATGATGATTGGTGGGATCATTGTAAATAAGAATAGGACCTAAGGCATTGTATGATGTGAGGATATGCTATTGATATGAAGAAAACTTAGGTAGTCATCCTAAAAACACTATTATAAAAGACGACATTGTTCAATAGTGTATATGGAAAGACAGAGGATAGGATTCATGGATAGAGTTGGACAATACATAGATAATAATTTACTGTGTTTAAGATTCAAAATCTATATTCCAGCAAGCAACGACTAGAGAAAGGTCCATGTATTTGCGTCCCATCATAAATAAGAATTAAAAAAAAAATACATCTTGGAGCATAAAATCTGACCTTAAAGCTCGGGCAATAGATATTTGTACATTTGTTCAAGTGTGACTGAACCGCGGAATCCACTTGTTTCTACAATGAGGGACTGATATCACCAGTGTTACAGATACTAAGATTACCAAAAAAAAAAAAAAAAAAGAAACGACGCAGCGGTATTAGTTATGCAGTGCTGGCCAATACAACACTGGTTTCCTATGTTTCTACAAATAAAGCAACTAGTGACTCTAATGATCGTTTAGAGCTTATCAAAGAAAAATAGACAAGCTTAGAGTAGGATACCATTTATTGAGAAAGGTGAAAGAAGAGCAAGTGCACAAAAGAATTATGATTTCAACTGAAACAAAATGAACTATTTGGCGTCAACAGCAAAGTTGCTCTTTTAAATCTAAAAGAATACCAGTAACTACAATACACGTTCTACACTTTCTGATTTCATAACATTCTTACTTTTATACAGTATTCAATCGTTAAAAAAAAAAAAAAAAAAAAAAAAAAAAAAAAAAAAAACTTCTTTAAAGCCAAGAAAAAAAAAGATACTCCCCTTCTATTTGTTCATCTATCCTTTTGACTTAGCTAACAGCTTCTAGGACCTAGACTATGATAGATACCAATATTTACAAAATTCACTCTATTTGATCCGCCTTCTGTATCAAGACTGCCAAGAAAGGAACTAACACAGATAAAGTTAAACAACATACCAATTTGAGTTTGAAAATAATAATAAATGCTTTTAAAAGGTAGTACCTCAAGTACAAGAAGCTCTTTTTTTTTTTTTTTTTGACTGTTTTTTCATTTACAGGTGAATCTTGAATGTTTGAATAATCAAGGTTATCTTGTGTTTGTATAGTTAAAAAGTATAATAGACAAAGTAATATTTATATTTTTGATCATCATTTCGTATAATTTTGTTACTTTATCTTATACTTGAAAAAAGTATTATTACTATTAATTTCTAGTTATTAGTTTGTTTACATAGCTTTCCTTTTTTATAACATACATTGTTTACAAAATAAAATAAAGATAGAGATCCTAATTTATATATGTATACATGTATATATATATATATATATAAACGGTACTAATAAGCAACCAGAATTTATTTTAAAATTATAGTATATATTCTTCAAATTAAGGCTGTTCGAGTATTCTGTGAACAATCGCTCCTTTCCCTCCAACACACAGACCAATTCATTCGATTCTTGTTATTCTGCTTCCAAGTATTGACAAATGCCACTCATGTTTTGACCTTTTGGAATTTGTAAAACAAGAAGCAAGCATTAGTTTCAAAAAGCTTTAGGAAGTTCTATTTGGGGCTGTTACTTCTGGTGGTGTGTTGCTTGATTTCTGTTGTATTGTATCATAGTTTCTTTTCAAGTGCTTAGGCTCTATTGTTTCTCTCCCTATATCTGTGTATTTTTTTTTTTTGTACTCGGCTTAGTATTGTCGTAAACGGTCGATATTATCTTCTTAAATTGACTTTTATGTTTGCTTTACTACTAGTCGTTTGCAAAGCTTCCACTTTGTCATTCTCTGCCTTTCCATAGTTTATATATATATATATTTCTCTTTTTAATCGTTTCCATCGTTATATTTTGTATGTAGTAAAACATAAAAGATTCATTACACAATATCATTACGTCAAGTATGACTTATATACTTATTAAATGTCAAAGTTGTCTCCAAATGAAACCTTTATTGAATAAGCAATCTGTCAAATATATAAAACTATCAGATTATGACTGTCGATAATGTCATGAAGAGGTCAATATCTAACACAACAACACCAAGGGAAACAAAATCTCTATAAAATTAATCTATAGCCATAACAAAAGTATAAATAACTAGATAGTCTTTTATATCTATATACATATAAATATGTGTGTATATGTGTATGTCATTTTTGTTTTTCTCTAATAAAAAATTCTCAACTTGTATCTGTGTCTTTATGAATAACCTTTGTCTCTTCTATTTGAACCTATACAACATCCATATCGACCAAGTACTACACTTTTTTTTTCAAGTACTGAAGTGAGATGGATAGAGCAGTATCTACAAAGCTTTACTGGAGAATACCCTTTCTTATATAAATAGACAAGAATAATAATATGAGTTATAAGCTGCTTTTGTAAAGTATATTAACATAGAGAGTACAAACTTATGGAGACAGATGGGTTTTTATTTATTTAGTTAATAATCGCTCCGATAGTACAAATTGTAATAAGGTCATTTATATGTAAATAAAATTATATGAGTTTCAGTTCAAGGATGATTCACTAAATAGAGCATTTAAAAAAAAAAGGTGTTGATACAGAATAACTATTTCTTTCTTCTTATGCTTGATAGACCTTTTTTTTTAGTAGTTACTCGTAGGGATACTACATTATAGTAAGTGTCACTAAAATTTGATACATACAAAAATGCATTTATATAATTGCAAGTGAAGTAATATTATTTGTAGAAAGTAAAAATACGACTTGATCTGTAAAACACAGACACACGTTAAAATATTAAGAATAATGTTGCATTGATGCTTTTCTTTTTTTTTTTTTTTAAAAAAAAAAGACAGTAAGCAATAGAATATCAATGTTTAAAAAGAAGATATAGGATATCATAAAAGTAATTAATAAGTTTGAATCTTCTTCATCTCCCCTTTTTTATGATGATGTTACTCATTTATTCATTTTATTTTATTTTATTTTATTTTATTTTATTTTATTTTATTTTTCTTTTAAATTAGTTGGTTCTAAAAGAACGAAAATGGGCGAATTAGGAACAAGCATACTGAAACAGCAAAAGAAAAGAAACAAAAAATAAAGAATAGTAGTCATAGTGCTGAAGAACAAGTTTGCACTAGCTGTCACGAGAATAGACGTAATAGCTCCAAGTCCCCCCCACTTTATGCCCCTAACCATAAGTTAATGAAGAATTAAAAAAAAAATTGCTTGAAGATTATATAACAGTATCAAGGTATACAGCGTGCTAAGCAAGAAATGGTAAATATTTTTAGTAAACAAAAGGAAAAACATAACCCTTCAAAGAAGAAAACAAAATACACAAAGAGGAAGGAGGAAGAATGATGTCTACATTTCATCTGAAAATACTGTAGTGTCACTGTGGTCCATTAATTCATTTAAAAGAAATTAAATATAATTCGGGTTAAAACTCAGAACATAAAAATCTTTGGGAGCTCTTTTAGCATTGCATTGACATTTGTTTTTTTTTTTTTACCAATCAGCACTGTTGTCATTAGATGATCCAGGTTGCGGGATTTGGAAAATGTTTCACAGCAGTAGAATTATCAGTGCAACTAGTTTAAAAACCAACGTAGTACAACAATACATGCTATTATCATTATGACCCATACTTTTTAAAAATTGTACCTGAATCAACTAAAGAAGTTTATCGCACTTCCTTTTCTCTTTTTCTTTAGATAAAAATAAAATTTATATATTCTATATTGAATAATTTATTTAAAATAATGATGATATTTATTGTAAAACTATAATTCTATTTATTTATTCGTACGCACGTGGCGAATAATAGACTTACTCTAAAAAAAAAATGGGACTTCCTATATAATTTTCTTCAGAGTAACTCTACTTTAAATACTTGCTACATGCTACACAGATTCTATGCCTATTGCCTCCTATTCTTATTAAATCATTATTCTTGAATTTTTATATAATTTAGACTGAAATGTTTTTTTTTCTTTTTTTTTTTCTTTTTTTTTTTCTTTTTTTTTTTCTTTTTTTTTTCTTTTTTTTTTTCTTTTTTTTTTTTCTTACCTTTTCATTGATCTTTACCAGTGCCTGAAAATAGTTTTTTTTTTATCGTTTCTTCTTTTTTTTTTTTAATTTCTTTGAACCAACGGTCTTGATTTTTACTCCGAAGATCGATAAGGTCTGAATTGGTCCATGAAGAAGATAAGGACAGACACACATACAAAAAAAAAAAAAAAAAAAAAACTTTTTTTTCCATGTTGCATCTCATCAGTATCGTTTCCTTCTAGTCGAAGCTTCTTCCGTTTTGCACCATCAATTCAATTATTAAGAAAGACAAAAAAATAGAGAATGCTTTATTCGTTAGGATATGAAAATAAATATAAATATTTTTTTTTTTTTTTTTATAGGCGACGAAATTTTTTTATTCCTTCCGACTGTAGTAACACCCCATCATATCCGTTTGGATTTCTTTGAGTCCATTTCCACATATCTCGACACATATCATCCATTGAATACGTTGGATGCCATCCTAACTCTTTATTTGCTAAAGAAGCATCTGCTGTACAAATGGCGACATCACCAGGCCTTCTTTCTTCTATCTAAATCCCATACCAAAAAAAAAATTTAGGTTACAACAACACCTAATATATATTATATTACCTTGTAAGGGATTTTTTTATGTGTAGCTCTTTCCATACTATGAATAATTTCTAACACAGAATATCCAACACCTGTTCCTAGATTATATGCTTTACAGCCAGGCTTTTCTTCAAGCTTCTTTAAGGCTGCTACATGACCTGTAGCGAGATCGCAAACATGTATATAATCTCTTACTCCTGTACCATCCACTGTATCATAATCATTTCCAAATACATGAACAAATGGTAAATGTCCTTGCAATACCTTTATCACATAGGGTAATAAGTTGTTAGGTACACCATGAGGATGTTCTCCAATCATACCAGATGAATGGGCTCCTACAGGATTAAAATATCTAAAAAAAAAAATAAGTCACTACTCTATCTTTTTTCTATTATTTTATAAAGCACCTCAAGAGAATTATGTTCCATTTAGGATCAGATGTATATAAATCCCTCATAATCTCTTCTGCAAACAATTTCGTCCTTCCATATGGATTCGTCACTGGTCCTAATTTAGCTGTTTCATTGACTGGCATCATCTCTGGTTCACCATACACTGTAGCACTTGAGGAGAATACTAAATTTTTTATGTCATGCCGTTTCATTACTCTTAGTAAATTTAGCGTTCCAGTTAAATTGTTGTGGTAGTACTCTAACGGAATCCTTGTTGATTCTCCCACAGCCTATAATATATGTATATACATATTAGATATCTCCTCATCTTTCCTTTTTTTTTTTTTTTTTTTTTTTTTTTGAAACTCGTCAAAATACCTTGATGGCAGCAAAATGAATGACTGCCCAAAATTTATATTCTTGAAAAATAGCTTCTAAATCTGATTCTATTGTAGCATCTCCATTAATGAAAACAATAGGTCTTCCCGCTAATTGTTCTACACGATGTAATGCCTCTAAAATAGAGAGAGAGAGAGAATGATAATAGTATTAACAACGATAATTCCTCATTATATTACTTCTTGATTACCTTTATGTGAATTAATCATATTATCCATAACTACAATATCATATCCATTATTCAGTAATTCTAAACATGTATGACTTCCAATATATCCTGCACCACCTGTAACCAAAATTCGTTTATGCGGTGGTTGCACTATTTTTTTCTTTATTGAAGCATCAGAGGAAAGTCGACGGCAAGGACTTAATGGTTGATCCCAGTGATGCCATGCATCTATTGTATGTCTTCTACAATGTATTTGTCTTTTATATCGATTATTCAATTCAAATACTTTTAATTGGTCAATAATCACTTCTGGTGTATTTGCATTACAAACTCTAGGCATCTTTATGAAAAAAAAAAAAAAGGAAGGGAAAATTATAGTTGATAGGAGTAAAATAAATTAGGTAAAAATTGCATGCTTTTTCTTTTTTTCTATTTTTTTTTAAATAAAAAAAAAAAAAAAAATTAAACAGCAGCAAATTTCAAGGAACGAATACAAACAAAAATTAAAATGTCGATCAGTAAATATTTTTTTTTTTTTTGAAACATTCATTGCTAATGTGCACTGTAATAAGCAGTCCTTGTTGTGACAGCTGAAGAAGGTGGTTGCTGTTGATAATCATGATCGTCAGAGAGATTTCCTAGTGGAGTGTTAATAGTGCTAGTATGATGGTTTGTTGACTGGATAAGATATGGATCACGAAGAATGATGGGTTCGATGAATTGTTTAGATGAAAATGCAGCACGGTAAATACGATCCATCTTATTAGAGTCTTTATTTATGAGCAATGTGTTAAACTGCGTTGGTATTAATTGAATATATTTTAAAGCAATATCAAACTTTCCCTGCATAACCATCATTTCAGAATATTTAAAATAGGTTTGATACAAGTCTTCCATCATCATCATGGGTGGCTCATTTGCACTAGATGTAAGATTATAATCTTCAAAATCAATCAACTTTCGATATATTGTAATCTTTTCAATCAAAGCTTGAAGTTCTTTATCAGTACTTGATTTAAATCGATCCAACCAGATTCTTGTAACTTGTTCAAAATTACTTGCTAAAAGATAAATGAATAAGTTACCGGGAGATTGATTCTTTTTTAAACGATGAGCAAAAATGTCACAAAGTGAGTTGAATTCTTTAGCAGGCGCATAAGTACATAAAAGAGCAAGTACCGAACGCCAATCGTCAATATCAGCTTCAAGTACAATTAAATTTAATGTGTTTGTGTCTAATGAAAAAAGATGTTTCAAGAGATGAATATAAGAGGGTGTATCATACTGTTGCTTCCTTTGAAAGTAGGCTTCTTGAGTTTGTTTAAATAACTCTTGACCTCCACACATGGCTAAAAGTAAAGCATCTGAGTATCTTCCAGTCGCAAAGCAAATATTGACAGCAGAACTAAAGTCTCCAAGGATCATTGTTTGCGTAATCAGCTCCTCTACTTTCAATTCTTTAGAGAGATGATGAAGATGATGATGATTACTTTCTTTGAAAGAATGATGTTGTTGTGATACTTGTTCAAAATGTGAAAATAAGCTTATCCTTTGTTTATTCCTTAACTGTTCCTCTACGAGCCATGGTTCTGTTTTCTTTTCTTTGTTATTATTTATCTTGTTGATCAATGATATTACTTTTTCTTTTACTTTTTCTTTGTCGAACCCAAGATATCTTAAAATTTCCTCTCTAGGATGATCTGTTAATAGCATTCTTAACATCGTCCAATCTTCTTTATCGTCGTCTAGACTGGTTTCAAGACGGTCTCTGATGAACGTCTCAATGGATTCTATACTAGTGACCGAATCGAGTTGTTCAGCACACTTGACAACCTCAGGATCTGTTGTCATAGTCTGTATCTTGACTGTGCCCTTCTTATGAAATGTCGTTATTTTTCCACCAAATCCAAAGGATGCACCGATAGGTCGACGGAACCATTTTGGAGGATGATGCTTAAATACTAAACTCGTTTCATGAATTGAAAATACATTCATCTATTTTTTGCACATTCCATATAATATATGTATTAGAGGAAATAAAATAGGTCGCATAGATTATGTTTTTTTTTTTACTTTACCAAACCATCAAGGGAACATGTAGCTATAAGATCTGGTTGTTGAGGACACCAAGTAGCCTTATTACAATCATGATAAAGTTCACCTAAAAAGTGGCCCGTATTTGGATTCCACCCCAATGTGTGACCATCCTTTGCGGTAGAAATCAAAAGATCTGAATCCTGTTGACACCAAGAAACATTTAAGATTCCTGTTGTATGATGTCCTTCTAAAGTTTTCTCAGGTGTGTGAGGTCGTCGAAGATCCCATAAAATAAGAAGAGGTTGATGATCAAGAGCCATTACGATTTGAGTAGCCTTAAGCAAATGAGTCAATAAACCTCCTGAGCTTTATATGTATATATATTGAGGAGGGGGAAGGGAGGGGGGGAGTTTTTTCTTTTTCTTACTTACAATATCAGGATGCCATGCAATAGAAGAGATAGGGCTATTTTGTTTATAAGTCAAAGTCATAATTTGTTTTTTACTACGAAGATCCCATAGAACTGTATATCCATTTGTAGAAGACGTAGCAATGATATGCTGGACTTGAGAATTCCATGCGACACTATTAATATCATTCATTTTGTCAGAGCGAGCACCGGGTGTATAAGGTTTTGAATGATTTAAATCCCAAATAAAGACCTAATCATGGTTATGATAAATAATTAGACTATATGATATTCATTGCATTTTTTTTTTTATCTATTACCTCACTGTGATTGCCGACAGAAGCCAATAGACTAGTTTGAACTTTATTAAAATCCAATGCTTTTATTGTTCCTGAATGTGCCGTCTTTCTCATAATCAATGATTCATTTTCCAAACTACATTTTTTTTTAATGCATATAATATATCAAATATTATTTTTTTTGTAAAATAATACTTACTTTTGATTATTTTTTGAAATAATACAAGAAGGGTTCCAAAGTTCTAACTCTCCTGTCTCTAAACCACCAGCAATAATTCCAAGAGGATACCTTATCTCGGAACCCCAAGTTAAACAAGAAAACCTGCAATAATATATATATATATATATATGAAGAAGTGTGTGTGTTTTTCAGTTTGTTTGTCTGTGTGAGCATGTTGAAAAAGGAAAAAAAAAATAAAATAAAAAAATAAACAATTCGAATTAACCTTGATTTCACATTTACTTGGTGCGAGATTTTTTGTAATTGATGAACTTTATCCAACTCAAATAATTCAAGCTCGGATACATTATTGTTCAAAGTGCTTGTCACTATCATCGGTACTTGCCCTGGATACCAAGCAAACATACGACTTTTTAACTTGTATTCCTTTCTTGTCATTACAAATTGAGAGGAAAGAGGGAGAAAGATATTTGAATAGTTGTACAATGTAGCCTTACGTCAATTTATAAATGAACACCTGACGCTTAATAGGTAAAGTGGCTTTGCTTGCTTGCTTTTTTTTTTTTACAAGATTAGGTTTTAAATGAACATTGGAAGAGGCAGTAAGTTCATATATACATGTACACACACATGGTTACATGGATTGTTTAATTATTGCATTATTAAATTTAATGATTTTATGTCTATAATGATTACATAAGAACGTCTTTCATAATTCTCACATCTAAAAATGATTAGGAAAAAGCTAACATGTATTGAGAATAGGGCACAATTGTTTTATTTTATTTTTTTTAAAAAAAAAAATTGAGCGCTTATCAGACTAATTTTTAAAGAAAAATGCAGCATGAATTTGAGAGTGGAAGGCTTATTATGTAGCGATAAATGAAGATAAAATTATTAATTAAGCTGTATACTTTTCTATAACATCAAGATCTCCCAGTATAACCTTAAGCATTCTATTACATATTCAAATCAAGTATAATTTTATACAACTGGTTCTATCATCAACTAAAGTAAGCACTGTTCCGATTGTATCTGTCTTGCTGCTAGAAATGGATTGATTTTTTATAATTTGTGAATACCTTCCTATCATAGCTTCCATGTATGATGGCTCTTAAAGTTTAACTTGACAAGCCTGTGATAAAGTTATTCAGCGTAAGCTTCTCAATGTATTGTACAGAAAGTTCAAGGGATTTAGTAATCAATAATCATATATTTTTAAATCTACAAAAAGATAGTTGATTGGTATAAAGCAAACTATCTGTCAATCTTGCCTTATCCGTTTTAATACACTTTAAAATCAAGTTCAAGTCTTTTTATTTGTTGACTTTCTTCCAACAAGTTGAAAAAAAAAGGGGGCATTCTCTTCATCTATTTTTATATACCTTGTGTTTCTTACTAGTAAGAATATCAACTTGAGAAAATAATAAGAATGATGTTGATGATAAATGTAGCTTTGATAATAATATTAATAATAAACATATTTCTTTGATCAATCTTGACTTCTTATACACGTCAAAGTTATTCTGCTCATAAACATTGACTTTTTTAATGAATTGAAATTTCGTATTTTGCTAAACATTTTACTCGCAATTTTATCCTAAAATTATTCTCAAACTGTCTAGGAAAAAATAAAAATAAAAAAAAATAAAAATTGTCTCAAATGTGAATACTATATTACCGACACATTTTTTTTTCTTATTCATTTAAGAATCCTTTTTTTTTTTTTTTTTAATTAAAGTTATACTGGTTTCTTTTAATTATGGCAGGTAATATAAATTAAGGCAAATATCAAGTTTATGATTCTAAAAAGATTTAAATAGGTAATCATTCAAAGAAATCAGTTGAAAGAAAAGATTCTTATAAGCAACAACAAAGAAAGAATTTATCTAGTAAAGCAAATAATAATAATAATAATAATGTCTACATGTTATGTACTTACTTATTACATAGATAATGTAACGACATCAACAAAAAAGGAAAACAAGTCATCTTCATTTTTAAATAATACCAAAGCACAACAAGCAGCAGGAGCAGCTATTTTGTCAGCTGTTACTTCACCTCAAGCATCTAATTTAATTCAACAACAGCCTCCTTCAGTTGGTGTTAATGGCTTTAATAGAGGAGAAATCATTGAATTTTTAAACATGCGTAAGCTTAATTATTGTATGTAATTTTACGCAACTGCTAATATATATATATATATCTATTTTATAATAGGATTTTCTGATGCATTGACAGCTTATCATGATACCAATTTAGATCCTTCGGTTAGACCTGAAAAATATGAAAGTAATAAATCAACTGCTTGGAATAAAGATGCGCCCTTTGTATGGGGACAACAATCAAAAGGAGCAGGTAAATATAAATATCTATATATTTCGTTTTTTTTTTTATTTTTTAAAAGGTTAAAAAAAAAGAATCTTAATTAGTTTTTATATATAAAAAATATAGGCACGACATTACCCATTGGTACAATGGCAAATGGAACTGATTTCTTGACCGAATTATTTAATCAATCAACAACCATTCAATAAAATTTTTATGTATTTTTTTTTTCCTTCTCCGGCATAATAAATTATGTAATATACTATGTATACCCAAGAGTTTTTTTTTTGTTTTGTTTTGTTTTTTTTCTTTTCAAACGTTTTCAAAAATGAATAATGACAAAAGTAGCGTGATTGTCGATCACATTAAACAGAAAATAAATGATGCTCATTTAAGACCCGAAGAAATCCAAGCTATTGATAAAGCCCGAAACCAAGTGTTTACTAGAAGTATGCATAATATTATTATTATTATTGTTATTGTTATATTTACATCATGTGTTGTATAATAATAGCCACTATGGGTGGATTATTAGGTACAGTAGGTACTTTGGTATTCGGTAGACGTAGAAGGATTAGTGTATTTTTGATGATACCATTTGTCAGTGGTGGTTTCTTGTTTGGATCACAATTAGGTATGCTGTCGGGCATTATGGCTGGTAAACGAACCATTGAAAAGCTACCTGATCAAGCACGTCTTATTAATTTAGTAAAGGAGATACAGTAAGTTATAATGGTAGTCGTTTATATCACCTACAATATAATTACACTCATTTTTTTTTTTTTAGAAAAGAAGTAATGGAGGCGAATGGCTATGTCAGAGACTCTTCCAGTGATATCTTTGCTCGTCCTCGACCTATGACACCTGAAGAAAAACAGGAATATAAACAAAAGACATTACTTGATAATGATGCTAACAATAATAATGATCCTTCTGATTGGTGGAGCAGTACTGATGATGATGATAATATGTTTATGAATGATAACAATAATGATAATGATACATGGTTAACTAACGATCAGGTTCCTTCAAATACAACAGCAACGACATGGGATAGAATTAGACAACAAAATATGAGTAAATAGTTACGTATTGTATTTACTGAATGTTTTGATAGTATAACAATAATAATAAAAAGAATATACTACGACTAAGCTAAGCTGATGTAGAAGAAATAAGTCATATACGACACTTGCTAGAAAGTCTAAAATTAGGACTATTTTACCTACATCATGTCTTTAATATATCGACATCTAGTTATTTTATAAAAATGTATTTTAAGGTCGACAACTACTGCTCTGTAAAGGTTCATAAAATCTTCCACTTCTGACACTAGAAGAAGTATAAACTCACAAATATCATTAGTGAGTGGCAGGCAATCAATAGAAAGGAAAGCGAGTCATTTAAATAGTAGTGTATCTGTAAGTATACTAACAGAGTAACAAACTTGCAGGATCTATCTTATTTTATGCATTGCGGGCTATTCAATAACAAAGTAACCAAACATGACAAAACACTGTTTATTACAAACCTTAGAAAATGGTACTGGGGAATATAAGTTGTGTTGCAAATAGGCAATAACCATTGAATAGAAAAAGTCAATAGAGTCAATGTAAAATAAAGCCCCTGATATCATATAAAAGGTAGTTGCTAAGAGTGATAGACTCCATGTTATTGTACCTTTAAACTACTTCTTCGCTACGTAATTAATACAGTTTATAAAGGACCCTTGCAAATCATAATTAATGATTGTCGATATTACAAATCGCTTTTGGGCATTACTATCTCAAAAGAGTATAAAAGAAGAGATACTCTGCTTCACAAATTGATAACGACAGTATTGCTCTTTCTGCTCCTAAAGGCAAGATATAAATAAGAAGTATATAGAACACATCACATATTATATATGTATTTTATGTTTGAAACATTAATTCTTAATAGAAATTTTGCAGTAAGAAGTAATGACGAACTATCAAAAAAAAAAAAAAAAAAAAAAAAAAAAAAAAGCGTTTCCAATAGAAGAATTCTTCCCGAACAGACTAATTTTCTGTTTTTTTTTTTTTTTTTTTTTTTTTTTTTTTTTTTTTTTTTTTTTTTTGCTTTTTTTTTTTATCTTACGTTAACAATGTGGAGATTATTATGCAAGAATGTTTCACTACAAAAATCATCAACAATCTGTTTATCAAGAACAAAGCAATTAGTTAATGTTACTAAACCATTGTCATTAATTCAATCGCGCAATGTCACGAACAGTCGTTATTATCATTACCGAAATCGGTTGTTATTATTTTCAAGATTAAAATGTACACAACCAGCAACTTCACTGTTATTGAACCCCTCACGTTCATTTTCATTTTGGAAATTACCCTTTGTTTTGGTAACTACTTTACCCATAAAACGTCGTCTAGGACTTATCACTCTAGGTGGATTGGGACTCGTCACAGTTTTCGTATTTGGGCCTTTTCTTCTTGTAGGAGTTGGAGGACTTGCTGCCTATGCCGCATTTCGTTTTTGGCGATTCAACCGACATATAAGGCAGCAACTGCCACAACAACAAAACTGGACTGACTTGTTTACTACAATGATTCAGCCTTCTTCCTTTTTAAATTTAAACAATAGCATTACTTTGGGTCAACATCAACAAGCACAACTTGAATCAGAAGTGATCCATTATTTTAATAATTGGGTGCAGTTTAATGTAGGCCAAATTGAGTTGGCAAAACATGGCATCTATTTAGATCAGCTTACATCTTCCGACGTTTCTCTTCGTAGCTCATCCTATTCTACTGTAAATACACTGAACAAGTCAATAAGCAAGATGAATATTGAATTAGAATTAGATGATGCGCCAGGAAACATATTAATTGCTACTGCAGAGTTGGATAAAGCAAAAAATTTGGAAATCAAAGATATTCATTTAATAACAGCTTCAGGATATAATTTACATATTCCTCTTAGTAATGATAGTAGAAAAACAAAACGAAGAATAATTGAAGGTGAATTTCATGATGTATAGCATAGTTCATTAGTTTAATATATTACAATTAAAAAGAAAAAGAAAAAAAAAGGAGGGAGGGGGTAAGTGAGAGAGGGGGAAATGTTCCTTTTCTGTTTAATATACAGGAATTATTCAATTGATAACAAAAAAAGAGCAAAAAATAATAAAGATAAATTTACTTGAGACGAATAACCATAATACTTAGATTGTCTGTACTAAAATTAGCAAGTGCATGATCTAATAATTTTTTACTAGCAACTTGAGGATCTTGAACATCTTTGATGAGGTCAACTGCATCTTGATCTTCACAAACATCCCAAAGCTATATATACAATAGGATGGGTTAATCACAAGTCATTCTATTCTAATTCATCATTATTTATGTTTTACCCCATCACAAGCTAAAATTAAAAAGTCATCGTCTGGACCAAGTTCAGTCTCAGTTGTAAAAGGATTACCAACAACGAATTCTTTCATTACACTATCACCTAATGATCGAGTGACAGCTAACACGCCATTAACACGGTTATTCATCATAAAGCCTCCAAGGTCCATAATACGTTTTGCTTCTTGCAGATCTGACCCTTTATGATCGTATGAAAGTCGAAGTGCTTTATTTTGGCGACTATAGTAAGGTTAGGTGTGTGTGTGTGAATTGAGTTTTCGTCTAAAATTATTTACCTTAAGACAGCGCGTGCATCTCCCACATTACCAGTATATAAAATACGCTAGAATATGTGAAATATTAACATGTGTAAATAATAAAATAGGCAATAACGTAATCAAATTACCTTATTTCCTTCTACTTTGACAAAAGCAACAATAGCAGTACAACCAGAAAACTTTCCTTCATTTTGATTGACTTCATGATCAACTGCTAAAAATGCTTTATTTAAAATTTCTGGCACTGTTTCTTCTTTTGAACTTGATTCGATAACTTTTGCAAGCACCTATATTTAAAATATGTATATACATATATTAATATCAACATTACAATGCATGCTTGTTTCATTACTTTATCAAAGTTAGCACCGCACCATTCAGCAGTTGCTTTACCAGCATGACCGTCAAAAATAGCAAAAAAGCCTTGGCGAGGAACCCCCATGTAATCAAATACGAATGTATGGGCATCTTCCATTGTTCTACGACATCGTTTATTGCGATCTTCAGAAATACCTAACTCAAAACCCAAAGCACTATAAGACTGTTTTGTAGTTGTTTGTGTTTTTTCCATTAAAAAAGTAATTAAATATTATTAAGTAACGTGTATTATAAATAAATGTAAAATATAACGAAATTTTTTTTTTTTTTTTCTTATTTTATTTTTATTTTTATTTATTAAAAAAGAAAATAAATAAATAAATTTATTTATAACGACGACGATAATTTATTATATTATAGGGAGATGATAACTATGCCTTGGAAATGAATTACGCTATTTTTGTCTTTTTTTTTTTTTTTTTTTTTCCCTACATTTCCCCCCTTTTTTCCCCCTTTATATTTATTGATATATATGTATAATTATTTTTCTTTTAATATAGTTCTCCTTTATCATTATTTATTGTATGAAATGACTTTAGCTTGTATATATATATGTATATATGCATATATGTATGTGTACGTTCTCTTTTTCTAAACTTGTAGGAATTTCAAAGTCTAAAATAGTCCGTAAGTGATACTGTATTAAACTGCTTTTATCTATAACTGCTGTAAAATTAAATAAATATAGTAGTCTCCTAGAGTTATCCTAATACATGTCTTAAAATAGTTATCATAATTTCTTTAGTTGCCATTATATCTTTATTTCAAATTGCTCTGCAACCGTAAACAAGCAGGAAATTGATATACTTTAAAGATTGCTTCTATTTTTAAAAGTTGAACCAATATAATGGATCTCAAATTATTATACACATATCATTATACCTGAAAGTTTGAAATCTCTTCATATCTCCTACTGAATAGCTTGCCTTGTTTCTCACTACTTGTTTTTTTTTATTGATGTGTAATTACTAAAACAGTATTTTATTTATAGGCGTAGAAGTTTGTTATAATGATTAGTTATAGAACAGAGTGAATTAGAGTAATGAAAATGATAACAATTAAATACTCGAAAATTAAGACTAGTAAAGCTCCAAATAAGTTAATATAAAGGCTCAAATATGTGCGATAGAGTAGGATATCACGTTATATAATATTACAGGACTTTACAATTTTGATTGTAGAAAGTGAATAAAGACATGCATATGATATTATAGACTATCACAAATAGTTGTAATGAGCTTTTGAATATTTCACAATCATATAATTATATATACATATACATTTTTTTTTCATACAATAAATCTCGCCCTTATTAATCTCTACTACATCTACTCTACTTTTCTCTTACTTTCAACATTATCTTAGTACCGCTTAATATGAATAAAGTCGGAGAAGATGATTGCTAACAAAAAATTCAAGATGGTCTTCAACGCTTATAAATAGTTATTAATGTAATCAATCACGGATAGTTGTTAACCATACAGGTTAAAACAGACAGCAAATGAATAACAATTATACTTTCGCAAGAAGGTCTATACTATAATGATGTATCTCACTTTGTCGTTATTAATGAGCTTTCAAAAGACTCTTGATAGATTTAACCATATCATATTCTTCATAGTCAATTATCCAGTTTAATTGTTCATTTGCCGTGAAGGATGAAAGAGTTTTATTGTTACACTAGAATTTAAACTTTGACAGAGATAATTATTAGCTCATCTTCTTTTACTTTGAACTAACTGAAATAACTTCTAAACGCTGTTAAGCCTATTTTAAGTTTAGCTAAATTAAATCATAGAAGAAGTTCAAATAAGCAATTGTAATTCTTATAGACATATATTACGTAAAGTATCAGAATTATTCTACTAGTCTAATGCTTGTATCTTATATATCATCCATTTTCTCCTTGTTTCACTAGTCATATTCACTTTCCTTTCCCATTTTCTCAGACTCATGATTAACAAATGACCATACCTTTTTTTTTTTTCCTCATTTAATTCTTTTAGTGCCAAGTATAGAATCTAAAAAAAAAAAAAAAAAAAAAAAAAAAAAAAAAAGGAATAGTGTCCTCCATCTCAAAGTAAAAAGTACCTTACATTTTACTAAATTACAAAATAGTCTCAACCATTTATATATAAATAAATAAATTGTATCCATAATTCAACATAATGACTTTATTATTTAATTTTCTGAAGCTTTTTATTAGCAAACTTGAGTTTTGTTTGAGTTCTATCCACATCACTATCTAATTCATCCAATATTTGATTTTGAGTTTCAAGTTCATGTCCTATAGCAATACCCAGCTGCTTTTGTCTAGCCAGAATAGCTCCAAATTGCTGTATCTGTTGATCCTGATCACTCATGATTTGATTTTGATATGTTAATAATCCGTCATTATCTAAGCCTCGTGTCATCTCTGTCTCCTGGGCCTTTTGTCGTTCAAGCGCTGCTGTTCCAAATGCTCTTCTTCCTGTGCTTGACCTCTTTAATAATTCTTGTTTTTGTTGTTGTATAGATGGAAATCCATCTGAGTCGTTTGATGTTGATTGTGCATTACTATTATTACTTGTTGGCTTTTGTTTGTAAAGTAAATCTTGGTCTGGTTGCCTTCCGGTCGTTGCTAATTTCATCAAGGCATCTCGTTCGTCCTTTAATGTAGTCAACATATCCTGTCTTCTTCGTAACTCTCCCTCGGACATACCACCTTCTAAACTAGCTGACCCATGATGGCCTAATCCTACCAACCCGCCTTCCAAGTTAGTAAGCCGACTTGAAAGCGTCACTAATAATTTTTTGGCTTGCATTGTACAATTATGTGAGGCAGAGATCTCATTACGAGCCATGTGGGTCGTCTTTTTGTTGATGAGCGCACGGATTTCACGAGCTGTGTTTTGCATTGAATTATAATCATCTAACCAACTCTCAGAGGTATAATACGCTGTGTCTAAGGCTCTACCTGAAGGTATAGCTAAAAATTCTTTCCAGACATTCGTTAAACGCCAACGATCGTCTCGATTGCTCAAAATGGCTCTTAAATAATCTTCAAGTCCCCTTCGCCGTTCCTCAACTCTATCAGGGCTTGTAAACGTGGAAGGGAAATAATGCTTAGCTGGTAATTTGTACGGTGGAGGTTGTTTAGGGAACATGGTGTGAAGTTGGGAATCTAATTTGTAAAACTCAGAATACCGTTTCCATACAACCCAGTTACGAACTGCTGCATGAACTTCTATTTTGTAAACTATGTGCGGTTTTGGAGAATTACGAATTTGTGTTTCATGTATAAAGATGGCTTGAATGACTTCATTCATTTGGAATTAAAAAAAAAAAAAAAAAAAGAGAGAGAGAAAAAAAATAAAAAAAAAAAAAAGATTAAGTGGAGTTCCAAAAAGAAAAAGTTCCTCCAGCGTTTATTTTCACAATTTTTTTTTTTCTTTTTTAGCTGCATAAATGAGATATCATATATGATTAAATTCTATTTTGGTTCTGTGTAATTTTTTTTTTTTTTTTTTTTTTTTTTTTTACAATTTTTTGGTAGTGAGCATGTAACAACAAAATGTGTTATATTGCTCGAGTTAGTTATAAAAGTGTTATAAGAATAAAAAAAAAACCCTTTTTTAAAGAACAAGAGGGAAAAAAAGAGAAAAAAAAAAAAAAGAGCAAAACAATATAATAAGGAAAAAGAAATAGAATAGAAAAGAAACCAGACTAGAGTAACCGGAGAAACTCACACTATTACTTGCTTAACTAGTTCAACAGCTTGCAACCAGGATCAGCAGAAGGAGGAGGGAATTCATCATAAGGATGATAATTCAATTTATGTAGAATGGTACATAGGATGGGCCAGAGAGTAAACCAAATTGAGACAATCGAAGAGATAACGAGGCTTACACAATGGAAGCAGATTGAGAAGGACCTATATTGGATCATCAACTAAGAAAGGCAAGTACAAGTGGTGGTGAATATTCAAAAGCATGCCGACGGCTCCAATTGTGATATGGGGTGAAAGATACATTCCTTAGATTTACTACCAAGTAGGAGTAGGATGACAAGAAGACAGCAGTATGAAATCAGATTGAGCAGACAGAGCTTGAAATTGGTCAGCTAGATATCTAATCTACTACACGAAGAGCGTAAAATTTCTTTTTATCTAGAGTTGAGAGTATGGGAGCATAGAATTTGTTTTTCACATTATAATTTGATTCAATTTATATACCAGTGTGATAGACTGCTTGAGGATTAAACATAAGGCAATAGATGAGCAAGAAGGGTATCTCCAGGTAATTGGGTAAAGAGAAAAAGATACTACGCTTGAAGGACTGTAGTACGAGTCTTCATGGATGGGAGATTAATTAAATGTAGCAAAAATCGTATACAGTATTTTTGATTGAGTTTGGAACGTGTTAAAAAACAACAACAACTAAAGGGATTACATTAAGTACAATTCTGAGACTGAGTCTTTACTCCAGGCACAAAGCAAGATGGAAATGGACGATTTTGAAGTTGATCTCGGCAAATTGAATAATTTAATACAGTTTGAGTCTTTGAATAATGAGCAAACTGAACCACAGTTAATGGAAGATCTATTGTATAAAATTACATTCGAAATGAGCAATGTAAAATTCAATACAAGAAAAAAAACCTTTCCAGATGTAGGTAAGACTGCTATTTCAAGCCTTTATTTCCCATATTCAGGAGAAATGTTTTATAAGTTTGAAACAGGCAAGCAAATATATGGCAGAAAGAGATTCACCAAGGAGTTTAGATCTTCAATGTCATATAGTAACTCAGTGGAAAACAGTACGCGTCGATTTTTTGAAGATCTGTGTATTTGTTAATGAAGCAGGTTTTTATTCATAAATGATGAGAGGTTGCGCTTGATCGAAAATTGGTGAACCAACAAAGGTTAAGACGCATAATCAAAGAGACATAAAAATTAGTATCATTGGTTGCATAACTGCTAGAGGGATTATTCATTTTTCCAAGGTATGAACCATTGAAGAAAAGCGATGTTGAACAGCTTGAAAATAAATACCATCCAAATGAGCATAAATCAAATAAAAGGAAAACAGTAACTTCAGATCAAAAACCCAAGTCCCCCCAAAAAAAAAGGTACAACTGCGTATCACGTTCTAAAAGTTTATGGAATTGATCATGGATGTGATGGATAAAAATGATATGAAAGGATATTTCATTATTATGGATAACTACAAAATATATCACAGTCATTTTGTTGTGGATGCTATAAACTCTCGAGGATATTAATCATTATTCATGCCACCATAATTCCCTCCTTTTTTTTTTAGGCCCTACTAAGGAGTGTTGGTCTAAAATGAGGAAGAATACTAGACGGAACCCGTTCAAAAAAGGTGATGAGTTAACCCCTCACATTACTGAGGCATGCAAGATTATAACTACATAGGATTGTTTAGGCTGCGCTAAATACGCTGAATCATATTGGGATAGATGTCCACAAAAAGATATCAGTTTGAAATAACTTTAGTTTACCTGCCCCATTCCGATATACTTTCATCTAAATAAAATTCATAAATGTCTTAAAAATCCAAGTAAAAAATCTGGCAGTTGCAATTATGACTTTTTATTGGTGCTAAGTATGATTTCACCAGATTGTGAGACGGGGAGGGGTGGACTCTCCCGACAGTTTTTGTTTCCCATGTCAGGCACTCAATGTCTACCATGATACGTATCTGCCTGAAACATGCGTGTCACATATGTAAAAAAATAAATTCAAAACTCCATTTAGCTTACGACGTCATAGCTCATGTGTCCACAATAAGCTATTACCACCTAAAGACACAGACGGATGTTACTTATTAGAAGGAGCGGTCATTGTGCATATCAAAATGTCAAGTGCTGTCCCCGCACTATACCTGCCCGTCTCGTTGGACTTATCAATCTGATTTGGAAAGGATAAAGAACCATACTGTCAACTCACGGAACGCAACATAAAATTCCCATTAAAACTAAGAAATATACTTATCTCTTTCGCGATGCATCTTCATACTTGCATCCACCCAAGCGGCCCAAGATCACTGGCGAAAATATTTCCACATTGATCTCTGTTAGAACCATAATCAATTTTTACAATGTACATTTATCATCAGGATACAATCGCCTTACAAGATAGCAAAGTATGGATCAAGCGAATATGGTGTCATTGAAACAATATCCCCTCCCAACAGAATATAGCATATTAAAGCAGGTCTAAGATGTTGAATTGCCGAACTTGCCCTCATTTTCTTTGGGAATTTGAACAACCTAATGACATTATGCTTCACGACGCAACCCTGATCAAAATTATTCAATTTGTTTTAACTGACTTTTTGCAGTAAATGTCATCGCAACATGTTTTTTTTTTCAGCCAAGATATGAACGTATCCATTGGATTAATCAAGTCACGTCAATTTTCCAATGTTTCGGCAGCCACAGCTAATTGTTTAACTTCCAATAGGGTATGAAATTCCGACGGAAGAGCACATTGAATTTACGAATGACCCTAACTTATGGATGCGAACCTGCAACTATCAAGTATCACGATGATCTATGCTACGACATTAATGACTGTGGTCAACTCATTATGGAAGATTTGAACAGTGGTATCTTCAGGGAAGATGTTGAGCACACTTAGGATGATACAGTCAAAGCGCTATATATAGTCTATTTGGTTGTTGTTTTTTCTAAAAAAAAAAATAAAAATAAAATAATAATAATAATAGAATTCTGCAAATCTCTTTCCCAAAAATAAAAAATTGAAAAAAAAAACTCCGGCTCTTTTTGTTATTTTTCAGACATATTATCTAAAGTAAGACGCAAATCTACGTAGATATAATTGAAAGTAATCTTTACAAATCCACTAAAAAGAATACAATAGATCAAGATGCTTTATAGCTTAAATATATCTACCATAACTGTATTATATTTTCAGGAGAGAAGAGACGCAAGTAACGAATCAAGGAAAGCTAATGAGTATTATGTCAAAATTTTTAAAAGATCTCATAAATCAATGAAACCATAGTAATTATAATAAGCTAAAGGATTTATAAATGTGGCTTATCAGGTACAAATTAAGGAAAGAGATTACAGTGAAATCATGTTGACTAATGTTCAAAGAAGTTTGTATGTAGAGAGCTGTCAAGCTTTTTTATAGGCTGTTCTGGATTTCGGAAGTTTAATACAACTAACAAACAAAATTTTGTATGACCATTATTTATACGTCGTTTTTGATTTACAATTTTACCTATTTTAGACAATTTTCATTCCTTTTTTTTTTTGTGTCCAATAATAAAATTTTTTTGTTTGCTATATAAGCAGAAAAACAAAGAAAAAAAAATCTTTTCATCTTTTTTATTCTTGAAAACGAGCCTTTTGTTTTAAAGAATCATATTCAAAACTCGAGTTTTTTTTTCTTTTACTCTTTTTTTTTCTTTTTTATATTAAAAAAAAAACCCCCCTTCTGCTTACTCTAATGAGTGAACAAAACGAGCAAGCAGTAGCAAAAAAGAGTTGGAAGCAATATTTCGCTTTCGTTAAAGACCGGCAATTTTGGAAAGTTTTAGTACTTGGTCAAGGTAAAATATATATTATATAAAAAGATATGAATGAATATATACATATATAGAAGGTTTATTGACTTTTTTTTTTTTTTTTTTTTTTTTTTTAGTTCTTTCATTATGTATTACGGGTACTAATGTAACAACCACTATCTTGAGTAATAAATATAATTTCTCTGCAGCCACACTGCAAACTTTTTTAGTTTATGCTTGTGTAGCTTTAGTTTATAATTCGATTGCTATCTATAAGCGTGGTCTAAAGGGCTGGCTACTTCAATTCTGGAGAAGAGGTATCTATTACTTCTTTCTGGGGTTTGTTGACGTTGAAGGAAACTATTTTGTCGTGAAATCATATGAGTATACATCTTTGTTATCTGCAATGCTTCTTGATTGCTGGAGTACACCTGTCTGTATGATTTTAGCTTTTATTTTTATGAAGGTTAGATATCGTTGGGTTCAATATGTAGGTGTCTTTCTTGCTCTCTGTGGTCTTGGTATGCTTGTAGCCAGTGATGTTATTACGGGGAAAAACTACGATGCAGTAAATGCTCTTAAAGGTGATCTCTTTTGTATTCTGGGCGCGACTTTTTATGGCCTTTCAAATACGGGTGAAGAATATATGGCACGTAAACATCCACTTTATGAAGTGATTGGTATGTTCACCTTCTTTGCCACCTTTATTAATCTTGTCCAAGTATTTATCTTTGAGCGTCATCAATGGAGTGAATTGAGTGAGAAGGGTATTGGCGCAATGGTTGCTGTATATACGATTTGTATGTTTGTCTTGTATTCATGTGCTCCTGTCCTATTCCGACTAGGGAGTGCTGTATTGTATAACCTTTCTATTCTTACAAGTGATTTCTATGGTTTGATCTTTGGTTTGGGTCTCTTTGGTTATAAGGTTACACCTATGTATCCTTTTGCCTATATTATTATTATTATTGGAATTGCCATTTATCATATCTTTCCTGTACCTGAGCCTGCTATCGGTAATTTTACTTCTGAAACAGCAGAAAGAGAAAAGATGGAATTGTATGGTACTCCTTTTACGCAAGGTGATATTGAAAATCAACAAAGAGCCTCCATGGTAACAACTGAAGTTATCCCAACTACTGAGGAAGTAAAACAATAATATTATAAGCCAAAGAAGAAAAACTAGGAGGGAAAAAAAATTTTTTTTTTATCCCCCTCGCCATTATGAAAACTATACTTTTAATTTTATTATTATTTGTAAATTTTTATTAATATGGTGTTGCCCTTCTTTACGTCTTTTGCACACTGTACATAGAAAGACGTTTATTTATCCTTATAATAAAATGTATAAACAAATATATAATATAATTTCAATTAAAGCTAACAGGAGTTAAATAAAACTAGAGTACAAGTGTATTTATATGTCTCGTATTTGTCTTTGTTTGATCTTTTTTAGCCTTTTCATCTTTATCCTTAAACTTCAATCAAACAATAAACATAATAATCGATCCTCAAGCTTATTTCAGTAACATTCTTTGATAAATGCTTGACCCCTAAAATCGATACTTCTACTTGATACATGTATGTATATGTGTATATTTCTAAATATATTGTACGTAAAAATAAAAATTATGTGTAAAACATTATATGCAGGTTAAAGTTAAAAATTTAAGAGACGCAGAATGAATATTTTAAATACTCAGAATACAATTGAAAACCCACTAATAATTTATCCTTTAGTGTAATTTATTTTCTTCAAGGAAATAAATATAAAATAAAGACGCATAAAATTCATACAATATCATGTCATTAATAACAGATCCTTTGTACATAATACATACAAGTCGCATTAAGTTCCTAAGAATGGATGAACGTGGTGAACGCATTATTACTTTTCCTCCTACTATCATGTCCGATGATTATGTTCGTTTAGCAGCACCCATTTATCCAGAGATGCAATATTGTTATTCACCCATTTATGATAGTTATTTGAATAATAATCACCCTCTTCTTACCAGCAGTCCACGTACAACAAAACGAAATTACCGTCAACGAAAGCCATTACATTTACCTAATCTTGTTGTAGGTAAGGGTATAGGAAATAAAATGAATGAATCATCGACTGACAGCGAAGAGGATGATGGGATCGAAGTAGATAAACAAATTAAAGAGTAAAATTATATACATTATATATATATATATATATATATTTATAAATAATAACTAATTATTGCTTTTTGTAGAAAACAACTTGAAACAACTGAAGCAGAAGATGAAGAAACCGAAACAGAATTAGAGACAGCAAAACCAATAACGATGATTCCAAACCGTTCATATCCGACTACTTCATTACATCCTTCTGTTGATTCTGCTATTGATCCTTCACCTAGATCATCTATTGACGATAATGCCAATGCATCATTCACAGCATTCCCTATTCAAGAAGAAGAAGAAGAAGAAGAAGAAAATACGTCAAATACCACTCCAATAACGGCTATAGAAATCTCGCCTGAACCATCAGAAAGCAAAGACAGACATAAACCAACTCAACAACCACCATTAGAATATACCAAAAAGATGATTTCCCACCCTCTTACTGTATCTGCTCTCTCTGCTTTGATAGCAGAGAAGGCGACAACAGCGGAGAACCCATTTTCAGAATATGCTTTTGTATCTGGTAAAGGAGAGGGTAACCGATCTATCACACTTTGTGTCTATCTACCCCATTCAAGTGAACCTAGTAAGCCAATGTCACTCGTTGTTCGATCAGATGCAATTACTGACGATGTCATTGGCTTTATTCTCTATTCCTATGTTGAACAAAAACGACAACCCGAGCTTGAAGAGGCAGCATATGACTTGGCTGAATGGGTATTATTAATTGCTGAAGAAGATGGAGAAATTGAAGATGATTTACCAGCCATTGATCGTACGCGTAATATTGGACGAGTTTCATTTGATCAGTTTGCACTCTGTCGAGCAACACCTTCACAAGCTAAACAGAATGATATAGATCGTGCTCGAATGGGACGATTTAAACCCGATTTAGAGACCCTAAAGAACAAGAAGGCGTTAGCAGCAGGGGGTAGGCTCACTGCAGTTCCAAGTCAACATGAATCAGCAGAAAATAAAGATCCTACGCTTGAAGGGTCACCTACAGGTGGTTTATCTGAAGAAAACATGACATCACATTTGATGCCTCAACAGCAGCAACCAGAACCAGATCCTTCAACCGTTGCTGTACCTGTCCCATCATCAAAGGCTACTCTAACGAAAGCGACTATGCCTATGACACCCCTTAAATATTTCCGTATTAAACTTATGACGAATGAAGAAGTGTCAGCAACAACAGCTATCCCCGTGTATGCAGAAATGTTTATTGGTGATGTTCTTGAACTTGTATCACGAAAAAGAAAATTAAATTCAAATGAATACATGCTTATGATTGCAGATACCAACGTGATTGTCCCCAATGATACAACTGTTGAAAGTATGAAAGGAATAACTGATTTAACATTGATAAAGAAAGGAACAGCTTTAAACGTTCCAACCTGTAAAGCAAAATTATGAAAAAAAAAAGAAACAAACAAACAAAATATACTGATTTATTTATTTATTTAGCTACACATTTATGGCGATCACCCATTAAAAGAAAGAAGGAAGAAGTAAATCATCCAATGTATTTTACTACAACTGATAGTCGAACAGCAGGCGCATCTAATGATGGATTATTTTCACAGTATAAAAAATATACAGTCAGTAGAAAGATGCCAATGTTTGTCAGTAAACGTATCTATATTTTGGCTATTGATGGTGATTATATTCATTTAATGCCACCTGAACATAAAGGCATGTTTGATTCTGTAAAAACGGTAGGTAGATTTAAATTATAGTTGTAGTGATATGTTGAGCTTCATCTTTTTTTAAAAAAAAAAAAATATATAGTCTTCATTCCATGCCAGTGCAGTAAAGTCTTGTAAACAAAGTAAAAAGATACCAGCAAACTTTAAAATAGTTATTTTAAAAGAACGGGATTATAAAACATATGATTTGGAAGCTGAAAGCGCAAAAGAAGCGAGTAAAGTATTTTCAGAAATTAATATAAATATATAACTAATTTTTTTTTTTTTGTAAGATGAAATATGTAGTAGAATTCGGTTTTTAATGCAAGTAACTAAAGGAACTTGAAAAAAATAAAATAAAAAAAAAATAAAATAAAAAAATAAAATAAAAAAAAAGGAGAACTATTCTACTTTTATATTTTAAAAATAAAAAATAAATGTATCCATATTGTATGTTATATCTTTTCTGTTTTTACTAGTGGCTTATAATGATGATCACAGCTTTCAAAAGATGTTATTGCAGTGCATGAGTTTGGACTCTTTCTAATACATATATAGCTATAAAATATAAGCCAAGTATATTTAATTTCGAAGCATATTTTTTCCTTATTGATTCTATTCATGGTTTGTTACTCGTTTTGTATTTTCATAGCAATTTATATTTTTTATTCCAAAGCCAAGAGACTCTTTCATTTGTTGTGTCCTTTAGTTTAATCATTTTTCGACTGGTTTCTTCAGAAACAAATATGGACATACAGATAAATAGATATGTTTTCTATTCTTTATTCATTATTCTCTCTCTCTTTTTCTTCCTTTTTTTTTTTTCTTTTTAGCCCTTGATATATTTTTTTTATTTCTTTAATCACATATAGATCCATTTCGGACCAAGACAATAGAGTAATTCAATTAATAATTTATGCGAAATTTCAGGTACAATAAAGTTTGTAAGAGAGTCACATAGCTGAGACTAATAAGCATGTAAAAAAAGAAAAAAAAATATTGCCCTACAATTATTTCTTTTTTTTTTTTCTATGTAATACATAATATATGAAGAAACGAATTTCAACATTAATGAGCCTAAAGAGGTACTCAGGAGAACAAGAAACAAAAAATATACAAGATAGATCAATGACAAGGTATTTTGAAGCATAGAGCAAAATCATAATCCTTTATTAATTATATATAGTTTATTCACAGTATACCGATGTATATCATTGGCCCACGTAAATCTGGCAAAACAACCTTTCTTTATAAATCAGTAGTAAAATATAATACAGAAGAGGCTAATAATGAATTTAAAATAATACCCACATCTAATTTTAATGTTGAAGTTATCAAGTATAAATCGTATCTATTTGAAATATGGGATTTTGCAGGTTGGTTCCCCTTCTTTTTTTTCTTTTTTTTTTCTTCTTCTTCTTTATGAGTTTTTATTGTGTAATAAATAACATTATTCTTTAGAAACTCTTTCCTGTTTGAATCATCCCAGTCATCCTCAGGTTATTATTTATATGATCGATTCAATCGAATATAGTAAAGAAATGACTACAACAAAATCAAGGGAGTCTATGGCTTGGCTATTGGAGAATGCTTATTCACAAATAAAGAATACAATCATTATTACTGTAGCTAATAAAATGAACAATATAAATGATGATATTCAAGATATCGGCATAACTTGGACAAATGACGATCGACTTTATAAACTATTAAAGGGACATGATTGGAGGTTATTTCCTTGTAATTCATCAAATGGAGAAGGATTTGATCTAATATTCGATTATCTTATTATGAAATTAAAGGATCAGGAACAGAAAAATGCAGTCACACCTTGGGAATTATTAGCTAATCCCCATCATCTTCATGACCCAGAATTTTTCCTCTGGTTTCAACAAGGCAGAGCTTTTCTATTTTTTGATCATCAAAGTCTTATTCGTATCATTTATTTAACGATTGTTACACGAAAGAAGCACCAATTATTACATGAACAGTTAGCCGCTCTATCATCTATAAATTATTCAGAGACACAAACACTCTTCTGGGTACACATGGTTTCATTTGCACTATTAAAATCGCCCTTATTAGAAGGTCAAAAGCCAGATTTTAGTTTATTTTTAAAGCGTTCAAAATTAGAAGAAGATTGTTGGAAAGATTATTATTCGCAGAAAGTATTTTATTCTGAGAGGGCAACAAAAGAGTTTATACCACCTGATAAAAAGCCTTTACCAAATGCATTTAGACCTTCTTCTTTAGCATTAAAAGGAAGTGGATTACGGATAGATTACCAAATACTGTGATTTATTCCCTTTCCACCGTCTTTCTTTTAACAACCAATTAAAAAGCCAGGAAAAAAAATTTTTATTTTTATTTTTGTGTATAAATTAATGCAAATTCGTTTTTGCTTTTTTTTTTTTTTTTTGCTTTCTTCTTCCTTTATATACATATACATATACGTATACGTATACATACACATATACATATACATACACATATACATACGCCTATACACATACACATATACACACATACACATATACACACATACATAGTATGCCTATTCCTGTCAATCATATATCTTTATTAATTCGACAAGTTATTGATATTGTCTTAAAGTCAAGAATAACATCTTATTATTGTTTAAATAATCATCATACGATATGCCTTAATAATAATCAACAAATAGTAAACAATCATCTTGTGTTAAATATCTTGAAAAATGATGATTTATTATTAGTAGAACGCTGGATAATCACCATTAGTGACAACATTTATAAACAACAAAATACAATAGATGAAATAGTCCAATTTATAAAAAATAATATGCAACAAGAATCTTTATGTTTTACAGCCTCTTTTGATCATAATTCAACACACTGTTATTCACATCCATCTTTATGTCATCATCATGTTGAATTTAAATCGGACACTCAATTAAAAGTACATGAATTCTATATTTTATCTTTATCTGTTAAAGTACTTTATGATGATGACATGTTTTTATCTTGGTCAAAAATGAATCAAAGTCATATACACCACCCAGATGACATAATAGTTCATCCTTTATCTCCACCTAACCATTCAAATCATCCTACTATCTCTGTAAGACGTCTATCTCGTTTATCTTTATCTGCTTTAGAATCAGTCAATACAACTGTGAACGTTCCCAAGAATAATTCCTTTGCTATACCTATACCTTCACCTAGAATGCAATATACCCATCATGTAGGAGATGGATTACGAACAACCATAGCTTACTCTACATCACCTAATAATAATAACAGACTTAGTTATGATGCACTTGAACAACGTCGTTCTTCATTAACACTCGATCATCAACATCATCATCATTATGGTTGTCTAGTAGGCAGTTTTGAAGAATCTTTATTCTCAGGACGCATGTCTTCTATGCCTTCAAAACCAATTACATTTTATTGTCAAATTGGTGTTTTAGGATATAACTGTAAACCATCATTAAAATGTCCTTCACATTGGTCAATTGTGTTTCCTGCAAGTTTTTATAATTTACCTCAACAGGATGATACACCTGCTACTGCTACTACTCCTTATGTAGGTACAGTCGATATTGGTGAATATGCTGCTACTACTACTACTTTACCAAAGGTACAACCTGGTTATCGTATTCCACCTCAAGGGCAATTACAAGTCTTGATTAAAAACCCAAACAAGACAGCTGTCAAACTCTTCTTGATCCCTTACGATTTTAGTGATATGCCCAAGAATACAAACACATTCTTGAGACAAAAATCGTATGAAGATCAAAAAAGATTAAGATATGCTATTCATCTAAAATTCTGTCGTAATGAAAGGGGACGTATATATCTTTACAAGACAATGCGTATTGTCTTTACAAATCGAAAGGCAGATGCTAATGAAAAGTTTAATGTCATTTGTGAAGGCCCAAAGGAGCCTGTTTATATACCAATGTAGGGAAGAAGAAGTAGGAAAAAAGAGAGAGGATTATACATATTTAATCTATGAAGCTTAATGTATATATGATGGCAAAAGAATGATACCCAAATATTAACTATAAAGATTATTTATACATTTATGGGCCATATGAATTTAATTTATTCATACATACAAATGTAGCATTGTAATTTTGTTTCATAATATGACTTGAGAGGAGCCATTTCCCTTCATCCTTTATATGTATATATATTTGTCTTGATGTTATTAGGTACACTATAAGAATAATGAAGTTATAAGCTATATTAGAAATGGGCTATACTTCTTGCATATGCAAATATAACACATTGAATGTTTTCCCTGGACGATGTAGTTAATCAAGTCTCAAATGCAACTATGTATTTAGTTTAACAAACATTTTTTTTTCATATCTAGGTAGTCAAAAGAGAGAAGGATGAGTTAATAAGCTGAATTCCTTTTATGTATACATTAGGGGAAGAATACTAGCTATTAGACATTTAGAGTAAAAAAAAAAAAAATAAAATGTAGTTATTTTAAATATGATTTATCTTTGCGTGGCTGTGTTGTGTTGTGATAAATGAAGAGAAGAGAGACTAGACTTGACATAAACAAACTTTAATATATCAGGGCTATACTCAAACACTAGTTTATTATTATTATTATAGAGGAGAGAAATAGTAGATCATACACCCAAGTAATCATGTTAGGTTTCCCAGACTTTTTTTCTCAACAAACTGGTTTCTTCTAGGCCCTATAAATCTTAAATCGAAAGTGATAATGCATTCACTTTGTTCAACTACTAATATCTTGAAGAAAAAAAAATTAGACAAAGAAGATGTATCAAAATGTAATCATGTTAAAGTTAGCTTCAAATGTCACTTTTATCTTATGAATACTAACAACAATATGCTCAGGTACAAATTAAGGGCAACAAATTTAAGCCTAGATAGTCCGGTCATTTATTCAATCAGAACCGAAATTGAATAAATAGATGTATACATTTATATATAAAATCCACCAATCATTCCCTATTATTCAGCATAAAAGTATATCAAGTATAATATAGCGCAGTAAAAAGGATTTCAACAACTCAAATGTAGACTACTACTCAATTAAAAAGATGAAAAAAAAACTTTAGTATATGTTTTTTGCTGTCCATAATGAATCATTACACAATTAAATAATATGCGTTGAAAATGATACAACCCCCCTGGTTTCGTTGGCTAAACTCACATGTGTATAAACTGTCTTTGAATTAAATTAAAAAAAAAATAAAGTTACCATTTTATTCGACTTTTTGTTTTTTCTCTTTTACTTTCTTCCCCGCATTTTCATTTCGTTTTTTTTTTTAAAAAAAAAAAAAAAAAAAATCTAATAAAACAACCCTTTTTTTTTTTTTATTTCTTCCCCTACTCTTGCTTCCTTACATTTTTTTTTTTTTTGTAATCTATATCTCCACCCACCCACCCCCTTCTCTCCATTAAAACAATGTCCATTACTGCTTTACAAACTTTAAAAAATTCCATAAACAAACGTTGGATTGCTGCTACTGTGGCTGCTGTAAAATAGATTATTATTATTGATATTAAATCAAGCTAATTTCTTATTCTATAGCCTTTATCTCGTTCTTTTACTACTACGAATGTGAATTCAATGGCTTCTGTCGAAAAGAAAGAACCAAATTTTAAAACATTTGAAATTTATCGTTGGGTAAGGGCAATAAAATAAGGGGCATGCTTAGTAATACATATATATATTTTCTTTTCTGATTTCCCCTCTTCATTTGATAGAATCCTGATAAACCCACTGAAAAGCCTAGTCTTCAAACTTATAAAGTCGATTTAAATAGTTGTGGTCCTATGATTTTAGATGCTCTCATTAAAATTAAGAACGAACAAGATTCCACTTTAACCTTCCGTCGTTCATGTCGTGAAGGCATCTGTGGTTCTTGTGCAATGAACATTGAAGGCGGTAATACATTGGCCTGTATTTCGAAAATTCATAAAGATACTTCCAAATCAGTTAAAATCTATCCTTTACCTCACATGAACATCGTTAAGGATTTGGTTCCTGATTTGACTCATTTTTATAAACAATACAAGAGTATCGAACCTTATCTCAAACAGACCCAGGGCCCCTCAGATGGTAGAGAAAATTTACAATCGATTGAGGATAGAAAAAAATTAGATGGTCTCTATGAATGTATCCTCTGCGCTTGTTGTTCTACCTCTTGTCCTTCCTACTGGTGGAATCAGGAGGAATATTTGGGTCCTGCTGTCTTGATGCAGGCCTATCGTTGGATGATCGATTCACGTGATCAATTCGGTCCTCAACGTCGTGAGAAGCTTCAGAACAAGATGTCACTTTATCGTTGCCATACTATCATGAATTGTTCAAAGACCTGTCCTAAAGGTCTTCAACCTGGTACAGCTATTGCAAAGATTAAATTAATGATGGCAACTGAATAAATTATTATTAAAGAGCAATGAATAAAATATTAATTCTACACACATTAAATGTATATATGTATATATTTATTTATGATTGACATTTTGATCTAACGTATCCTAACCATTGGAAATAACTCATTCCAGAGCTAACATTTTGTTGATTTGCTCCAGCAGTATTGGGTCCTGTAGGTTGACGATCTTCTAATAAATGGTTTAAGAAACGACTACGAAGTAAAGGATCACCATCTTCTTTAACAATATAAATTGTTGGATAATAAGTGATTTTACGCTTAGTTTGTAAATACTGGATTATATTGGATACTCTCTCTGAAATTGCTGACTTGATACGAGGTAACATAATGATCTTTACAAACAGAAAAAATGAATTAAAACAAAATTTCCCTTTTTCATATAAAATCTTAACTCCTTTCTCTCTCTCTCTCTCTCTCTTTCCCCCTTTCTCTTTCTCTCGTTACCTGTCCAGATTTCACATCTGCTATAGAAGCAACACCTAGCAAATCTTTACATAGTTGAGGTACTGCATTTTTTCCAATCCATATATAGATGGCTTGTCCATTTTCTAACAAATAACAACCATGTGTCTCTAATTTTTCACTTGATAGATGAGTCTCGGGCGGCATTGTGATTTGTCCAGTTTGGTTATCCAAGATACCCGCCATCTGTGGCATATTATGAAGGGAATAAAAGTTTGGATGAACGTAACGAGTCCATACACGAGTCGGTAAAGTTCGCAGCAAGATAGCTGACTGTGATCGAGTATCGGCTAAAATAGGAGCATCATTAAATGCTTCCGATTTTAATATTCCCAATATCAAAAGAGGTAGAAGACTCAAGGGGCGACAGACTGTTAATTGTGCATTCGCTGAACTAATACCCATGACTTCCTTACTGTAGGCTACAAAGATATCAATAGTTGATTTAGACAAATAATCTCGTGCATCACGTAGTTTACTATTGGCTCCCTTATCCAAAGCTAATCAAAATAATAATAATAATAATAAATATATATATTTATATGTAAAAAAAAAAAAAAAAAAAAAAAAAAAAAAAAAAAAAAAAAGTAAATACATTTGCATATATATATATATATAAATATTTATGATTACCTTGATGACAAAGTGTTCTAGCTAAAGCAACTTGATTAACGGAGGCATATAATTCTGAAATACTCTTTGTAACTGGAAGACATAAATTCATAACACGAATACGACGTTCACCAAAACAAGTAGTATATAAAAGTGCGGTCTGGAAATAAACAAAGTTTGATTTGATCTCTTCTTCAATAGCTAATTCAATACAATAAGATTGATCGCGAGGCACGTTCGGTAAGGCCATGATATCTGGAATACGAGTAGTACAATTACCAAAGAAGGCATGACACACTATACCCTGAGAGCAACGGGTACGCATAACAGCCTCTAATCCAACTTCCTCAGATAAGAGTGATACTACCTCTTCCTTAAGTTTTAAACAGTCTTCAGGATGTGTAGCTGCATTAAATCCTGGGAAGAAATGCGTCTGTCCACCTGTAAATCGAGGAATCACATTCAGTGTAGCTACATCGGATGATTGATTTCCACCAAAGATAAACATATCTGCACAAATTTGTAACTTTGTACATTCACCAGCAAATGTTTTGTAGAAACCATTAGAGGCTGTCATAAGTGGTATATCGACTACAGATTTTCCTCCATCTGCTTTGGCTTTGATTATACCTTCACCTACATTAGGAATACTTGCTTGGAAGCAAATAATCTTGCCACCTGTGGGTGACTTTTTTTTTTTTTTTTTTTGTTAAAGTAAGTAAATAAATAAATAATAATCTATCTTTACCAATAATTTTCGAGCAGCTTGTAAAGCAGAACCTAAACAATTAGATGGTGAATGTGAATTGGAATACATTGTCTTCATTTTTGTTAATAAATTCTCTATTGTAGCTCGGCTTTCCACCAAGTTAACAATTAACTCGGATGCAGCTCTTGGTAAATACATATCTTGTAAATCACCTACAACTAAAATTTCGGGCTCGTTATCAGATGATAACAGTTTATAGAACCCAACAGCATTATCTACTGTAATAAACCCAACTTTGGCACGACCATCCTCATTAGGAATCTTATCTAAAGCATTTAAGATAGCATCTGCAACTACATGAATCATGCCTGTCTGTGCTGCTTGAAACGAGGTATCAATGACAAAGACGTAAACAGGGGGTTGAGGTGGGCGAACGATATATTCAGCAGGAGCAATGAAATCAACACATCCATAGTTTAATTCTGCTCGACTATATCGGTCTGTCTTTTGTTGGTTAATAATATCCCAATCAAAAGCCTGAGGTACATCATTTTCCATATCACACATATTGCATTTCCATTTTAATGCACCAGTTGTAAATTGGACAAAAGGATTAATATATGTCTTACAACGTGTACAACGAGTTACTACTGTATCAGGTACAACAGGCACATTTATCTATTATATATATGGATATATATTAGATTATGGATGTTACCTTTTCTTGCTCTTTTATATATAGCTATATACCTTTTCCGCATCAGACTGAAGATAAGGTTGTAAAATTAAAGCTAATGGTACTTTTGATTTTTTGTGTAAAGAGTTGGAATATGGGAAGGAATTTACGGTAGCATAATTAAAATGTGCATTGACCTGTGCAGAAGGGGAGCCTGTTGCTGTAAACTATGAAAGAGAAAAAAAAAGAAAAAAAAGAAAAAAGAAAGAAAAAAAGAGAGAGAGAAAGAAAGTAAGAGAGGTGTAATGTGATGTCTAAATTAGGCATTTTACTAACATTAGGAGGAATTTGAGGTAAACTTATTTCTTGATGCAGGTCTTGAATAAGAGGAGGTTGACCAACAAGTGGAACATCTTGTCTTAAGGATGGTTGTTGATTAATGCTGATGTTTTCTATACCATTAAGAGCTTGATTATAACCGTTTTCAAAAGTGCTTGGTTGTGGCTGTAGTTGTTGTTGAAAAGAATTGGAGGCAATAAAACTGGACATTACTTGTGGCTGCTGGTAAGAAGGATTTTGAGGTTGAACTAAAGTATTCTGTTGTTGGAAAGGTGGCATTGCTTGCTGGAAAGGCGGCATTGCTTGTTGAAAAGAAGGTTGAGGATACCCGAGATTAGATGAGACTGTAGGAATTTCCTGTGCCTGCAAACGAGGATAATGTCGCTTTGTTCTTTTTGATTCCATCTGAGGAGAAAACTGTTGTGTATTTAAAGGAGATGATGGAGAAGGTTGTGATGGGACATTATAAGAAGGACTGGTATGGTTGTTGTAGTTCATCATTCCCAAGATGAAAAGAAAAAGAACAACGCGAACTTAATCTATTCATTGATATTTTTTTTTCTATCTCCGTCACATGTGTTACATTTTCTTCAAAAGATACCACGTTTTTATAATGAAATCAATTACTAGAGCTTTTTTTTTTTTATACAAATATCTTTTTTTTTTTTTTGTTTTTTTACATACATTATTTTTTACTGTTTATTAATATACAACTGATATATGCAGAAACAAGAAGATTATTTAAAGACTTTAAAATCAGCTGTAATTCCTGCTGACAAAATTTTACAACTTATTAAAAACGATACTGGCGATGCAGAAGCACTTGAACAAAACTATAAATCCCTTCTCAGTAAGTTGGTATTTTGTATATAGTGATTAAGCTAAAACAAAACAAAAAAAAAACAATCAATTCCTGATTTCCCCTTGTAGAAGTAAAAAGTCCAGTTTTTGGTGATTCTTTATTCTTAGATCCAGGAACAGTAGTAGAAGTAGCGGTTGATGAACAATCTACATCAGAATCAGAAAAATTTAAAATAGAAAAACTAGTCGAAACAATCAACTTGGCATCTTTTGCATACAATATTTATATGGGATCAGAAATAAAAACATGTACAAATTCGTTTTTTCGAACTGTAGCTTGCTTTTCAGATGAATTTACGCAAATGGACTTGAGTTTGTATTTTCTATTGAAATTTGCCATTTTGCGGCATAGATTGGATGTTTCTTTAGATCCTGAAAGTGAAATATATAAATTTTTAGAAGAATTATTTCCACATGATATATCAAAACTTTATATCATTCCTAATAAGCCTGGAAACGATCAAATCGAATACGCTTTAGGACTCATTCATCAAAGGGTAAAAAAAAAAAAAATTATATCAAGTATGCCAATACATGCATGTACATATAAATTATTTTTTTTTTTTTGGAAAGTTTGCAGAGCAATCTGATGCAGAGCTTATTGAACAAGAATATGGTGACCCTGAAGAAATACATGATAAACTACATGAATATATTATGTTCAGATATGTAAAGTGATGATTATATACGATTATATATGATTATTAATTTTCTAATATAGGAACGGCTTGAATATGAGAGAAAGTATTTAAAAAGACAAGAAGTGTAAGTCTATTGAATGTATCTCATATATTCTAAACTAATTTATATCATTTTAGCAAATATGACACTGACACACAAAATCCTGAAAATAACAAACAAGATGAAGATCAGTCTGTTAATGAATCTGATGAAGATGAACTATCACATGACACTGAAAAGATAGAAGCAGAATCTAGCAATGAAAATAATGATCCAAGAGATAGTAATCATGAAGAAGAAGAAGACGAATTATCACACGACACTGAAGAAATAGAAGCAGAATCTAGAAATGAAAATAATGATTCAAGAGATAGTAATCATGAAGAAGAAGAAGAAGATGAATTATTCGATGAAATTGATGAAGAAAATACATATAATGCTGAAGCACTACACACACAACCTACTAACGATGATAAAGGTAATATTTTTATTTTTAAAGATAGACAAGTATTAATCTAGTATCTTAGATGGAAATGATCAAAGTGTTTTAAAAGTTCGTGCCAAAAGATCTTTTATGACCCCTGATCCTAATGCTCGTAAATTAACTGCTGATGAAGCAGGATTTCATGAAAATGATTCAGCAGTCAAGTATAAAAAATCGAAAGTGGACAACGTAAACAGTAATAGTGAAGATGAGGATGAGAATGAGAATGATAGTTTGCAATTTGTAGATGATGAATACAATTTTGATGAAAATAGTGTTTCTGAGACAACTTTATTTACGCATGTGAAAAAAAAAAGACGTTCTACATCGGTAAATGATGAGGAAATTGAAGAAAGTTCGAATTTATCATTATCATCACAAGGCCGAAGAGTTTTAAAAAGGCCTAAAATTGATTCTGATAATTCGGCTGATTCTGAAGAAAGTGCTGGTGCTGGTGATTCTGATAGTGATGCTGCTGCTAATAATGCTGATGATTCTGATAATTCTGACGATGTTGATGATTCTGATAGTTCTGACAATTTCAATGATTCTGATAATGCTGAAGATGTCGATGATTCTGATAATACTGATGATCACGATTATAACAACAGAAATAATAATAAACAACAAAGTAAATCTGGATCTACGGTAGAGTCATCATCTACAGTCAATAGTTTAAGTCAAAAAAAATCTCGTCGTGTTTTACCAACATCTTCTACGCTAAATAATTCTAATGCGAGTACTTCAAATACTGAGCCACCTCAGGGATATTATGTTAATACTAAAGGGAAGCAAGTACCTTTAGCTAAAAAAAGGAAGCAAAAATGTTTATGGACTGAAGAAGAGGTGAAGGCATTAGAAGAAGGGATGGAAAAACATGGTACTTCTTGGTCCCATATTGGAGACGATAAAAGGTTAAAGAATCGCACAGGTATGCAAATGAAAGACAAAGCAGTAAATGAATGCATTAGGAGACATAAGTTAGGTCTCCGTGTGGGTATTTTTGAGTTAGTAAACTGGAAAGTAAAGAAAGCTGAAGAGAAGTAATATTACTATGCATATGATTATTAATGATATTAGTGTGCATTTTATTTCTAAAATAAATAAAATAAAATATAAATTATGGATAGATCAAATAATGTTAGTGCCCGTTTTTTTTTTTTAAGTCAAAGTGTTTACCAGTAAGAATGCATTATATTTGACAAGAAAGTTAAAAGATTGCTTTCTGCTGAAAAGACCTGGATGTTTACATGTTTTTTATTAATAAAAGGGATATGATTATATGCATAAAGAAGAAGTACTCTATAATAAATAAATAAATAACTATCGATCTTTTGATTGATATTCTTTTCGAAGTCGGTGTATAGTTTCATTTCTAAGATTTTTTTCATATAATTTTTCTATGTCTCTCATGAATCTATTATCATCTGGCACAGACATAGTTGATCCAAGAGTTTCCATACATACATCAAGATCAGCAGCTAGCAAGTGATCTAAGTAATATTTATATACACATTTATACATATAATTATGCATTTATATTACATAAACAGCTATAAATATGTGTTATTATAATTACCTTCGTAAGATTTTAGTAAAGCAACTGCTACAAAGAAAAATACATCATATCCACAAAGAAAATATGCATCCCATATTCTTACAAGTGTATGGTAATTAATTACACCGCCTGAAAATAATGTAATATACCATCTTGTTGAATAAATATCGCTGGACAAGCCTAAATCTGTCTGTATTATAAACAAATATTATAGTCAATCTCTTTTTTTTTCCCCCTTTATACTTATTACCAAATGCTTGTATAGTTTAGGAAGATATTGTTGTAATAAAGCCTCTTGAATATAAAAATTTTCTATTAAAGTAGGGAATCCAGGAATAAATAAATTATGTAACTGATCCCTTAGGAACATATGGACCAAAACTAAAAATGCTTTCTAAGAACAATCCTTAAGTATACACATAAATTATGTTCACATCGTATAACATACCTCTTCCTCGCAATACATTAATATAGTCGCTACAATATTCGTCATTCCCTGACAATAGCCTACTTCTTCATCATAATTAGCAAAAGCCCGAAGTACATTGAACAAAGCTCTTTGTCTAAATAACATATATATTAATTGTGAACTTTGACATTTTTCCTCTTCAGCAATACCCTGAACCGTATCGTTGTTTGAACATAATATGATCTCTTAATGTCCTCGGTATATCTAAATCAATCTGTCGTTCATGAGGGCTTTCTTTTAAAAGTAGCTTCTACATATAAATGTATTAGATTAAAAACTTGTACAACACTTATAATTCGATACAAGTACTTGATAAGTGGCTTTTAGTTTATGATCCTTGGTTGCATTTCTTAGACAATCAGTGATCAAGTAATACCAGGCATCCCTTCTCCAACAATCTGGAATGCCTTTGAAAACTCTTTTCTTGAATTTATAATTAAATGTGAATTTATGAGCAGGTTCACCGTGAATCATGACACGTGATGACATTCTTGCCCATTTTTTTGCTCGTTCTATTTCTTTTTCCTTATATCTATATTTCATACAAAAATTAGTATAAATATTAAATGGACCTGATTCGGAAATTACTGTGTATTTGCTGTAGAATTCTTTTCTTCTAGAAAACCGTATCTACAATTATACCACCTTCAATTAGAAAAAAAAAAAAAAAGAGTACAATGTAAATTCAAAGCTAAATGAATTTTCACCTATCTGTAATTGCAAACCATTTTTCCATTTCAGCAGCAACGTCTGGAATCTTTTCTGGTTTTTGGTCATACTGACGCCTAATACCTTCCTTATGTCTGTCTGATGAAATAGATGAAGATGATGTTGGAATGAACATTGTTTTAATAGATGAATTAGTAGTAGTTAGTTGGGTAAAATCTGTTTCATTGGAATGGGTTGTTAGATGAGAAGAGTTACGTTGAGGAAGATCGTTTTGCTCGTATTCTGTCTCTTGTATAGTGTTAGGCATATTTAGACAAGCAGGTGATGTAATTTTCGTATTTGAATTTGCATCTGTATTTATCATATTAAATTAAAGGTAACTCAGTAAACTTTCATGCACAACAAATAAATAAAGAAATATTTTTTATTTTTATTTTTATTTTTTTTTTTTTTATTTTTTCTCAGAAACACAAGACAATACGCATACATGCATTTATAATTACATATACATCCTCTTTTTATTTATTAATAAGCCTATTTTACATAACATCTATTGTTCTTCTTCATCCTCATCTCCTGAATCCTCTGCCATAGCAGCCATTTCTTTTTCGTGTGCCTCAAGTGCTTCTTTAGCTTTCTTTCTTAGCAATTTAGAATGACCTTCTTTTGATAAAACTAAAAATGGTCTATTAATTTCTTCCATAGGCACATCTAAATCATCTGAAGACTCTAATTTAGATCGAATATCATCTAGAACTTTCTCTAATTCCTCAAAATATATATCAATGATATGGTATCTAATTGCATCAGGATTCTTCATATTTGTTGGACTATTTGATTACATGAAGAATATGCATAAATAAATATACACATACACATACACCTACATCTATCCATATACATATACATATACATAGTTTTAAATATTACCTTAAAGGGCCTTCGATTAACATATCCATATATGCTTCAAGGTAGCCAGCATCCCAAGATTCTCTTGCTAAGAATTGGAATGAGAAATATATAACTCGACGGAAAAGTAAATAATATTTATCAAGTCTATACAATAAGGGCAATTAATAACTACATTATAAATCCTGTTTAATTTTTACATGCCTAATTCTATCTAATCCATGCCATTCTTGACAGTGGATTTGCCAAAATACCTTCAAGAAAGGAATAGCATTAGACGCAGGTAATTCCATAACAAGTGATCCAAGATCATTAGCTAAAGCTTGTTGAATTAAAGGCTTATCTGACATCCAAAAGCCTAAAATAAAGAAGGATTTTATATATACACATGTATATATATTCATATATAAAAGTCAGAAAAAAAAAGGAGGAGGGTTTAGACTGCCTACTTACAATAAAAGAGACCCTTCCATAATTTTATAAGTTCAATTTCACTCAAGTTGCCACCAGAAGCTAAAAACTTTCGAAGTGAACGAACAGCTTTGTCACGAGTTTTCTTTTCTACATGCATAAAGAATATGGAATAAGTATTATTTATTGAAGAAATTTTCTATAGTTATACTTTTTTTTTTTTCAATCTTACCATTAGCAGCTAATTCTTTTCCAAGGGGAAGATAAGCTGGATCAACTTCTACCATTTTTTACTGTTTGACTGAATAAATTTAAATGAAAAAGTTATAATTGATTAGATTCTTAAAAAAAAAAATATACCAAATAAAAAAAAAAAATAAATCAAAGCCACTCAAATCATTATACATATTTTACTGTCGGTTTCTGTAGTACGCTTGATCTAGCCAATTAGAAAAATGGTCTTAAAATTAAAAAGTGCCCCGGTGAATTTACCTTAAGGAAATTGAGGGAGGGGTAATTGAGTTTTTTCTTCTTTATATAAAAATAATGTTTGGTGCTTTTCGACCTTCATTGGTGGCCCAAAGTGGTCTACTTTGGTATGTCAATCAATGAGTTTGATGTTTCGTCTGTTAACCTTTTACCTTTTTTTTTTTTTTTTTTTGTTAGGAAAAACCCTTTCCGCATGTCAGCAACTAGAAAAGCTAATGTTCGTAAGAGACTTAAGGAAGTAGATAATGTTATTGCAACAATTGCTGAATCAGGTGTTAATTGTAAAGCTTTGGATAAAGCACTTGCTCTTCCAAAGGAATCTGAAATGCTTGCTAGAGATAAATATACAGTATTCACCCGCAATGCTAAAGGATATCGTAAATCTATTCACAAAGTACCTAAATTCACAAAAACTACTAATAGAACTAGCCCTTCTGGTTTCTAGACATCAAATATACATGATAGTACAAATATATATATTATATATCAGCAAATGACAGAAAAAATAAATTGTAAATATTAAATTGATATACAAATATTATCAGATAATTTTGATTTCATAAGAAGATATGCGCATATAATGATGAATATTTATTTGAGCGCTTTATGAGAATGAAATATCTAATAATGCAATATTAGGTTCATTATAAAGCAATTATATCATTGAATTTAGGTCTGAATATATTTAGATAACAGTATAAGAAAGCAGTTATGCCTTTATTCTTTAATTAACTGTTCAAGTTTTCATGATCGAAACCTGCGTTAATATTTACAAAGCAAGAGTTATAAAGATAATTAATGGTTGAATGAATATATTTTATTTTAACTAGTAGTTTAATAAAACACTTAATTAGTACCTTTCTACTTTTTTTTTTTTTTTTTTTGAAAGAAACAAAAGTTTACGTGTAGTATTGTAATTCTATTCTACAAACTAATGTATTCTAGCAAAGTTAGCAGGGTGACCAAGCCGTAATACTTATCTACAACTAATGTACTCTTTGAAAAAAAAAAAAAAAAAAAAAAAAAAAAAAAAAAAAGACTTGGAGCTATCTACTACTAACTGAGCTATCTTATTTATACTTTTTCTAATACTCTGACTATGGAATATGTCGAGAATAAGATCACTAATCTATTCTAACAAATATTTTTATAAAGGTATAACTTACTATAGAACAAGCACTGGATATGAACATAAGTAATCTTATAAAAGATGAATTACCTCATAAAGGATAAGCTACAAGCCTGAATATCAAACAAAGTATTGTATCATCCTGTATATAACATCTTGTAAATAACATAAAATCGTATTGACATACAATTGTCTATATGTGTCAATTATATGACATCGTATCAGTTCTGAATATTTATTTTCTATAATCTTAATAAAGAATTCAGGTCGTCTTTGATCCAATAAAATAAAAATGTAAAAGATATCAGGAACTTATACTCAGATCGAATAATACATTTTTATTTAAAACTTTAATCAGATCATCAGATAATTCTAACACCCATAAATCAGTATCTTGAATCAATAATACATATATATTTCAATAATAACCTTGTTTCTCGACTCATGTTCTTCTTGTAGTTAGTTTTATCTCTTTGATTCAGGATTGATTAATGTAAATTCGAGTAATTCTTCAGACATAAACCACTCTTTATTTTGTTCTTAATCTTACTTTCTTATCTTTATTTTTGTTTTTTTTTGTCATCCGAAATAGTAACCGCATTTAATTCAGTGGTAATTTCTTTTAAATTTTTGTTCATGTTGTCTTCTATATGAATGATGTGAACAGGAACGTCGAAGTCTGTTAGTACGGCGATTTCATCTTATTCATAAATCAATTCCATCGTTTCTGCTTCAGTTTCAGAATAATACTCCATTAAAAATCGATAGTTAGTGCAGTCCATTTTCTACTTTACAATGTACAATGATGTAAGTGTTTGCAATAATCATCTCTTGAAAAATATCTTGTAATAATTTTGAAAGGGTACACAAAAAAAAATTTTAGGATAATTCTTAATGCACGTATAGCTTACAAAAAAATGCAACGTCATCATCTAAAATATTAAATCTAGAAAAGACATACGTATGCTTTTCTTTTTCTTTTTCTTTTTCTTTTTCTTTTTATTTTTTCTATTTTTTTATTCAATCATTTACATGTAATGCAGGATATATATTGAAGCTATAAAGATGGCTTTGTGAAAGTTAATTGCAAGCTTTAGTAGATTGTGATTTATGATAACCAAAAGATAAGTATCTGATTTGTGGCAAGTAAAATTTGATGACAATCTACACATGAACCCTGCCCTGCTTTTGTACGGAGAAAGGTTCTGGCTGCTGACAGCAATAGCTGTACCAGCTGGGAGTGGGAGCCGTAGTTTATCATCATAGGAACAAGACCCGGGTGAACCCTGCCCTGCTTTTGTACGGAGAAAGGTTCTGGCTGCTGATAGCAATAGCTATACCAGCTGGGAGTGGGAAGTGGTCTTTGTTCCCTTGTCCTTAACTATATGCAAATGCATATGGTGTACTAACTTTTTTCTTTTCTTTTTCAGGTTCAAAAAAAAAAACATACATCATTTGCAGATAGTACCAATATGGAACTAATCACCATGATATCTGAATTCAGCAGTTATTGAACTAGAACAACCTCGTTTAACTAAACTATATCCTATGATGAATCTCTTTTACTCAATCAATATATCTTGTTCTTTCCCTTTCTGCTTTCTTCTTTACTGTATCTTCTGTCAGCAACGTATTCACCTATTTGTCTCTTGAAAGTTACCTTCTATTAACCATCTTAAAACCTCAAATCTATAAGTCACCTTCTGCCTTGGAGATGAGTTCATCCAACATTATACAACATTTTTCAACCAACAAATATTTATTTCTTTATTCAATTTGTACTATATTTTCTACATATTTGTTCTTAAATAAATCTAAATACCTCAAATAAATGTCCTTTGTTACAATATAAATATACATTGGACTAAATATCTCTTGCATACATGTAATTTATTAAAAGGTTTTATATATATATTCAAATATAATAAAATAAACAGATTCTTAACAAATTAATAGTGGTCGGGACTTGTTGGTGCACTTTGTGGGCCACTATCTATCACAATATTAGTATGTTTTCCTTCATTGATTCTTATGATTGAAGGGTCAATTAATTCTAATAAATTTTGTTCTTTATTCTTCACCATACTTGTCGATTGCATATTTCTTTTGTGTTCTTTCTTGAGTTGCTCAATGTTGGTAATGGTAGTCTCACATGCAACCTATGGATAAAGGGTGTAAGGTGTTATACCTACTTTTTATTTTTATGACGTTCAACAACTTACAGCAACACTCTTATAAAACTCAATAAAAGGAATCAACAGCACATCCTTTTCATCAAAATTAACAGGCACATCTACTCGTTGTTCCTTGGTCATAAGATATACCCCATAGGTCTGAATAGACATACTCCAATGTCTAATAGCTTCTCCTAATAATAGTAATAATAATAAAATTAGTACAGAAATATTATATTACAATAACACAAGATTACTTGCCATGTCCATGAAGGAAATGAATCTTAACTTTCTTAAACGTATTAAAAGAAGCATGTTTATACTTCATTGCAATGGTTCTCAGCATCGATAACATACCGAACATCGCTTTATGGTGATCAAAGCTAACTTTTCCGTTATCTTTGCTTTTGTAACTATTTGATACCTCTGTCAGCAATATTTCCAAATCTGAATATCTATTGCTGAAGATAATACCATCCGCCTTGTACTTGTAGCGACTATCATTTAGCCCTTTCTCTTTCAACTGTACTGACATTGCATCTAGTTCAATTTCACCTGGTAGAAATGTAACTTTATTTCCTTTATCGCACATGTATTTGTTCATCATTTTCATGCATTCATCAAACAAATAACTTCTATAACAGGATTCTGACTTCATCAGCACATTTTCTCCACAATTATAATAAATATATTCTTGACTAAATTTATTTTATTCACATGACATTAGCATGATCATTTCTTTTTGATACCTCTATTTACACTTACAATAAAGCACACATGCTAACAACCATTTCAACTTCTGCTTTTTGATATTCACCACCATTACGTGAAATTGCACGCAATTCATCAATACCCTCCTTCATTTCTTCGCGAGACTCCTAATCAAATGTTATTCACTGTCTTTAATTATTTTTCCATAAAAGTTAATCACTTACCGCATCTGCTATTTCTCTACAAATTTCAACAAAGCTAGAGTCAAGTTTCTGGCAATCAATATATACAGCACCCTCATTCAACCTCTTAAACAAGGTAGATGGAAGGCAATCTCTACGTCGTACCAGTTTTCCACACCAGATTACATTGTGCTTCTCAGGGCTAAATAAATGTATTCATTCATTTTTTTTTTTTTTTTTTGCACTTTTATCTGCCTCTAATTCTTCTTACCTCAATTGATGCAAATGCTGGATATTGCTTGGATTATCAAGAAACCATTTCCACTCAATCCAAATATCTGTTTCAAATTCCCCAATATCTTCTTCATCACTTTCATCAGCTCTCCTGCTCTTCTCACTATTAACCCTATTATCTGTGCCTTCTTCAGCATCATGATCCCATTGTCGTTTTTTTAAATTTACTTTTTCTTCAGCTACAACTCGACTCGCTAGCAACGTTCGGAATTGTGACTATAAATGAAGTTAGATTCAGTTATTAATTATTATATAATAAATGTTTATTACTGTTTGACTATTGAACTCAATTGAGCTCTTTGCCAACGATTTGCTATAATTATTAAAAAAATTCTGGAAATCCTTCTTTCCTCTTGTTTTCTATGTAAAACATGTTGGTACAATAGTATCAACGAATAATAATAGAAAACGATCACTAACCTGAGCATATGTAGACATACTCTCCACTCTTGTCTCAGCCACGGAACCAGCAACCACATGCTTTTTGATCAAGTTCGTGTCATTCAATAAATATCTTGAAGCTTCGCGTCTATCGACAGATGTATTTTCAGTCACCAAATTTTGAAGATAGTTTATAACTGACCAACGACAAGGTTCTTCTGTTAACCAAAATTCTAAAAAATAAATAATTAACATTTTTAAAATTAAAACAGCTGTAAATCTATTCTACCTTTCAATTGCAATTTCGCTTGTACGTCGTCGTTAAAAGAGGGAAGAAAATGTTTCATGATCACAAAGATATATAAAGATAAAGAAAAAGTAAATTAAACAACCAAAAAGAAAATCAAACTCGTAGTTTTAGTAACTTGCAAACGGTCACTTCCCTAATTAGGAATCATACCCCTTTTTTGTCAGAAGTTTTTCAAATATTCGGCCATCAAGAAACACATTACAAAATATAATGCAAAAAGAAGATAAAATACAAAAAAAATACAAAAAAAAAAAGACTTGGAGCTATCTACTACTAACTGAGCTATCTTATTTATACTTTTTCTAATACTCTGACTATGGAATATGTCGAGAATAAGATCACTAATCTATTCTAACAAATATTTTTATAAAGGTATAACTTACTATAGAACAAGCACTGGATATGAACATAAGTAATCTTATAAAAGATGAATTACCTCATAAAGGATAAGCTACAAGCCTGAATATCAAACAAAGTATTGTATCATCCTGTATATAACATCTTGTAAATAACATAAAATCGTATTGACATACAATTGTCTATATGTGTCAATTATATGACATCGTATCAGTTCTGAATATTTATTTTCTATAATCTTAATAAAGAATTCAGGTCGTCTTTGATCCAATAAAATAAAAATGTAAAAGATATCAGGAACTTATACTCAGATCGAATAATACATTTTTATTTAAAACTTTAATCAGATCATCAGATAATTCTAACACCCATAAATCAGTATCTTGAATCAATAATACATATATATTTCAATAATAACCTTGTTTCTCGACTCATGTTCTTCTTGTAGTTAGTTTTATCTCTTTGATTCAGGATTGATTAATGTAAATTCGAGTAATTCTTCAGACATAAACCACTCTTTATTTTGTTCTTAATCTTTTTTTTTTATTTATATGGAGACGGAGTCTCTGATTTATTAGTGAAAATTAAAGGATAGTCACAACTGTGTTTTTGTGTTTTTAGGATTATTAAAGTATGGTTGCTTTTTTTTTTTTTGTTTTGAGTTTTTAAATTGTTAAAATGTTAAGGGGAACCACATATAGTGATAATAAGGATCACTAGTCTGTTATAAAAAGAAGAGGAGCATGAGGAATGCCATTTGAAAGAAGAGATTCTTGGCGTATTCGAAGATCTTTAGTAGTGAGGAGAGATATAGTTGTAGCAGAAGTGAATGGCGTGTCGTTGAAGACAGAGGCCCAATGGGACAACCAGATCGCTTCGAGAGTAGCAGCTATAGCAGTGAGAGGAGAGAAAACTAAATTGAGAGAGGAAGAAGGAACGTGAAGAGTATGTAGAGCATAATATAGAGTATCCAGCGAAAAGGAAGAATCGGAAGGATCAATGTACATATACCACATGTGTTGCCATATTGCTAATTTGGTGGGCATGTAAATATAGAATGAACAAATGATTCGACTGGATCAGAACAAATGGGACAGGTGGATGTTGGAAAATAGGCCGGCATAACTCGATGAAGGAACGATTTATGCGGGATTTTTTTGTGGATCAGACGATACCAGATGTTTCTACCAGAATGAGAAAGGGGCAGTTGCCAAAACTGAGACCAAGGGAAAGAAATTTTTGGGGAAAAAGGTGGTGGGAGTAGAGGAGAGGATAAATGTGATTGTGAGCACATGCGACGAAATTTCTTTGTGGTAAAAGGGGTTGTAGGTGTATCAGGGGAACGAAAAAAGCCAAGATCTTTCAGAAAAGGAGAAATGTCAACAACTTGATGGTCAGAAACTTGAGTGAAAGGGAATTGACCAGAACCTGCGAATCTAGTTGGAATAAAGCAACGAATAAAAAAGGGAGCTAAAATAATTTCGTTTTTTGTAACCCGCTTTAAAACTTGTTTGGTAAGTCGTGGATGGTGAAGAATTTCCGTAATTTGAAGAGGACGAAGACAATTTTCATCATCACTATTGAAGATGTATCCATAATTACTAGTTAAGGAAGCCATAGATCGGCGTAGGGGCTCTGATGAGGAAATAAGTAGTGACGAAAATGGAATCTCTAGACAAGTAGCAGCACTGACAACAACATCTGAGAATGGTTTTGGAATCATGTCGATGGCGTTGAATAAAAGTGATAGAGAACTAGTCAGTTGACGGAGGAAAGGAGGCATACGGTGAGGGAACAAAAAGAAGAAACGATGATCTAATTTAGCAGGAGGAGTATGGAAAATTCGACCTTTGGAATACAATTCAACTTGCGAATACAAGAAAGAAATAATTCGTGAGAGAACGATAGAACCACTGATAGCCGAGTCATTAGAATCAAGGTCATCAGTTGAATTAGAAAGAATAGGGTATAACCAACGTAGTTGAAGAGCAGATTGTTGAAGAGACGGATTAAGTAGACCTAAACCTACCAAAGATCGCGGTAAGCAAGCAGTATTAAAACTAACTTTGGGAAAGATACGAAAGTTAATAAAATTTGAAATGATAGACTGAACGGATTTAAAAAAGGAAGCTGGTACGGACAACACACGAAGAACATGCCAAAATTTGCTGAGAATCAAAGAGCTCAGAACAGTAGATCTACCTCGAACAGATAAAAGACGTAGACGATGAATGTCACAAGCAATTCTGATGTTCGATAAAATCTTATCAAGAAAAGAATCATGTTGTTTGGTTGAGGAGCAAAGAGGGAAGCCAAGATATACAACTGGTAGAGAAGAACGACAATCATGCCATGCCGAAATACCATGAGAGTGCAAAGCTGTCCGCCAGCAGATGTCATAAATGGAAGAGGAACCAGATAAAGAAACAACTTCGGTCTTATTAAAATTGATACGACCGTTAGAAGCCAGGGAATATAGCGATAAATGAAATTGAAGTCGATTTAATTCAGCAGGGGAATTTAAAAGACAAATAACATCATCAGCGTATGCCATTAGCTTAACAGGAGCAGTCAGAGAATCAGACAAGTGAGGACCAGAAATTGATTTAGGCAATGCATAACCTTTCAGCAGAATATCATTTTGAATACTACGAAGAAGTGGTTCAAAAACTAAATTAAATAAAATAGGGCTAAGTGGGTCCTAAGTGGGTCGCCTTGTTTGAGACCACGGCGTTGACAGATACTATCAGTGAGAAAACCGTTGATGTTGATATGAAGACGAGTACCAAAAAAAGTTTATCAATACAATCGATAAGTTGAAGAGGATATCCAAAACGAACAAGAACAGTACGAAGATACACAGGATGGATCCTATCATAAGCCTTTTCTTGATGTAGTAGTAATCCAATACTTGAAGAGTTTGAAAAACGTGAATGATCCATGATAAGTTTCATCAAAAGACCATTATCAGCGATAAACCTCCCACGAACAAAACCAGTCTGAAAGGGATTAATGAGATCATTAGCAGAACCAATGATACGTGAGCTGAGGATACGAGTAAAAACTTTAGCATCTGTGTTGATTAGAGAAATCGGACGCCAGTTTTGAAGTAAATCACGAAGACCTTGTTTTGCTAATAGAGTCACACTTGAATTTAACCAAGAGTCAGGGATATCTGCAAACGAGAGGGCATTGTTAAAAGTAGCTAGAGCGATTTCACGACAATCAGGATGAGTGACGATTAAACGGACAATAGCATATGGTAACCCATCCATACCCGGAGAAGACTTTTTGGGAGTGCGAGAGAACGCCAACAATAAGTCATCAAAGGTGATGGGGTCAACAAGAGAGTTGGCATCAGCACGAGACAATCGAAGCGATTCAGGAATTGATGATAATAATTCGTCAATCGCATCGTGACTAATATTATCTGGTGAGTACAAATCATGATAAAATGATGAAGCAGTTTCTAGCATTTCTTCTTTAGTAGTACAGGTTGATTGAGTGGTGGGATGTGTTGTATATATGATGATGTGTTACAAAATATAGTATAGATATTCAATCATTATCAAAGTGGGATGATGTTATCATATATTAGTGGTGCACTTCATGTACACGATACTAATCTACTTTAGTATATGAGACACACTTGTGTTAGAATGAAACTATAAAATTATAGAGATGTTATGTAATAGATGTCTTAAACATGAAAGAAGAATAGTTGCTAATCAATATATAAAATACTTAATATTGAAAATTAATTACCTATAAGAAGCACTATCTTCAGTATGGTTATGCACAATTATAAACAATCTCTAAAGAGTTATAGAATAGTAACTTGAGGAGTTGATTAGAAGATGATAGAGATATATGTTTCAATAAAGAAACAATATTGTATCAATTCGAGATCATTCTGAAGTTCTAAAAGAAAAAAAAATATTTAGTTTAATTTGAGATACCATTGGTAACTAATTATTTGAATCAGATTAACATTTGAAACATAACTGACAGCTGAGATTAATTGATCAGTCAGGTTCTTCATTATCAAGGTTAAACAAGATTCATAATTATCTATTGGATATGTCCATGGTTTTGTAATATTAAATCAAGAAGTTTTACCCGTTTCCAGAAGATATAAATAAGGATCCATTTTGTATAATTTTAAAAAGACAGCTTTTTTGAAATAAAAAGAATTAAACAAAGTTTTCACAGACTTTTATTGTTTCTTATATTTTTTTCTTTTACATTATTTTTCCTTCTTAATCAACAGGATGAATTAATGGAGGAATCAATTGACGAGCAGTGCGGGATGCAACAGTTCGCTTAAGATAACCCGGAGAGAGTTCTCCCAACTCACGCCAACGAATACCTGAACGTAAGGCAAGAGTTTCCGCATGATACTTTTGAATAGATGCCAATTGTTGTTCCACAATTTGTAATTGAGGAGATACAACAGGCAACAAAGAAGGATCAGCTTGTAATTTTTTGGATAAACCAGAACGTTTTTT